TTATTGTTGAGTGGAGTAGAGGTCTAATTGTTGTTGAATGGGGTAGGCCGAGATGAATTTTTACAAAACGGATAAGGCCATCCCATGTTTGCCTAAGAACGTTCATTTTTTCGGAATGGATCAGTGAAAAAGTGCATCAAAAGGTTTGAACATGCCCGCCCGCAACCTCGAGGGCAAGGACAGCGATGGTCTGGGTTGCAGCTTCCGTAAAACCGCACGGCGTCGGCCACTGCAAGTGCCACCAGACGACGGGCGCCGTGTTAATCTGTCTTCTGGACAGATTAATAGTTGCGGAAACACGAAAAAGTAGCGAAACTACCTTTACTCTTCCAGTTCCACCACCAGATTCCAGCACCACTTCGCGGTGGTTTTAGGGCCAATCTGTTCTTATCATCAGTCTAAAAATTGTACGCGTGAAATATGCGCCCCGGCTGCCTTGAAGATGCAAGGTTTGATGTCCTGAAGCGATCAAAAGTACTTCTTTCAGAAACGTTATCATTTTCGTCCTCCCGTTGGCCACGGCTCAATATTAGCTGCTGAGCCGGCGCTGCGTGGCCCGCGGAGACTGCAACGCCTCGCGTCGAGTTTTTTTAAATTAAGGTTTGCGAGTAGGCATGCCCAAAATTATGTCACAAAACTTTTACAACTAACTGATTCAATTTTTTAAACGCAATATTTCAGAATCGTTATCATTTTCGTCCACCGGTGGACCATAACGAAAAGTTAACCACTGGGCTAGCGTTCCGCGGGCTACGGAGACTGCAACGCCTGGTGTCGAGGTTTTTGTGGCTAAGGTTTGCGAGCGCGCATGTTAAAAACCATGTTAAATGAATTGCATCACTCATCGATTCTGACTGAATGTTAAACATTCCCAGACAAGCATAATTTGGCGATGTTAATACACATCGTTTACCACTCGATCTACGATCAAAATTTTCACCCTCGAATTTCGATCAAACCTATCCATCTGCAGTCTACCTTCGCTATGTCTTTAATGTCTGTAGAACGCAGATAAAATACTACGGACAAATCTGAATTATACCGGTTTAGAAAGAATCAAGTGAGCCATTGTAAATGAAGGACACCGGTGATTTATTCCGTACAGTCGTTAAACGCCTGATTTCTGCCGTTTATTGACCTTAACACGCGTTCGGGTAGGGGGTCAAATTGACTCATCCCCCAAAGGTTTTTCCAGAATGGTTTCCGGACAGCGCGGCGCAGCCGTGCCATATCTTGCATAGCTGTAGAAAATTGAATAGCAGAACGTTTGGCACACAAAATTTAGATGTACTTTGTAAGGTCGCTGACCCATGGCAGGTCAAAGTCAGACCATGGTTTCAGCGAAGTCGACTTCTAGGGAGCCGTTCAATCTGATGCGACCATGGAGTCTTAGACGAAACCATACATCTCTGAGATGCTTTCTTATGCAACATTAATATTGAATGAGCAAATTACGTTTACCTAAGGTCAGGTATAAAGGTCAGACTAAGATCAAAGCCAACCTGTTTTATTACTCTAAGGCTTGCTGTATGGGATATTTTCCGGTGCTCACTTAGAACGTATTGATAGCAGGAACCGCATCATACATCTTCTATGACCTTCTTAGAGGTCAGCATAGGTCATTGAACTAAAATGACCCAGATCAATACTGTTTTAGAAACATACCGCATAGGGTAATTTTTCTCGCTTATTCAAATGAAAAACTCAGAGCAGTCTTGTATGATCTTGGTCACCGTGACCCTCGAAAGACCAAACAAGGTCACTGACCTTAACTGAACAGTGACCTTTCGCTTAGAAAAAGTTACCTAGGTTCTGAGGGCACTTCAGAGACCAACCTGGAATTTGACCTTGTTTGGCCTTATTTGACCCGAAAGTCATAACCTACGAACCTCAAACTTTGACCTAAGTGAGTTCACGTACACGTCAACACACCCTGTGAATTGGTGTCTCTAGCTCTCTTAGTTGCCGAGATCTCCGGGGGGGGAGTCAAATTGACTCCCACCTGGGCGAAGGGTATCTAGCCGGCCACCCGTGCGCGTGTTAAAAATGTAAACAGAATTGATTTCACGGTAGCTTCTGGTTTCTGTTCTGGCTGCAACGTAAAAATAACAATGAAACGAAGAAAACCGTATCCCTCGTTAACAACTAAACTATATCCGGGGATATTTTTGTGGGGGGAACATCATAAAGTGGCTTTTGTCAACTCTGTGTTCCTCTTAGCAAAGCTCTGGCTACCCCTGCCTATACACAAAAGCAAGTCAAGTTATCCGCGTTGAATGACGGGCAATTAAATGTCCGTTGGGTCCAATTCATGCCTAAAGTAGACAGCTTCCCGGCAACATTTTTCTGGGGTGGTGTGATGTAAGAGAAGATAATTCGGAAAAAGGTAATGTTGAAGGTGTCCAAACACACGTTTTACATCCCAAGTAGTAGCAATGCAGATTCAGAAATGTGCAACAAAGCAGTCATACCATCAGTTCGAGATCAGTCATTCGGAGAGAGCCGGGCCAGGATAGTGGCCACCGCCGGCGGACGGGAGCAGTGCTTAGACAAGTAATATATGACAGAAGGGCCTTCGTTCTGTGGCTTCGTTTTCAAAGGAAAATCTCCAGTTCTATGGCTTTTATCACATAGTTTCTGACAGTTTCAAGTTTCCGAATCTGTTTCCGCCTAAAATGCCGCGACAAGTCTTATCCCTTGAAAAGCAGCCAGCGAAATGAAGGCGCATGCAAAATCTGTTGTGCTGTGAGCCATCGATTCACTTTCAAAGTTCTCACCAGCCTATGATTATGCCATATTTTGGCATCCGCCCTGTGGAGACAGACGCCTCCTCAATGACCCAAAATGCCTACCCGCTCGTGGAATTTCAGCTCCCCAGGAAAGACAACGTTGAAATGGACGAATAATCTTGAGAAGCTGGATAGCCTTATTTCCCGAATGACATAGATGAGTCGGATAGGCAAGAGTGTACATCAGTGAGAAAGAGCTCTAGATGCATATCTAGAGTATCAGTCACTACATTTGAATAAAGAGCGATAATCTCCATCTCTACCCCCCCCCCCCCCCCGGTCATCGTGCTTGTTTTCCAGAAAAAGTTCCTGAGGTACGCCCTGAGCTTGGCTCGCCCCGCCCCCACACACACTTTTTGAAACGTTCCTACGCTTACGCAAGCATCAGATATGATGAAACAAGCTTACTTGTCACTATCGGTATACTTTTAAGTGGAAAAGGCTACTCTAGATAGCACAATTCTTTGCTTCGTAAATATGCTTCTCCATGCGTCAAGGTTTGATTACATCATCGTACCTCGCACAACATTGATCGAGAGTCAGCTGACGGCCGTTATGTCTGGAAGTCGTCCTCACGAACGCCAGATGTGAACGCCTCGACCAGAGATGCACAACTCCATGAACCGTCTCCTGCAGATGACAGATGGTTATTCACGGTACCCGTGAATAACCATCTGTCACATCGCCATTTGTGCCATCCAAAAAAAAGATCAAACGGCAACTTCTTGCTATTGTGGTCTACTCTCTTTTCTCATCATTAAATAAGTTAAAACAACAGTTTGAGGCTGGCTTTGTTCAAGCACAATATACAGAACATAATGGCGCTGACTAGAACCATACATATACTGACGCCACATATACTGACAGTGCATGGTGTGTATTTTAGTGGTCCAATCATCCGAATACGAAAGATGAATACAAAAACTGAATATAGTGGACACATTTTCTTAGAAGCAATGACGCTTATACTGTCATAATCACGTTTATATGTATATCCTTAATTCGTGACCTTGATAGCGAGATGGTACTGCAACAGCGGAAAAACTTCATACATTGTAGGGGGCGTGTATATCGACTCATCACGTGCGTCATCATATCGACATATCGACTCATCACGTGGATCTAGAGGTACCTGTGGATGTAGAGATGCGTATGGGGTCTAGAGATGCGTGCAGGGTCTACAGATGCGTGCGGGATCTAGGGATGCGTGCGGGATCCAGAGATGCGTGCAGTGTGCCTGTCTGTCATGAACGTTCCAGCGTGAGTTTCTCTCCTCAACATAGAGGACCAAACAAATGACTCATCTCAAATCACTCTCGTGTGGTGGGCAGGCAAACGGACAGCATCAGTTTGTGATACATTCTTATCATGCAATAGCAATGGCCAGCCACAGTTTTCCGGACAGTTGCCTTTCCCCGTCCCTGGGGAACTTCAGGTAGCGTATTCCCGCGCTGTTAAGTGTCTCAGCAACTCAATGCCCGGAAACTCGTGGCATTTTACCCAGTGCCCTGCAATGGCAGAAATAAAGATGGCCAGACGGTTCCGTTCCCGTACGTTCTCACTGAGCCAAAGTCCAAAGGTCACAGTCGAGTCCAAAGGTGAGTGGAACGACGCATTACCCTGCTCGCGTGACCTGGCGCGTGTTTTATACGTTGCCGCGCTGTCGGGATGACTCGGCATGATCGAGCTCCGGGAACCGGAAGGTAGCCATCCTCGAAGGAATGGTCTGACCACCGCGCCGCGCCATTCCTGCTGCGCAGCGTGGCGCGGCGCGCGGCTTTACACCGGCCCGCAGTACGTCACGGCTCATCAGGCAGGGACGCGCCCAGGTGTCGGCGCCTCTGGGGCGAGCCCCGTTGTCCAAGACATCGCACAGCCGCCCAGGCTTTCTGCCCAGGCCTTCGCTGCTGCGCGTAACCCGCCGAACCATGTAGCTGCCGGTATGCGCGCTGAGAGACGGCTGCCGGCGTGCGCGCTGAGGGACGGCTGCCGGCGTGCGCGCCGAGGGACGGCTGCCGGCGTGCGCGGCTGCCGGCGCGCGCGCCGAGGGACGACTGCCGGCATGCGCGCTGAGGAACGGCTGCCGGCGGCGACACGGCGACCCGCTTCCGGTGTGCGCGAGGTGGTCTCCCCCCCCCCTCCCCCTCCCGCCGTGTGAAGCGGTCCAGCGAGTGATCTCGGCGGAGAGACAACAGGTGGCGCGGTGACCACAGCTGGTGGGGTCGAGACGCGGCGCCCTGCCCCCGCCAGTGACGCGCCGGCCGCCGGTGGACGCGCAGCTCACGGTAGGCCCCGATAGAGGCGAGAGCGCAGGCTGGGCGCTCCGCATCAGCTCCGCTGGAGCGAGCTCCCCCAGTGGTGATGCTCGGGTGTTGATGTGTTGCACAACGCTTATGCTGTCGAGTTCAGTGTTCTAAACGCGTCTCAGCAGCCGTGTCTGCCAGGGGTGATTGCGTGCATGCGGTCGGTCTGGCGTGTTGCTAACAAGAGACGGAACCTGTCGCTGATGCTGTCCAGTGATGGACATCTTGCTTGGGTGATGTGGATGTTTTTTTAATCAAAATTTTGTGGCGTGTTGGTGTGACACTGATATCCGGTAAAAAGCATGCTGCACCGCATGACAACGTGCGCGGTAACCAGAGGAAGGCACCTGGTGTATCACTCGCCCGTGCGAACCATTGCTGGAGTACTGAGCAACATGGGATCCACGAAACTGCACTGCCCGAGCTGGATGGGCGCCACAAAACTGCACTGCCCGAGCTGGATGGGGGCCACAAAACTGCACTGTCCGAGCTGGATGGGGCCCACAGAACTACACTGTCCGAGCTGGATGGGGCCCACAGAACTGCACTGAACACAAAGATCGGTTGCATCGACAAATCGTGCTGAGTCGAGCGGTGCAGAGAGCTCGAACATAGCCAATCAATTTATTCATCTTCTTTTCGCCAGAAAGTTTCTCTTTGTCTGATTCCCCGAAGGTTTGGCTTCAACATGGGCTATGTGGAGGTTGGGTATGTGGGGGGGGGGGGGGGGGCACTTCCATCATGGCGCTTCTTCAGTGCATGGCGGTGTCTTCGGTGCACACCGACCGAAGACGAAATAAACGACAAGTAGCCTTCTGTTCGCCCGTGATTTGTTTGAGTCGAAATCTTCTTTCCGAAATCAGAATTGCTTTCAATACATGAAAATAAACCCAGTCGACATCTTCCCGAGATTCAAGCCCTACATCGAGCACGAACACCTACAGAAGCTTCTAGACCAGACCGACATCCGCTTGAGCTGATCGGAGCGTGCCTGCGCTTTAGACACTCATGCTGCTGGAGCTGGCGCTGGGGCTGGCGGCGCTGGCCACGGTGGCGGCGGCCGGGCCATCAGAGCTGGCACTGGACGTGCGGCCGGTGGGGCTGGCGCCGGTGCCGCCGCGACCGTACATCACCGCGGTGTGCGAGACCGCCCCGGCCGACTGGGACTCCCGCCAGGGCGCTCCCTGGCGGCAGAACATGAAGACGGTGCGGCGGCGGGCGGAGGAGGCCTCCGCTCAGGTGAGGGCGGCAGGCGGAGGAGGCCTCCGCTCAGGTAAGGGCGGTAGGCGTAGGAGGCCTCCGCTCAGGTGAGGGCGGCAGGCGGAGGAGGCCTCCGCTCAGGTGAGGGCGGCGCTGTCCAGGCCTCCGCCCAGGTAAGGGCGGCGCTCTCGGCATCGCCGACGAAGTCTCTGCTGCCCGTCAGCTCTCGCGTGGGCGGGTCGAGCGCAGCGAGTCCTCCAGCCTGGTGGCAGCACTGCTCTACCGGAACTTATCTCGGGCGCTTTACGTTTAGGCCTATGGTGGTAGGGGCCCGACGAGCACGAGGTGTCCTCGTTAGAGGCCCGACCCGACCCCGCTTTGGCCTGAACCAGGTGCTGACATCAGCCTCCGACCTTGTTTTAGTGTCACCTGGTAAGCACTAATACCAGGAAGTGCCGCACCAAGCATTGTGCTGGTATCGACCTGATCTGGGACTTCCTCATGCCAAGAAAAATGCGGCTCCAAACATTGCAGGTGCTCCAAACACTGCAGTCGCTGCTGTCGACCGCGGCCCGGGTGCCTTTGCGCGACTTCAGCCCGTGATCTTATCCAGTGCCTGACCTTCAGCGCTAACCTGCGACCTTATCCAGGGTGCCGACCTGCTAGTGCTGGCTGAGCACGGCATCATGAGCAACGGGCCGTTTGCGACCCGCGAAACGCTGGCTCTGTTCGCCGCGGAGATGCCCTCCGCTGACGAGCTGGCGGTGCCCTGCGGCGACGCATCGCGGCACGAGGTGAGCTCCCTCCGACCAGCTGTCTGCGGCAGCCGGCCGGCTTCCACGCGACAGACAGCAAACCAAACGATGCATACGAAAGCCGGTGTGTTAGTCAGGTTGGGGGTGTTTTGAGGAATGCTAATCATGAATAGGTAGGGTGTTGATTTACATGTGGAATTATGCGGTAATTTTCAGGACAGCTCAGTGAATAAAAGTCGTTATGAAAGGGTGAAATAAATAGCTCGTACCAATGCTTTGATCGCCGTTACGTTAGACGCATGTGGTTCTTCCTATCCCTCTCATTCACTTGCCATGTGAGATAAAGTCGCTTGCTTCACCGCACTGATGGAGATCTGTGGTCGGCTAGGTTGTGTCCGGCCTGAGCTGCCTCGCTAAGACTCACCAGATGTACATCGTGGCTAACTACGTGGAGAAGGTGCCCTGCAGCCAAGCTTCCGACGCAGAGTGTCCAGCAGACGACTTCTATTTGTTCAACACCAACCTGGTGTTCGACAGGAACGGCACGGTGATACAAAAGTATGCCGTTTATAACCATACTGTTCGGTTTATGAAGTGTTGTGTTCTTATGGTCCGTTGCAGATTAACTATTTTCGTTCTCGCTGCTTTTCTCTTGTTTAACTATTTTTGTGCCTCAAGCTATGCCCAATGGTGTGGTCAGTCGGCCCCGGACAGCCTACTCCTGTACTATGAGTGGTGCGTAGGCACATTCTGTTGTGCTTTGTCAAATAGTGCTCCTGGGGGTCCGATCGAGGGCGCTGGCACACCACCCGGACGGCGTGCCTCTCCGCGCGCGCAGTAGTCTTGAACCACCCGCACCGAGCCCGCGGCGACTCCCGGGCTCATGGGTTCACTTCCGTGCCCCGCCGCAGATATCACAAGGTGCACCCGTTCGGAATCGAGCTGAGGGTGCTGCAGACGCCGCAGCCGCACCTGGCCGCCTTCCGCACCGACTTCGGCGTCGTGTTCGGCCTGATGACCTGCTTCGATATCCTGTTCGAGGTGCCGGCCGTGGAGATGACGCGGCGCGGCATTTCACATGTCGTGTTCCCCACCGACTGGGGTGATGAGCTGCCTTCACTGACAGGTCAGCCTGAAGAGCAGACGGACCGGTCCGTCTAACGAGCTGCCCGCGCTGAGTAGGTCTGACGCGGCCCGCGAGGCCGAGTCCGCAGGACTGTCGGAGCGTTGCGAGGCCGAGTCCGCAGGACTGTCGTAGCGCTGCGAGGCCGAGTCCGCAGGACTGTCGTAGCGCTGCGAGACCGAGTCCGCAGGACTGTAGTAGCGCTGCGAGGCCGAGTCCGCAGGACTGTCGTAGCGCTGCGAGGCCGAGTCCGCGGGACTGTCGGAGCGTTGCGAGTTCAGTTTATCGGTCCGCATTCAGGATTTTTGGTGGTGAAATGAATTATATGGCAAGGAATCTCAGTCAATCGCTGCTGCTCCCACAAGTGAACCATTGTGGGATATTTTTGTCGCAAATATTTGGATCTTCAGCCCCCAAATTCCCGATCGCCTTGTTGTTTGTTTGTTCCGGCAGCGAACACCTGTGCTTTCTTCCTCCAGCTGTGAAAAAGCGCCGCATCAGATGAGCATTACCTAAACCCAGAACGTAACAGCACAGCGATATCTTCCACAGCTAGGGAAATTGCACTGAAAGGGCGCACCTCATGAGCAATGCAGAAAACCACTTCGAGCCATGAATGAACTCCACGAAAAGAGAACAATGAGAGCTGCGCGTCACACCAGTGGCCTAACACTGCATTGACTAGCCTAGCCTATCCAAGTTCAGTGAACGCCCTTCAATCCCACCGAACTGACCATCGGCATCTGCCGCAGCGCTGGTCCAGTGAAGGCCCTTCAATCCCACCGAACTGACCGTCGGCGTCTGCCGTAGCGCTGGTCCAGTGAAGGCCCTTCAATCCCACCGAAATGACCGTTGGCGTCTGCCGCAGCGCTGGTCCAGTGAAGGCCCTTCAATCCCACCGAACTGACCGTCGGCGTCTGCCGCAGCGCTACAGATGCACAGCGCGTGGGCGCGCGGCCTGGGCGTGACGCTGCTCTCGGCTGGGCTCCACCTCCGCAAGACCGCCAGTGTCGGCTCCGGCATCTACACGGCCGCCGGCGCGCTCAACTACACGTACGACTACGCCAGCGAGGACGGCGCCCTGGTGACGGCGCGTGTGCCAGTCGACGGGCCGGCCCAGCCGCCGGCCGGCTTCTGCTCAGCCAACGGAGGCGGCGGCTGCCGCCAGCCGGTCGTCGGCGACGACGCGTACTACCCGGTGCAGCACTACAACGTGTCAGAGTTCGCCAGCGCCGAGCTGACGGGGCGGGAGCAGGAGCTGTGCCACGGCCAGCTCTGCTGCCGCGTCAGCGTGCGTGACGCGCCGCCCGCCGCCGCCGGCGACGCGCGCGCCACCTACCGCCTGCTCGCGTACGACGGCCGGCGCAACTTCGCGCCGCATTGGAGCACGGAGATCTGCGTGGTGACGCTCTGCGCCGGCCCCGACCAGGCCTCGTGCAGCTGGTTTCCGAGCGGGCCGACGCCGCCGATTCCGCCGTTCACGCTCTCCGGCACGTTCAGAGGGGATACGACCGTGTACCCGTCAGCTGTTAGGACGCACATGCAGTTGGCCGCCGACTGGGACTTTGATCGTGCGACGCGCCACCTGTCCGTCGACAATACCGACGCGCTGCTGTCGGCGCAGCTGTACGGCAGGAACTTCGCGAGGGACCTGCCCTAGCGACGGCGGTCGGACAACGATGCGGGTGGGTTGCGGGTGACGCGGTGGTGGTATCGGTAAGAATGCATGATAATTGTCCCATGATATTTAATCAGGGTTTATTTAGGCCCGCTGACATGGAGTCGAAATTGTTGCACGCAACGGGTGGTTTCGCGACAGGCCCGTGTTACATGACATTGAACCCAAATTCCGTGGCTCAAGATGATGATCCGAGATTGTTATGAATCATATAATGTCGACTCGAAATTGATGTGAAGAGTAGCATAATGTCGACATGTTCTGGTTGCATGCACGCAGCTAGCTCTGGAAGGGGCGTCTCGTAGCTCGAGTCAGTAAGGCATCCGTGGTGAGAGACCACGGGCGCTGGCCGTCGGCAGAGCCGACATGCTCACAGGCTTTGACGGTCATCTCTTCTGCGCCACTCAGCAGCTGTTCATGTCCCTGCGCCAGACGCAGCGAAATGACAACGTGAACTGTACTCATTTAAATACAGAATGTAACTGAAAGTTAAAGGAAGTGTTTCGCACTTGTGTGGGGTTTTGAACTGACATAGTCATCTTGAAGACCATTCGGTGCATTTCACAGTCCCGTCATTCTTAAGACCCAAGCCTGTAACTCCTGAGCTGCACGCCCGCGAAGATGTGCGCACTGTTTCGTGTGACTATTTCAAGGCTACCCAGGCATCCATGACGTCATAATGCCATTCACATGCTGCCATTTCATAAGCCATGTGGCGATTGAGGCCAAGCAAAACGTAATTGTCGAGTCGTCCATTTCCGGTGTTCGTACCACTTTCGGGTACAACGGCCATCAATCGACTCTCATTCAATGCCGTGGAAGAAACGGTAACGTAATCCAGCCATGACGTATTGAGGAGCATATTTACTTAACAGACAAATGTGTTGTGCAGGGCAACATTGTATACTTCAAAGTATACCGATGGTCGTAAGTGATCTTATTTCATTATATGCGATGCTTGCTTCATTATGTTTAAATGTGGAACATCTCCTTTCTCATAAACGCTTGCCAAGAATGGCATCGGTTTGGAACAACTCCACTTGGAACAACCCCAAGGGAGACACCTGGCTTCTGGACGCCGATTTACCTCGGTGCTGGACAAACAGCGGCAGGTCCGCTTGCGAGTCACAAGATGTCGAACTTGCACATGGCTGATCGGCGTCTGGTTGACAAATGTTCTACCTTATAATACCAGTTTGTGTCATCTGCCAAAGAGACACTGTCCGACGCCATCTGAAGTATGTATGGCAAAACACTGTTGAACAGAGAATGTTTTCAGTCAGCATTTATAAAGTTAAAACAAGCTGCGTGCACGTTTCGGGCGCCGGTAAATTTGTCAGTTTTCGATAGATTAGCCCGTCGTTGCCCGAGGACCAAACCTTGGTCGTAACTCCCACTATTCATACGTCGATGACACGGCGCCGTGTTCAATTGTAGTATGTTTATTTTAATCAATTATGTATAAATCTGGACAGAACATTTCGGCGAAGCGACACGGTGTTACGAAAACAAGTTCACCAATGCACCAGATGACAAACATATTTACAGCGCCCATATAGTTAGTACGTAAATAAACGTCCATCCTTCGACTCGTTCAATTTACTAGGACCTCCATCTGTAAATGTGCACGAGAATTTCGTAGACGACCGACCATTCAGTCGTAGGATCGCGCCCTCACAATCCTGGCGGTCACCACACCGGCCGTGGCCGCCGCGCGGCCGGCCGGGGGTCCGCGCCGGGCGGGTACCGCACGCGCCACCGGCCCGTCCGCTGGGCCGGCGGGCGGCACGCTCCACGCGCTCACTCGCGCACGGCACCTCGGTCCGCGGGATAGCACACGCCTCACCACTCAGGAGCAGGAGCGGGCGACGGGGAGCCGCCGGCTCGCCGCTGCAGCACGCCGCGACCACGCCACCGGCCGACAGGCAGCCGGCTATGTATAAATAGAGTCGATTTTCTAGAGTACGGCTGGCGGGTGGTACAGCCCCGCCAGCGCACGCCGCGCGCGGTCACGCGCCACATTGGTCAGCCGGGAGCGCTGCACCGGCCGGTCTTCTCCGACCGTCGCCCGGGGCCGAACGCCTCCCATCTCCAGACGCGCTCTCTTCGCGGCTCGGCGCGCCCGGGCAGCGACAGCAGGCTGGCGACGGGGCGGCCGGAGCGGCGCGTTACTGGGGTGCGGGAGCGCTTACCGCTCGCCAAACGCGGCACGGCTCTCTTACTCTTTCAGAACTTTCAGTTAGATTTTGACTGGTCTTACCAGCACGTATACAGGACTCAAACGCTTCCCATGTCTTAAAATATGTATACCGGTGCACACAAATATGGCCACGACAGCTCAACTCAGCGGTCGGTACCGAGCAGCGCGCGCGCACGCACGCACGCACGCGCGACACACACATACACAGTTCGTTATGCCGAGGCGAGCGAGACACTTTGTACGTCGGAAAAATTGTGCGGACGTAGGCGCACCCGCTGAAACTACGCTTGGAGTACAAGCGTGGCAGTGTCACCGACGTCGGTCCGTATCTTTCCGATACTCACCATTACAAAATGGCGCAGCGTTTTTTCCTGGGCGGCTCGGGCGGCTCCAGAGCGGCCAGTATCGCCTCGTCAAACACGTTCTTCAAACCTTTCTGTTGACGACAGAGCAACGAGGGTCAGCCGTCGTGTGTAGGCGTGCCACCGACCTGCACAGGCGAACGCTGCTCCACCGGCCTATGCTTTCAGCTGTTTTCAAACTAACTATTTGATGCCTAAACATGGCGCGATATCAGGACCGCCTCGCCGCAAAAGTGTAACGTCGCTACCGGCGTCTTTTTGCGTCTCAGGTGGCGCCAGTGCGGCCAGTATCGCCTCGTCAAACACGTGGCATAACGTACCGCGAAACGTAACAACACACGACACGTTTCTGTCAGAGCACGCACGTCATTTTCGGAAGGCGGCGCGTGGGCCACTCCACGTCAAGGTTCCACACTTCTCGACGGCCATCAGACGCCATCTCACGAGCAGTCCACCCGGGTGCCCAGCGGAAGCCGCTGGCTTCGGAAGCGTGGGACGGCCCGGAGGCGGACGGCGGTACCGGCCAGGGCTTGGCCAGGGGTCAGGGTGTCACCAGCGTCGGTATGCCGTTCACGGCGTCGCGTGGGCGGTTACCGCGACTGCGCGTCAAGCATGTCACCCGGTCGACTCCGACAAACAGCGCGCATCCGCCACAGGCAAATCTTGCATTCCACCGCACAGCTGACGTGCAGCCTTCATCTCTCCAAATGTCGCGTCCGGTCCCGAGATGCGGATCATTCGCTGTCGCATGCAGGGCGAGCTCCTGGAGCCCCGCCCCCTGCGGCCCGGCGGCGTCGGGTGCGGTACGGATGCGTCCTATCGTCGCCCGAGGACATCGGCAAGCGCGTGCCACCCACTCAGCAAACCCCATACTCGGAGGGTTAGTGGGCACACGTTTTCGGCGCCATCTGCAGCTTGCTGACGCCCTGCTAGCTTCCAAAGGATTTAAGTGCATCACACCAGGCATACCGAGGCATACAGAGTCCAGAATACCCTGCGCGACCGCAGCAGCGGTGCTTCTTCACATCCACGCCGTGATTACATGCAGACATGTATGCAGAAATATGTGGTCTACCCCGGCGCCTCGGTGTGGCGCCTCGGGCGGCCGGTCCGCTGCAGAACCGGCTCTGTCGACCGGCCGTCAGCTGGCGGCGGCGGCGACACGAACGTGCGGCGTCGCGGCCGTCACCCGCCCCTCACCTGCGTCAGCGCCGAGCACTCGACGTATTTGACGGCCTTGAGCTCGCGCGCCAGCTTGTCGCCGTACTCGAGCGAGATGGGCCGCTGCTTGTTCTTGGCCAGCTTCTCGTTGGTGGCCGCGTCGTCTCGCAGGTCGATCTGCGTGCCCACCAGCAGGAACGGCGTCTTCTGACAGTGGTGCGTGATCTCCGGCACCCACTGCGGCACGCACGCGGCACAGCCGGTCACGCGTCAGCTACCAGACATGCCACAGCACTCTCATCCGCCTGTTACCAATGGCATGCATCATCTCCGGCACCCAGCAGCCATCCACATACCGCATCACTGGTCGGATGCGACGTTACGAATACGCCATCATCGGGTGTGCACTGGGCAACACGTGTGCAGATGGTACCTACGTTTGATAATTTCTTGTTACAGAGTAACTTGAGCGTGCCACGGTCCACCCTTCTGCCTGAGGGCTTCTGGGCTATCCGCACGATGATTCCCACTCGACACGATATTATGCGCCTACTTCAGTCAGCTTGCATGCTTAGTGCTTAGTAGCGATCCAATGTCAATGGTAGTAGCCGGCCACAAGAAGTCATACTGGAGTCTGTTATACACAAGTAAAAGTGAGCCTATTGCAAGTTTGGGTGAACCCATTCAATGATCCACATAACCTACTAGATGTACGCCGCCGAACGCCTTTCTCACTTGGACGGCGACAGGACACGACGAGATAGTGTTACTCATATGTACAAAGTGACACACTTGCGAATCATTTTCACGTCAGTGATTGTGTTGTGTAGGTTGCTCTTCTTGGCAGAGTTCGACTGAGGCTCTGGGACCGCATTGTTGTTAAGACCAGTTCTGTACTATCTGGACATACTCCGACCACCCTGCACTGGTACGTGATCCAGTGACTCCAGTTGCTCAGGGTGTAGGGAGCGGCACTCCCCAGGGAGTGGCGTGTTTCTGGTGTCGGTCGACATAATCTTACGAATTGAGGTAGGTGAGTTATCAAGGAACTAAGGGCAACCCTGAGAAGAAAAATTCCACTGTGACCCACGGGTGCACAAGAACTAGCAAGCGCATAAAATAAAGCAAGCCTTGACACCTGGCAGAAAACAAACACCAAGTCACCACAACTGTTCGGCATTCGATATCCGTCGTGGATTGGAACAGACGAGTCATCAGGAACAAACGAGTCATCCTTCCAACTCACTGGAATTTGCAAAATAAATGGACTCGGCTGAATGCAATTAAGAAACAATAAGCTGATTAATGAGCTGCACTCAAAAATAGGACGCAACGTAAATGGAGCGTCGCATCTGCGCAGGGGATCACCCAGCACTAGACAGTCTGGAATGGAAAGGAGCCCATTCCAGCGTCAGAGTGGCCAGTCTTGCTCTCTACACCCACTCAAACTTTTTGTCAGTAGCCTGCTGCGACCGCACAGGTTCACCCACGTGCAAGCGGAAGCTGGCATCATCGTCCCTGTGGCAACCATACCACCAGTGTGCCACTGTCAACATAGCGCTGAAGGGAACACCGAATCGTCAGGATGCAATTGTGGATGGGTAGCCCTTTCATGTGGGCCAGTAACAAAGACAGGATCGGAAGAAATAACTCAAGGAGTGTGCATATACTCGGGCCTGGTCATCGCGCCATTCCACGATTACATCCCAGACGAGCATGATAATATGAGAAGAATGATAAAGGGGGAGGGGGTTTACCCAAATCATTTTACGTATTATGCATGCGGAATTTGTTGGCATTTAACTGGTTGAGATCACGATTCAAATGTTATTTAACAGAACGCGAGACATAGTACATCCATGGGACACACCGACCGGCACTTTGAACGCAGACCCACCCAACAGTTCCTCAAACTTAGATATGACGGCTGTGTATCAAGGAGCAGCCATAAATATGTGTAAATAATCTGCTGGCATGCTGACAGCTACACTCGTGACCCTGTCTGCTCAATATACCACGAGTGTTGCGCGAGGGAGTAGATTATGTGTATTCAGGCGGCATTAGTTGAATAGGGCCTTTTCTTTAAGCTTCCAGTCGTTCGCATTGCAAATTCAGGTTGCAATGTTTGCCTTCTGTTCTTAAATGTGGAAGATTGTTATACATCCTTAATCTGTCAGGCCCCACAAAATCGAACCGTCGCAAACTGCAAAAGCTTTCTCTTCTCTGTCACAGGGAAAGAAGAAATCCGAATACGACACGCGCCTATGCAACACTAAAATGCCGTCACTTTATCCAGGGATAAAACTAACCATGTCCACTTGGCATGCTTGCAGCCAAGCATCATCTCACCTACTACCAGGACAGCCAACGGGCAGTTTGCACTCAAAGCCAGAAATCCGTCACTCAGGCTGTGCGCAACGCCCATAGCATAACAGTATTCCCACCGAACGGGTGGATCCTCCATTCACGAAACACCCCCTCCGGTCCAGCCTGCCCTCGCGCGCACCTTCTCCTTGACGTTCTCGAAGGAGGAGGGAGAGACGACCGAGAAGCAGACGAGGAAGACGTCCGTCTGCGGGTAGGAGAGCGGCCGCAGCCGGTCGTAGTCCTCCTGGCCGGCCGTGTCGAACAGGCCCAACGTGTACGGCTCTCCGCCGATCATCACAGTCACTGCGTAGTTGTCAAACACCTGGCGGCGACGGCGACAAAGCGGGTGACGTGGATGACGTGCGGCGACAGGCGCACGTGGGAGAGGTGCGGCACGGGACGCATGTGGGGAATGTGGGGCACGGGGCGCACGAGGAGAGGTGCGACACGGGGCGCACGCAGGGAGGTGCGGCATGGGCCACACGTGGCGGAGGCGCGGCGTTAGGCGCACGTGGGGAAGATGCCGCGTTAGGCGCACGTGGGGGAGGTGCGGCATGGGGCCACGTGGGGGAGGTGCGGTGTTAGGCGCACGTGGGGGAGGTGCGACATGGAGCGCACGTGGGGGAGGTGCGGCATGGGGCGCACGTGGGGGAGGTGCGGCATGGGGCGCAAGTGGGGGAGGTGCGGCGTTGGGCGCAGGTGGCAGAGGCACGGCGTTAGGCGCACGTGGGGGAGATGCGGCGTTAGGCGCACGTGGGGGAGGAGTGGCGTGGGGTGCACGTGGGGGAGATGCGGCGTTAGGTGCACGTGACGGAGGTGCAGCGGTAGGCGCACGTGGCGGAGGCGCGGCGTTGGGCGCACGTGGGGGAGGGACGGCGGTAGGTGCAAGTGGGGCAAGTGCAGCATGGGGCGCACGTGGGGGAAGTGCAGCGTTAGGAGCATCTGAGGGAGGTGCGGCGTTAGCGGCACGTCAACGTTGTTGGCGGCGGCGGCTTCAGTGGCGTATGGCGTCAGGAGCGGCGTCAGCAGTACACAGCAAGGCAGCACCGTTGGCGGCACACGGTGTCGGGAGCGGCGTCATTCAGCGGTACACAGCAAGGCAGCACCGTTGGCGGCACACGGTGTTGGGAGCGGCGTCATTCAGCAGTACACAGCAAGGCAGCACCGTTGGCGGCACACGGTGTCGGGAGCGGCGTCATTCAGCAGTACACAGCAAGGCAGCACCGTTGGCGGCACACGGTGTCGGGAGCGGCGTCAGTCAGCAGTACACAGCAAGGCAGCACCGTTGGCGGCACACGGTGTCGGGAGCGGCGTCATTCAGCGGTACACAGCAAGGCAGCACCGTTGGCGGCACACGGTGTCGGGAGCGGCGTCATTCAGCAGTACACAGCAAGGCAGCACTGTTGGCGGCACACGGTGTCGGGAGCGGCGCCAGTCAGCGGTACACAGCAAGGCAGCACTGTTGGCGGCACACGGTGTCGGGAGCGGCGCCAGTCAGCGGTACACAGCAAGGCAGCACCGTTGGTGGCACACGGTGTCGAGAGCGGCGCAGGAGGTGCGGGGGCAGGTGAGGTGCTGGCAGCACATGGCGGCGGCGGCCACGCCAGCGGCAGCTGTGCGTGCCACTGACGTCAGCAACACGCAGGCAGCAAGCATTTTAACCAAAAATGCAACAGATGCTTTCACAGCAAGTCAGTCAAGACCACCAACGTCATTCTGCCGGCTCACAGTAGGCTACTGTACCAGTGTCAATATGTTCCATTTTGTGGATGCCAGGCCAAAGGAGCTTTTAACATCGGGCTGGATTTGCACCGAATCACACCCTCAAGAGCACCCAAACTTTAACACGGCATAAGCCTTCCTTTCACAAAGCCCAGAACACTGGGGGTACTTACCGTTGGCACATACTCTGATGGAAATCGGTTTGTTGTGTAGGAGATGAGCAGACAGGTTTTTCCGACTGCACCGTCACCAACCACCACACACTTGATGGTCTGCATGGCTGACGTCCCCTAAAACGAGGATGGAGGTCACCTCAATGTGGCCACATAATTGAGACCAAGCAGAATATCCTGGGATATGTTAATAGAATCTTACATGTTTGCCAGTGGCACATGCCACAGCAATTGTTAAGTGTGCTTAGCACAGCATTTAGTAGTATGCAAGTAATGTTATTCCAATGCAAATCAAATAATGCTATTGAAAATTAAGTCACATGTGGATGTGCATAAAGTCACCAAAGGAATTCGATCACATTTCATGTCCTCTATTTCACAAAAGTTGTGAGTGTCTGTATGGTCATTTGACATTCTGAACCTATCTTTATGACAACCTGTGCCCGGGTGGCTGGTTGAAAGCCCTTTGATTGGGTAGGGTCAATTTGACCCATGGGATCTTGGAAACTTGGGGGGCCAGAGACACCAATTTCACAGTGTCTGTTGGCCTGTATTTGAACTCACTTAGGTCAAAAACTTGTGATTCCTAGGCCACAACCTTTGTGTCAAATAAGGTCAAACAAGATCAAGCTTCAAATTGGTGTCCAAAGTGCAATCACAACCTAGATGCCAGTTCCAAGCAAGAGGTCAGTGGTGCTGATATAGGGCCAGTGACCTTGTTTGACCTTTTGCAGGTCACTGTGACTAAAATCATACAAGGATGCTTTGAGTTTTGTACTTTAATAAGTGTAAAAATTACTCTAGATAGTATGTTTGTACAAACAAAATGTTGAACTGGTTGATTTAAGGTCAGTGACCTCTTCTGACCTTTAAAAAGTCCATGGATGATGTTTTATGTAGTTCCTGTGATCAATAAATTTGAAATGAGCACCAGAAACTACCCAACCAGCAAGCTATACAGCAATAAAGCAGGCTGGTTTTGACCCTGGTCTGGCCTTCATACCTGACCCTAGGTCAATGAATCTTGTTCACTCAACTGTTGTGCTACCTAAGAAACTGTTTCAGAGATGTACAGCTTTGTCTAACACACTGTTATTGCATCAGACTGAATAATTCCCTAGAAATGGTCTTTGCTGAATCCATGGCCTGACTTTACATACTGTAGGTCAGAGATCTTGCATGGAATGTTTGATTCTTACATCAAATGACCTCCTATTCAGTTTTCTACAGGTGGGCAAAATGTGCCACAGCTGTGCCAGACCATTCAGAAACCATCTTGGAAAAATATACAGGGGGGCAAACTGGACCCATCCTAGCTCGTGTTGAGCTCAATCAGATCAGAGGTGACTGCAGTATTACCCTAATATGTGTGACAGGTAACATGCTGCATGTTTGCATTGCTTGCCCTGTGATTAACTGAAACAATGCTTCCAAACTTTAGTAGTGTTTTGTGTTATCACTGCAACTTGCACAACCTACCATGACATCACAGTGATGACAAATTTATCTTTGACCAGGGTAAATTACAGCTAGTAGAAAATATTATCTGCAATGCAGTCTCAAAACAGACATAAGTTGAGCTCACATAAGTTTACTTAAGTTCACATAAGTTAAGATCACATTCTGAGCTGCAAAGTACATCCACTTACAAACTGACTGCCGGACAGCACATGACAAAAATAAACATAGCACAGCAATACACCATCTTACCCTAAATAAAAACTTTGTGTTAAAGCTTAACTACACAAGCTTTCTCTGCCCGATGACAGGATGTTTACAAATGGCCACCTCAGCACTTTTATTTGGACAGCAACTTCCATTCATGACTGTGAGCACAATCATTATCATGACACATGCAGATACACAATAACAGTCCTAACTGATGAAAAGCCATGCTGAGACATGCTCCTTTGAACATTGCTTTTTAAAAGCAGATAACAAAATAAAGTAAACAAAATAAGTTTACGATAACAAATATTGTTGATGGCCTTGTCTTGGCAGATGTTTTGAATGTATCTTGTGCTGACAATTCATTAAGGTATTACAGTCAAACCAAACTTCATTTACAATAATGACCTAACCTAGCAATGACCTAATAACAGAAGAGCAGGCATTGAGCCAGACATCAAAGAACTGTTCCACTACTGAGATTTACACCCATTGCATTCCTTGTGCTTCCAAGATATGGGTGCAATAGTTCATGGTTCTTGATGCAGTGTTTCTCTGCCAGGAGGCCAGCAAGTAATCACTTCCATGTTTAACCAAAAATGACAGTTTTGTAGGCTATGCAGCTTTGCAGGCCTCTTTTCACTAGCTGCTGTTATGTTTCATGCAGCATTTGAGCATCTATGAACAGTGGTAGCTATATATGGAAATAGTGGCAGCCCAGCATAGGCTCCAAGTACCAGTCTGCTATCATCATTGGGCCATATTTTGTGGCAGAGCTGCACGAGACAGAACATATAAAACATGGAAAATATCACAAACCTTTGTATTGTATAATAAAGATGGTGAAAAGACAGTAGTATCTGCCCTATTCCTTGGAGAAGAACTGGGAGAATGGAGATAAAGTAGGGCTGATATTTCAGCAACATGCCTTTATTGAAACAATAGCAGAAGTGAACTATTGTTTGAACACTTCTGCTATTGTTTCAATAAAGGCATGTGGACAAAGTATCAGCCCAACTATATCTCCATTCTCCTGGTTTTACTCTGACAAATAAGGCTAATACTGCTGTCTTATCTGCATAAATAATGCTCCTCCTTAATGCTCTTAACAGCTTACGTAAAATTTGTGCTAGGCTGAATATACTCGGTGTAGCAGCGACATTACGGAAATCTCAGTGCAAATGTGGAAAATCTGAATTCCCAGAGATTGGCACATGGTCTCAAAAGCAAAATTGCTGGCATTTGGATGATTTCTCTTCCAGTAATCAACCAAGCATTCTGATGCCCTGTAACCTAACTTCTGTCATCTGAATATCTAGCATATATTCTCTGGAACTTGAGGTGTGACTTTACCACTGTGCCACATAAGCCAAGCAAAGCATTTAATTATGCAGTCTAGCAGGATTCCTGATGCTATCATGGCAAGTACATCCACAACCTGGAGGTCTACAACAGATCAGGAACACAGATTGCTAGTTCCCAACCATTGAGTGTGCAGAACCATCATCCTGAGAACACTAGTTCATTGAGAACATAGCCTTAACACCCATTACAAGCATAGTAACGCCTCATAGATTTTACGCCGAACTCGATGACAAATTGCCTATACTGATCCGCATATGTAAACGGCATAAGTTTCATGACTGACAATGCGATAGGTAGGTGGCAATTCAAGGTCAACGTTAAGTTCAAAAGCAAGAAAACGATTCGTAGACGTCCAGCTGTAATAACAAAAATCGTTATTACCCGCTGTCGATGGCTGAAAGACGCCACACACAATTTTTGAGGACTATTTTCACCGAAACGGTGCCACTGGGCAAACCCGGCGCACACAGGGCGTTGACGATCGAACCAAGGACAGGTAAACCAGTGCGGCGTGAAGATCATCAGCGCACCCAGCTGACAGCATTGGGTTTAGTCATCGTGATTGGCCAATGGAGTAGCTGATTCAAATGGCATACCATGGAGTAGGGTGAAGCTATATTTTGAAATAAAAGAGAATGTAGCGGACGCGATTAGGATGAGGGATCTGTAGGAAGGTACTCCACTATTTTTGAAAACATAAAAGCAGACCTTAAGCAAATGTAAAACAATGGCATCGCAAAACTCAACTTTACTCTTCCATCATCTACCAAGAATTGACTTGGACTTAACCGAAAGTAGCCAACATTATGCAATTCAACACTATGTAATGAATCATTTTCAAACCGAGTTCACGTACTCGGAAGGAGCAAGAGCTTCTTATAGGGTGGAGAGTCAGCCACCAATATGTCAAGGTTATCTCGAACCTGCCTGCCGTCCCTAATCGTAAGCAAAACTTATATATGAGTTTTCTGTGATGGTTGAGACAATGTTGGGGGAAGGAATTTAATCCGTCGCCAATGCATATATTTTCCTCATACAATTTCCGAGAATTAAACTTTTCCCGAGGTTATCAATTTTTGAATTCCTTCATAGTGTGTCAGTAAAACAAAACAAAAATATGCTAGATAAGCTTTAATTTAAGATGATATTTTCATGTTGCTGGCTTCTTAATAAACTTAGGTGATAAGTTGCATCATTACCTGCGGTTTAACCTCCCGAGAATTTGTGTGAGAAGACTGTGCTTTTCTCCACATCGATGCATTTGGCAGTACATTTCTCCTCGATCCCTGAACCTTGGTTCGTGCGCCGCGTTGCCGTCAGTCGTGTTTGATGTTTTATCGCGTGTTTGTGGCAGTGGGGTTAATTTGCCGATTTTATTACGTGAGCCGGTAAAGACTAGCAACACACGGTGATGATAATTTTCTAATCTTTGCAATAGTTGTGTGCAAATAATTTGTACAATTGAACGTTTTGGTAAGTAAATTACGCCAACTATAATCACCAGCTTTGGTGCCAGCGGCGTGGGAGCTAGTGTATATTGCCGACACGTATACTACCTTTTTAAGATGTGATGTGTGCTCATTGATGCTTGGTTAAATAAATTTTTGGGTAAACCGTTAAAACGTACCTGGGACTTCTGGGCCTTTCTGTAACTTAATGTATGATTTGTTTAACATTTGATGGAGGGTGATATAAGCAATTAGTGTTTATTGTCATAGGTCATAAATCAGGATTACTACAGCTGTGGTGTATTAACCACAACAGTTCTGCTTTGTTTACACTCCGGTTGCATAATGCATACAATGAATGTCTTAGCATGCTGTTCAGTTGGTGCAATTGTGTGAATTGCATATGATTATCAAGCTTCATTTCTGACATCGGTTATGTGTTCGTGATGTCAGGTGATTCTAAATGAATTTGAATCTTTGATCAGCATCATTGTAGTTAATGATAGTGTTCACCTGAAGATTTTGTCTCATTTATTTCTTTGTCATTTATTCTATTTTATCCTTTTTGCCATTCAGCATCCTTTTTTTGCATCCTTTTCATGTATTACACAGTAACATATGGCATGGATGTGATTGCAAAAGTATCTTAAGTGGTTAGGGGTGACCTAATGAACTACATGTGACCAAGAAATGCCTTGAACTTCTGGTTTTCCAACTATTTGATTTGGGAGTTCTTTTTTCCTTACCTCACCTTACAGCAGTCAGAAAACTTTAAGGCCATTAGCCTGTGGTTCCTGGTCTCAAAGCTCTAATTTTATGCTATTATTCATTCGCATTGAGGAATGTTGTACATGATATGGACATAATGGGAATCCAGCATGGACTCTAGCTGAATAGCTATAGTGTGCCTTCATTTATATTCTTACAGTTAATTGTGCCCAATATACCAGGAGATACTATTCAAATGATGTCATGAAACAAGCAGTAGCTTTATTAACAGCACTTCATATTTGAAGCTGTGCTGATGCTCACCACTTCACAAATGGCTGACACATAGCCATATAGTATTGATTCTAACTCACATCTTAACTTGTGATCAGGGGCACAGCCTTAGGCATCAAGTTTTGTCAGCATAGCCAATGCTTACTTGGTCATGTTAAATCATAACCTCCTTGTATTTTGAAGGTTTATGATGTCATCATCAAAATATTGCCAATAATTCACCATTCATTGGTCCACTCACTCACCAAAGGTAAGGTAAGGTAGGACTCCATGTCTGATAGACTGAGGGTTATATTTTGTCAGATGGAAGGAGATCCTAGGAGCAAAAGACACTATTATCATGTGAAGTGGATGTATGTGGGTGGAACTTTAATAAATTTGTGTGAAACCATGTCTGATGGTTAACATTTTGGAGAATATATATTTTTCTTGCTCATAGCTGCAGAGAGAAGGTCCTGAAACACTAGTTTACAGATGAGCAGTACACTATCAGTCAAACACAGGGCACAGACTTTTGCGCCCTATGCCCCCCCCCGTACCTCCAGCCTGTATAGGGCCAATTCTCTACTTAAATAACTCATGTTGGCTGAACTGAGATAGTACCAGGCTGTTACCAGTAGGCAGGAGCTATTGCAAGGAAAACTAGCTGAAAATAAGTGGAAAGCTACTGGTTGGAAATGAGTGAGTGGAATGGGGAATGGGTAAAAATTGAATTGGGAATAAGTGAAAATTCTGAATAAAAAAGCATCAAGTGAATGCTCCCAATAATTGAATTCCAGACTGCTTTTAATAATGCTATTCCTTGAAGTATTAATGCTCCCATAATGCATAATGTTTTACATTTATCACATGGCTTTCAACTGAGTTACCTTAAAACTGATATCACTGATGATGTAGTATTTTGTATATATATATATATATATATATATATATATATATATATATATATATATATAACTGCAGACAATAAGTGGAACTAGTCTGCATAAGGTAGATTTGTTATCAGGGATGTCAAACTGGATAGATGAGTAGTTGGTCAAGCTGATGGCCCAAAAAGGTAGCCCCCCAGCCATGTGTTTGTTTAAGAATTTGGCCCACTTCATATTGACAACTGGTAATTTTTATTGTTAAGGCATGTTCATTCATGAGCCATTGATTTTTGACATGACACAGCAGTCATGATCATCAGACAATGCCCACAGAAGAAGGCAGTGGGCACTGTGTTGTTAAACTTTCTCCTCTATTTATGTAAAATTCCCACCAAGAATGTTATGGTGGCCCAAAGCAACATTAGTGGGAGTGGGGATCCATATTTTGGAAAGAGGCAGAACAATCACATGCAACAAAATGCAAATTAGCACCCATGATTGTGGTCACAGACTGGCTGGTGTCCATCAATCTTAAGGATATTAAAGTTGAGAAATGGGTGATATTGATGCCATTTTATAGCATGTAATGTGAGTTTTCTGCACTCATAAAGGATTTGTGACATAGTGACAACATATTGGCATAGTGACATGGGATGAAGTGACTTATGATGAGTTGGGCAGCAGACTAAGCCCATGTTGTCTTAGTGTCAACTCATAGCAAGTTTTGCAACTTACACAGCTTTCTGGCCTAGCAGTGATGTTTTGCATAGACTGATATCTTTGGAGACATTGATTGTTTTTGTTATGCAGGCTGGTCTTTGTTCTACATGGATATAATTTGTTGTGATTGATTGATAGTGCCTTTAGTTGAATCTGAATCTGACTCTGAAACTGATCAAAATCAGTTTTGATTTAACTCTGGCCTGAAAAGATGCAGCATGTTTTCATAATTTTGCCAGCATTTGTGTAGGATATAGCACATTCTGTGGGTTATATCCCACAGTTTTAGTTGGGATATAACATATTGTGTATGTGGGGGGGGGGGGGGGGGGGGGTGTACCAGTAGTGTAGTAGTATACTGGTACTGGTGCAGGTCTGGGAAACCAGGTACCAGTTACCACCTGTCCTGCCAGGTAGAGAGGCAGGCAATACCATATGGCTTCAGCAACTGAATGTGTTGTAAAGGCCAATGACTTGGAAAGCCGGCATTGTTCATCTACCTTGTGAACACAGTCACTGTTTCATGCCCAATGCAAGGAGGGGTATCTCATAGGTGATAAAACATTTTCATGATGACTGCAGCATGTTCAGCTGGTATAGCTGCATTGGTTTGGTCAATGAGAGCTATGCCATGCTTTTACTGAGTGCTTTGCAGCAGTCAGCACTATTGTATGGCTCTGCATTCATTTCCATGAAGCAATATGCTTTGCACTATCATTGTGAGCTGATTTCGAGCTGGAGCTGTTTTTGGGTGGAGGATTAGTGTAATGCTGAAGTTGGTTTGCTTTCAGAGCAAGAATTTTTTTTGGAAGAATTTTTGATCTTTGGAAGAACTTTTAGGTTTTTGTTGACAAAATAGGGCAGAAAGTTCTGACTTTAGAACCTAGGTCATGCATTGATGATCAAGGATTGAGGCATGGTTAAAGTACTATAGGATGTTTTGATTCCTTAAGTTGTGCAGAACATGTACTTATACACAAAGGTATGCTAGTTTTAGAAGGTGAACTCCTATATGATAACACACTTTGAAACTGTGACTGGGAATTCTCTCAATTATGTCAATTGTGAACTTCAGAAATGAACACACAGGGTGTTTTGGTGTTCAATTCCCCACAGTTCCCGCCCTTCAGCAGTCGTTTTATTCCCCATGGAAGTTGATGCTGCGTAGCCTCAGTAACTAGTTAGTTGTAAAGCCCTGGTGACAATTGTAGCACAATGGTGTTATGTAAGAAAACATGTTGTGCTTGGCTCACCTACACCATTATGATCGCTAGACCAAAGTTATACATGGTTAAACTATTGTATTTACATTATATGTGTATGTTGCAATATATATATATATATATATATATATATATATATATATATATATATATATATATATACACACATATAATCCACTTGTGATGTTGTTTGATCTTTGAATTGCATTGTGAAGATTTTTGCCATTTTGATACGATTTTTAACCTCAGTGGTCAGTCAGGGGTGCATATTTTTTCACTTAATCTTATATTGCTTTTGCATTGTACCACTCGGTGTACCAGAACACTGCACAATACCAAGTGCATATCTAATGATATGTTTGGACTCACCCACGCCGCGTGCGTATTCATCTAGGTGGACTTGTTCACAGCGAAGTTTATCCGGAGATTTCCCCGAGCGCCGTGGGAAGATTTCGCTGGGGCCTTTATTCATACTGGCAGTTTTACCAACTGCATCGCACTCGTCTTCAGTTTGAGTGCGATGCAATTGGTAAGATATGTTAAGTTGGTAAGAATGTGTAGTAAGAATTGGTAGCCGACAGACCCCACTCGCACGGTTTGTCGGCTAGGTTTTCAAGCCATCAATTTAAAGCCACTGCTCAGCGCGCCGGCCTTTAGGCCCCGCTTCCGCGCCGACTGACCGGCGCCGGCCGCCGCAGGTGTCGTCGGCACATGGCCCTGGTGCAGACCCTGGCGTCGGCCAGTGTGATGACGAACGGCGGCCCCTCGAGCCGCGTCGAGCTGCCGCCGGCGGCGCCCCGCTCTGCAGCCGCGGAGCCGGCCGGCACGCCGGCGCCTGCCGAGCCCGAGCACGAGGAGGAGGAGGAGCCCGAGCCAGAGGTCGACATCGTCATCAACAACGTGGTCTGCAGCTTCAGTGTGCGCTGCCACCTGGACCTGCGCTACATCGCCATGAACGGCGACAACGTGGAGTACCGGCGCGAGAACGGGGTCAGTACCGGAGAGGGGAGGAGGGGGGGGGGGGGGGGGGCTCGGCGGCTGGTTCGTACGAGCGTATGGGTGCCCGTGCGACTGGGAATGGAGACCGGATCGAGGAACAGCGCTTAACTGTAGCAACGGACTGGGTTAGTTGGTGGATAATTTTTGGGATTTTGCGGCTTTTCAGAGGTGTCAGTTTATTTTGCATCGTTTGAAAATTGCCGAGGATATCTCGGGAATCTTTGGTCGTTTTGTCTAGCGGGATCTTTTGGTCGTTTAATGCTTGGCTTGGAGGTCTTTGCTTAGATGCACATATTTAGTTGTGGAATGAATTTTGAATGCCTTGCGCGTATTGTTTCGTACTTAGAGCATGTGCTGGGCGAGGCTGCATTTCTAACTCCACGGATGGTGCTGTCATTGTCTCATTAGCCGGATGGGAGCATGAAATAAGCTTTCATCTGTGACACACGACTGCACGAGGCAACTGCGCCACGCGCAAGGACGATCTCGGGATAGCCGCCAGCTGGCCTTCCTGTCCGTCCAAACAATGCCAAACTTGAAAGGCAGCTTCACGAATTGTGTTTGCCTCACCTGGAAAAACAGTTAGGCAGCTTGTAAATTTAAGATATTTGGGTTGCATCGATATCCCATGTCATGAACCATGGTAAACCGCCTCATGTTTGTTACAGCATCCAGCAACAGCAAGGGCTGTTGGTGTCCATGTTTCACTGGCTGGCCCTGAGAACTAGGATCGATACGATCAGCCCAGGGAGCCGTGGACCTCTGCCTTCTCTCCATGGCGGGAATCCCATCTCTTCCACACACCCGTTTTCCTCCCGTTGAGCGCTCCGTTATTCCCTCTCGGCTCCCTCGATATCGTAGTTCGGTGTCGTGCCCGCGTCTGGCCGCGCGGCGACCGGCGAGCGTCCGCGCACGCGCCAGCTGACGCCACCGCCGCCTCCCTCTAGATGGTGACGATGAAGCTGCGTAAGCCGTACGCCACGGCCTCGATGTGGTCCTCGGGCAAGATCACGTGCACGGGTTCCACGTCCGAGCCCGAGGCCAAGGTGGCCGCCCGCCGCGTGGCGCGCTACCTCCAGAAGCACCTCAACTACCAGACGCGCTTCAGCAACTTCCGCGTGGTCAACGTCCTGGGCACTTGCACTATGCCCTTCTCCATCAAGATCGCCGACTTTTCGCAGAAGTACCCGCGCACCGCCTGGTGAGTGGCGCGCCTGGTGGGATGAGGGGGGGGGGGGGTCGTCGGTGGTTCCGATGCCGGCGGTGCGGCTCGGCCGAGGCAGACTGCGCTGCTGTCCGCGCACCGACCGTGCCACTTCGGCTTAGCCAACGCAGCCGGGTACCGACACCGAGTCTGAGAGAACGGCGTGTGGCAGGATGGGACGTTATTGTCGCCGGCTTGTCCGCTGCACCGCGGCCGCTCGGTGCGCTGCATCAACGGAAAACACGGCTGCTGGCGGACTCGGGAGCCAAATGGGGACTGGGTTCTCTCAGCAGCCAGGCTAGGCTGTGTTCGCTTAGGAAAGCAAATTGTTTTATTTATGCTGAGTATTTTGTGCCTTCCACGGCGAAATGAAGTGATTTCCGAGTGCGGTCGACTCAGAGAATGTATATGTGCGTGTGCGTGTGCGTCTGCGTGTGCGTGTGTGTGTGTGTATGTGTGCGCGTGTACGCGCGTGTGTGCTGGCATGTTCTAGTTACTACATCGGGTGCTTGTCTGACGGACGCTCATTCCCGTGCTCGTGACAGGGGTGTCTGCGCCACTGCTGGTCTCCTCGCTGTGCACTGTCTGCGCCCCGTCGTCTCGCCGCCGTTGACGGTTTCCCCTTCCGGCAGTTACGAGCCCGAGCTGCACCCGGGCGTCACCTTCCGCATCAGCGAGCTGAGGGCCACGCTCAAGGTGTTCTCCACGGGCAGCGTGACGGTGACAGGTGCGTCTCGGGATCCACTAGGCACGAGCGGGGCCGGCTACTCAAGCCGGGGTTCGGCGGCACCGGACAGTCGCATTGTGGTCGCGAGACAGCTGGCTCGGCGTGTGCTCGGGACCGTTGCGATGAAGCATTTCACGATGGGAGAGGGTGTCTGTGCGAAGGGTCTCCTCACATCCGTACATTATACAGATTTCATAGAACATGGCATGTGCTGGCCGTGCTGGCAAGTGCCTGCTTTATTGTAAGCGGATCTGATAGGACATGGCACGTGCTGGCCCTGCTGGCAAGAGTGATGGTTCATTGTAAGAGGAACACGAGTGTTCGCTTGATTTATTCCACTTTTGTGGCCTGATTTAGTTGCTATGCAAGGGCCTGGAGTTAGAAACAAAACTTTGTCCATTAAAGCAGTAGAGCGTTCTAGCAAGTGTCCTGGTTCATTTAGTGTATTTCTCGTTGCGATGAGCATTCCGTTCGTGTGGTCATGATGTTGTTGCCTTGTGGCCTCAGCGCAGGATGCGAGTATTTTAATGCTATGGCATGGCATGCGAGTATGGTATAGTAATGGAATGCGAGCATGGTAGTGATACTTTCATCATGATTGTGTTGTACGCAACGTTACCGCGGGACACAGTTCAAAGTGGCGTTTTTGTGGAAAGCGGCCTTTGGAGAGGAAGGTAGAATTTTCAGCACACTAGGCAAAACCACGAGGAGAGAGGAGAGAGGAGAGAGAGAGAGAGAGAGAGAGGAGAGAGAGGAGAGAGAGAGAAGAGAGAGAGGGAGGGAGGGAGGGAGGGAGGGAGGGAGGGAGGAGGGAGGGAGGGAGAGAGGAGAGAGAGAGAGAGAGAGAGAGAGCGAGGGAGAGAGAGAGGAGAGGGAGGGGAGAGGGAGGGGAGAGGGAGAGGGAGAGGGAGAGGGAGGGAGAGGGAGAGGGAGAGGGAGAGGGAGAGGGAGGGGAGAGGGAGAGGGAGAGGGAGAGGGAGAGGAGAGGGAGAGGAGAGAGGGAGAGGAGAGGGAGAGGGAGGGGAGAGGGAGAGGGAGAGGGAGAGGGAGAGGGAGAGGGAGAGGGAGAGGGAGAGGGAGAGGGAGAGGGAGGAGGGAGAGGGAGAGGAGAGGGAGAGGGAGAGGGAGAGGGAGAGGGAGAGGGAGAGGAGGGGGTCTGGTCCGTGTGGCTATCAGACAGTCGCGCACCCACCCAAGCATAAGATGTCTCCATGTTGATTTATGTGCGTATATACTTAGTGCCGTAATTTTAGTGCGATAATCCGAAAAGTGTCAGCTTCCATCACCGTCTCTGTTGCCGGTCGGGTGGCCCAGGACCACTGAAACCGTGCGGTCGTGACTCCTGGCACCACGGCTCGATGGGTGTGTATGTGGTGACCCGACACCGGGCCTCCGTCTCGTGCTGACGTGACCCCTCACCTCCGCCCGTGTGCTAACCATCCCCCGCACTTTTGTCTCGGTGCTGACCTCACTCCGTACCTCCCCTTCGCTGACTCCTGCGAGCGCACGCGCTTGTGTGTGTGTGTGCGCTGACCTGACGTGACCTGCGCCGCCCGGCAGCGCCGTCGGTGGCTGCCGTGCAGCAGGCCATCGAGCACGTCTTCCCGCTGGTGCACGAGTTCCGCAAGAAGCGGACGGCGGCCGAGCTGGCGGCGGCGGCGGCGGCGCGCGCCCGCCGCCACCCCTCGCAGCTGGCCTCCGACAGCGAGGTGGACCTGGTCGACTCGAGCGACGAGGACGAGGATGACTGAGGCCCTCCAAAGACGCCGGCGCCGCCGCGTGCGTCCGCCTCTAGTCAACGGCGGCCGACCGGCCGGCCCGGCCGCCGCCGCCGCCCCGCCGTTGCCCCGCCGCCGCCGTCTCCTCGTGATGCACCAAGTGACCTGCGGCGTGCCGGACCGTTTTACACTTTGTCATAGCGCCAGGCGCCGGCGGCGTACGTCCGCTCAACACGGCCGCCGGCCCGCGGGCGCCACGGCCGGGCTCTCAGGCCGGCGGTGCTCTCGCCACCCATACCGAGGCGTCGCCGGCGCGCGCGGCCGCCAGCCTGGTGACGCTCGTGTGCTGCTCACATTCGCGCGGCCGCGGCCGGGGCGAGATCGGGTCTGTGGGCGGCGCGCGCGCGCGCGTGCGCGGTCGAGCGCCCCGTCACCGCGGGCGGGGCGCGGCCGCGAGCGGACACCTTCCACGTAGCTATGCGTCCGTCTGACGACCGGACTGTGTGATAGGCCGGCCCAGCGAGCTGGGATGTCGTTAAAGACTAGGCCCTAGTGCTATTCTACTGTACATTGCCTGTGAGTGTACATACTGGTGCTTCGACACGGCGGGTATGACGCGTCGCGGGCGGCCGCCCGCGGCGGGTCGACCCGCGCGCTCAGGCCGACGGCGGCACGCGTGATCTGGCAGCCCGGCGCGCCGGCACGGGACCCGCTTCTGTGCGTGGTGAGCGCGGTGGCCGGTGTGGCATTGGCGGCTCCCGCGTGGGCTCTGGCTTTGGGCAGACGCGGAAGCGGAGAGTATCTGACACTGTGACGGGCCTGTTAGGCTTACATGATCCGACCCCATGTGTGGCGCCGATGTGTTACCGCTTCCCCCGCGCTCTTGCTGTGCTGAGTTGTGTTGTGTTTGTCAGCTGTTTTCTGCGTGCGCACCGCGCGGCTCGGCTCAGTGGCCGCCTGTTTGTACCGTAGTAAGTTATTGATAGTGCCAGTCAACGTGTGCGGAAGCCGACCCTGTTGAAAGCATGCGTCGGTGAGATGGCGTTTGCGTGCCTGCGAGGGTGACGGCTTCCGCGAAAGGGCACAGAGTGTTGAACTGTAGGAAATGGTGGCATCATATCTCGGCTCTGGCAATAAGACCAAGTGACCACTGTAATAATATGATGCGTGTGCGCGGAACCGATCGGCTTTACACACGGTCTTCTTACCTGTTCCGAATAAACTCGTCCGGATACAGTCAGCCCTGTTATTTCGCCGGCGAAACTGATCGGCTTCACACACGGTCTACTTAACTGTTCCGAATAAACTCGTCCGGGTACAGTCAGGCCCGTTAGCCGGCGGACCCAGCCTGCTTTCGGCTGCCAGAGGCAGTCGTCAGTCCCGGGGGTGTCTGGTAATAGGACCCCGTATGATGTCCGTTCGTCTGCGGTTGGTTGGATGTTATCTACAGTCGCCCGGCGCGGATAACTGAGCGTCAGCCATGCCGCTTTGGAATCTATCTACATTGTTATATTTGAGGTTTGACCAAAGGAGCTATGTTTTGGTGCTGAGAAGTGTGACCGTCAAAACGAGGCATCAGGACGGCAGAAATTAAGATGCAACTCGTCGCTGTGTGATTATTGGAACCGACGTTAACTTCAGTTGATTTGACGATGCCGCCATAAAATGGCAAGATCTGGGGACACAATGAGCAATATTTATCGGAAGACCTATTCCTGCGGATTTTTCACGGAAATCAGTTTTGCAGTTCCGCAACATAAATGGGGAAGAGGACCGGACACTGAACAATAACTAAACCTACCACACGATGCGCTGACAAACGGTTTTTCATTTGGTCCATGCCTTTCTCACAGATGGGAGTACTGACCTTCCCCCGCCCCACACTTCCACTATCGTAAAAGAAAACCTCATCTATGCCGGGAATCCGGCGTTCGAATACGATCCCTCCCCATCAGCCCGGCTGTTTATTGGTTCCTGTCACTAGAATTCAAAAAAGACGTCTCTTACTTGGTTTTAAGGTTCAAAATATCCTTCATTTGGGTATTTTTTTATAAATTGAGGGGAAATACGCCCCAGTTCGGCTTGCTGGCAGCATATTAGCTTACTGATTGCCTTATCATTTGAGCAGGCAGCCTTACGTTGCAATTTCTACAATTTGATCGCATTCATCTTTGCGGGAACCCGATCAGCTGATCGCCGTAGAGCGCTGCGAAGCCAGATTTGGGGGCGGAGCTTGTCGAAAGTCCCGTATGAGCGATGGCGAACGAGTTTCGGGTGTTCAGCTGCTGTCCTCCGTAGAACGTTTCGCCGCCGTTCAGTTGTGGCTCAGAATCAGTTTGTTTTCTGTCGTTACCTTAATGACATAACCTGGCATTGATGGTGATGCATGCTAGGAAACTTCCCCGGCTGAGTGATGGGTACGATAACGTCGTAATTGTCCTTAGAACATAAGTTTGTCGCGCTTTGGTTTCCCGTTACCCTTGTGTGGCGGCGTGTTTGTGTCCGTGTTGTGAATTGGATGTAATGCCGATGTGATTATTTATCATGGCGTTCTCATTCACACTTTTTCTTTGTTAATTTAACGTGTGTCAAGAGCTGGTATGTTTCTTGCTAAACGCTGCGTTGTTGCAGTTCCAATCCTTTACCGATCTAATTATTAAGGTATTTTTGCTGATAATTGGATGAAATTAAAAGGCATTTGCTATTCGTTGTGGATGACCAAAGTTCTGTTCTGTTTTTGTTCTAAACCTCAAAATTGGTGAGGATATTGTTCAGGCAAACAAGTAGTTGGTTTAGAAAAATAACTGATGACCCTGGCTACCATGCCTAGGTTTTGTATGTGATATGCTTGTACTGAAAGTTGGAATTAGCAACTGGCATTGGATTTCTTAGCCCATAATGTGGTGTTGCCTTCTCAAGAATGAACTCCAAGTAGTGAATACATATTTGGTTTTGCCTTATTGTAAAAACCTTGCTAGGGATTTTTCATAATGATTTGTTTTGTATTAAGTTAAGCTTATAAAACACATTCCCCAAATATATGTGGGCACCATATGACCAGGGAAGTCAGTGCATCCTACAGCACACATCATCATCACTCCCAAAAATGGTGAGCTTTATCCATCCATTCAAATAAAAATGCAGTCATGTTGATTGTCATTGTATAGGAATGATAGGTAATAATCTTGATTGACTAAATTTAGGTACCTGTACTTTCCATTAGCACATGCCAAAGTGCAAGACATAGTAATGTGTTTATTTTACAGGTGTTTTGGGGTCTATTAGTTTGCATTAGGTGATCTTAGCATCTTTGTCTGGTTGTCCTGAATCATATGTGTGTTGAATTATTATATGATTCAGCAGAATTGAATGCTGAATGTGCAGGCACAATATCCAGTAGAGTGCATTGCATATGTAGCAAGTTTAATTGTAGTCCAGGCTTTCATCAAATACATCTGGATATTATAACCCACATGTCATTTGCCAAACCAGCAAAATATCACCTTTTGGAAGGCCTTAATTTCAATGGATGAGATTGTCACAGGCCCTGCTGTAAGTGGTATTTCTAAGAACTCACAGAAATGGAGCAAGGTTTTGGTATATATTTGGCATTATTTGTAAGATGTTTGTCATGCATTTTATGCAAAAAGTACAACACAATGGCTCTTGCCAGTTCACAGTGTCATGCACCACTCACAGATTAATCCATCTGTCTTTGTTGCAACTGAAGCCTGGTTTAGGGCTGAATGGCAAGGAAATGCTTGACATTCCTTAGCACTGATGAATGTATCCAGTTTCTTCCCAATGAGAGTTGCATGCTATTGGCTTCATGGTATCATTGTGAAGGGTTATTGAGCGGCAGCCATAATCTTTGGGGCGAATGACCAGATTTCCACTGCAATGTTCTGTGAGTTATTGCTATGGACAATATTGTGGTCCACTCAGCCAAATTTGTGTTGCCATTTAAGTGTCCAGTCAATTTTGACAAATTATTGCTGGCTTAAATTGGCAAAAATGGTGAAAATGGTGATTTTAGATGGTTATTGTGAAAGCGTTATGATAGTTTCATTTTAATCATAAAATCAAGAAAAATATGCTGACAGCAGCAGTGCAATAAAAGTATATGGTGTTTTTGCTGTAACAGGTATCTGGTTGTGTGCTCTGAAATTGGCAATTGACCATGCCTGCCATGGTCCATCACTGTTCTTAGAAGTAGTTCAGACATGAACAGTAGCTCCATGGTTGCAATTTTGGGGAGTTCACAAAATTCTGAAATTGTGGCAAGTTGCTCTCAGAAAGGGGCTCTGGACAACTTAGGTTTTTTTCTTAAACCCATGAGAATAGTTGGCCTACCACCTCTGTGGTGCATGTTAATTTTATTCAAAGCCAGCTCACTGTTGCTGAGCTGAGGCTCTGGCCATTAAGTAGACCACAGCAGAATCCACACACTGATTTTTCATGATTGTTAGGGATGTTTGGAAAGCCTGAGTTAAGGATGATGCAGATTTATATAATAACTTGCGAGCATATATGTGAGAGTAGTTTTGGTCTAGGAATAGGATGAGTGCTATATGGCCACACAGTCAAAGCACCAGTGACCCTTATAGACATTGGTCTAGGAATGGGCTGTGTGTGCTGGACATCAGTAGTGGATTAGTTAGCAGATATTTAGCTGGCTTCCTGGTGTATATGGCATATAGCTGGCCTCCTGGCATCTTTAGGAAGGTTATATTTACAGGATGCAATTCAATCAATGTAGTAGATGGTTAATGAAAGGAAACATTGTTCCAAATGTATGCTGGTTTGCATTGAAATGCTGTCATAACTCATAGTTCTTTCCCCATGGGTGTCCACAATTTTGTGCACTGATCTCATCATCATTGGGTTCTGAACCTAAGATTTTAAGATCACAAGCACTGATAGTGGGTGCAGTTTGCAGTTTTCAGATGTTAATGATATTAAAATTTGATCTAAGCCCTTTTTAGTTGCCCGGATATGCAGAAAATTGTGTACACCTGCAATACAAATTGATAATGTGGTGTGATGCTGTAGTTTTGGTACACATTTATGCTGTCAGAAACTAACCATGCACAAAACCATGATGGATAGAAGCAATGTCATGCATATTATATCCTGTTTTTCACAGTTTCATTTCTCATTTTAATGGCAAATATGGATACTTTGCAGTACATTTTTGTCAATTGCCTGCAGCCACACCAGGTGCCATTGTCATTCAATCAACATGTCTCGCTGCCTTCATTTTGTCAGTGTAATCACCTGTTAGTTAAAAGTGGTTACATTGAAGTTGTGATAGTGTAGTGCTGCTTCTGTACTCCATGCCCTAATAGGTACACTTACAATATTTGATTGTTTGTCATTTCCTGCCTTGATTAGGTTCTTGTGCTTTTCCACCAGCCAGTAACACATCTAACAAACCTGTTTCAGCTGGTTGTTGTCAACCCTGTTGATTGTTCCAGCAGTCTTTAAAGCATATGTTAGTTGGAAACATTTTTTGAAAATGTAGGGTGCTTCTTCCTCTAATTTCTTGCTTTTCTGTTTGTCAGGCCCACCCCTATTATGCTACTTGTAGTTAGGATTGCCTCAGGGAATTTCATCTGCAGTTAATGAAATGGACGTGATAAAATGAGGTCCTCTTTAGTAGTGATTGGGCAAAGCAGTGCTATACCTCACATTTAAAAAGCTGAGCCACTACCTGTGCATGTTAATTGTTGCAAGCCAGGTGCTGTTAGAAGCATGGGGCAAAGCAGCATGGCTTGTGGTATGCAGATAAAAGTGAACTGTTAACTGGTGGAACAGTCTGAAATGCTCTTCAAAAGAATCCATTGTACATGTATTTTGTTTAGCCTGTAATCTACCTGAAATGTCAGAACAGTAAGCTGGGCTGGATCAGCAGTTCTCCCTTGCCCTGGTTGTGGCATGCACGTTTTCTTTCCTGAGCCCTTGTCTGTGAGCAGGGGAGGCTCAGCCTGGGAGCACACAGTTGTCTGTGAGCAGAGGAGGGTTGGTGTGGGGGCACACAGTTGTCTGTGAGCAGAGGAGGGTTGGTGTGGGGGCACACAGTTGTCTGTGAGCAGGGGAGGCTTGGCCTGGGAGCACACAGTTGTCTGTGAGCAGAGGAGGGTTGGTGTGGGGGCACACAGTTGTCTGTGGGTGGGAGATATTTGGTGTGGGAGCACACTCTTTTCTGTGAACAGAGAGATTTGGTATGGGTGTACATAGTTGTCTGTGAGCATGGGAGGCTTAGCCCTTAGGCACACAGTTGTTTGTTACATGTGTGTTTTGTTTATATTTATGAGATTGTATTGACAAAATTTAATGCTGCAGTCCCTGGTTGTGGCCATTTATAACCATGAGCACTGGCTGAGATATCAAACTTTGTCAATATAACCATTACTGGCTTCATAGCATACCTTGTGGTACATAAAGAATTGCCCATTGTAAGAATAAGAACTGCCGACTTAAATGTTTTGTATTTTCCTGAGCGAAGTTAGATACCAGAAGGTTTTGGTCTGCTTTTTATGGTATGGATTGTTTATCTGCAATATTCATTACTTGTATGCCCATATGACAAAGCTGAAGAGCCTGATGTAAGTTTTGTTTCTACACAATCTTTTCTTTAATTCTGCAATTGCCTGCACTACATACTTGTGCATAATAAGCAGACATGCACTCTGGTGCTAAGACACACACAATTTTCTGTCTGTCCTGCATCCACCTTTTTTGTTGCCCATCACTCTCCATTGTTGTGACCCATGTTTCTTTGTGTGTGTGTAGTTACAGTGCAAAGTCCGGGTATGACGAGATGCTGGTGCACGGCTCGCCCAACGGCAAGGCGGGCTTCGCGCGCAGCATCAGTCCGGACTCGCGCAGCCAGAGTCCGCGCTACCCCAGCAAGTCGTCCTACCACCGCGACAGCCGACTCAAGGACTACAGGGACCACCGAGACTACCGCGACAGGGACAGGCATAGAGGTCAGCCAGCTGACAGGCGGTGTCGAGCCGCGGCACTGCGTCTCTGATGGCTGGGCGATTGAGAGCACGTTTCCGGACCGGCCGTCAATCTCGTGACTTGTGCTGGCAGCAGCGCCATGCAGCGAGCGGGGCAGCCGTGTGCTCGTGTTGGACCCCTAACCGGTGTTCCACCGGCTCGGAGCGTTTTGGAGGATTGTCATTAGCTCTCAGCAGCTACAGCAGCTGTTGACGCGAATGTGGTTGCGCAATGCGGTGCTAAAGCAAATTTACGATCCACAAATTATTACGTGGTCTTGTCATCCTATGAACCAAAGAGATGTCATTTATCCGCCAGAAAGTGGCCATTGTCGCGTTTTTAAGACCCTGTATCGAACATAATGTGTTTGGTTCTGGACACCGTGGGAGATTGAGCCATGGTTGTGAATGTGATCAACACTCATTGTAGAAGTACTTTTTTGCATTGTTGTGGTTGCTTTCATTGAAAGCGTAAGTAATACCAAGTTGATCAATTTCACGGAGAAAAAGTGGGCGGTCCACGCAGGCTCGCGAACAGCCCATTTTCAAACAATGCCATCCGTACATTTGCGCTAGAATGCCCCTCATCAGTGAACGTCCTTGCCTGCTGAGCTCCTCAGAGACAGGTGTGTCAGTTCATGACTGAGGCCTCGTATGGACTCCGAGGGTGGGGGGCTCATGCGACTGGCATTCGCGTATGTTTCGGTGTCGCGTACACTCCTCAGAGGCAGGTGTGTCAGTTCATGACTGAGACCCCGTGTGGGCTCGAGCGGGGACTTGTGCGGCTGGCATTTGCGTATGTTTCGGTGTCGTGTGCACTACGAAAACGTGCACTACAAACATGCTACCATCTCCCTAGCCCACGTCTTAAAAGGCATTTCAATGCTGGCAAGCCTATGAAATGATCATGGTAGTTTACAGACCAAAAAAGTATGTTGGTTTAAGAGCGCCTTGCTGCGTTCAGGATGGCCACGTGGTGGCGCGATGGCCCCGCGGCATGCAGTGTCATCGCTGTTGTTTGTCATAGCGAACATTTTTGGTCGATCATACAACCTAGGGTGCCAGAAAATGGCTGAAACCATGTCCTTTACAGCAGATAAGTTCCATGCGTGTGGCCGTATTGGCGTCAAACTAAAACCATAGCTACTTCTCCAGCCGTGGAGAACGGCTAAGTGGTGTTGGCATTGAAAAATTGTGAAGCTTCTTGAACAATTTCAAAACCAAAGTACGAGTATACAACTTTCGGAATTGGGCTTTTTCGATGTTTGCGTGGTAATGCTTTTAGTTCGCCTTCTGCCACCTACAGATGCCTCGGCCAGACTCTATAGCAGCGTTGGTTTGCACTCAGTTGTGGGTGTAGATTGGTGTGGCCATTGGACGGACCTGACCTCCCCACATGTGGCATCAGGCACTTCATCTGGGGCAGGAGCCGGTCCTGCCAGTACAGACCCTTGTCTGTCGCGCGTGACACCAGATACAGGGTTCCTTTTCCCAATTACTAAAATGCATGCTTTAAAGTATATTTTTGTACAGAGCCCAAATGCATATTGTTATGTTTGTAGCCGCAGGTTGTAGCCTTTGTTTTCGATTGTGTGGCGTTGACATGCTGTCAGCAGGCAGCACACTTTCTAGGAGCAATCGCTTGCATTGCTGCGAGAAGCTGACAGCATTTAAGCATAATTTTGTGCTGCGGTAGGCACGGTTTTTGTACAACAAGGTTATATGATTTTGTTGGGAACGCCAGCTTGTGGATGGCTGTGCCACGTGTTGACCTGCTGCAGCTTCTGTGCACGTCAGGTGTGTGTTTCCTCTCCCCAGGCACAGAAGCAGCCCCCGCGACCGGGACCGGGACCGGGACCGAGACCGCTACAGAGACCGGGACCGGGACCGGGAACGGGACCGTGAGAGGGACGGAGGCCGGTCCTACGAGCGCGCCGACCGGGACCGGTCCGAGGTGAGCGGGCTGTGTGTGGAGAGCGGGAGGGGTGGAGATAGAGGGACGGCCGAGCGGGCTGAGCTGCTGTGTGTGGGGAGCGGGAGGGGTGGGGATAGAGGGACGGCCGAGCGGGCTGAGATGCTTTGTGTGGGGGAGGGGGAGGGGTGCGGATAGAGGGACGGCCGAGCGGGCTCGTCCGCTGTGTGTGGGGAGGGGGAGGGGTGGGTGATCGAGGGACGGCCGAACGGGCTGAGCTGCTGTGTGTGCGCAGCGGGAGGGGTGGAGATAGAGGGACGGCAGAGCAGGCTGAGCTGCTGTGTGTGGGGAGCTGGAGGGGTGGAGATAGAGGGACGGCAGAGCGGGCTGAGCTGCTGTGTGTGGGCAGCGGGAGGGGTGGGGATACAGGGACGGCAGAGCGGGCTGAGCTGCTGGTGTGGGGAGCTGGAGGGTGGGGTGGAGATAGAGGGACGGCAGAGCGGGCTGAGCTGCTGTGTGTGGGCAGCGGGAGGGGTGGGGATAGAGGGACGGCAGAGCGGGCTGAGCTGCTGTGTGGGGAGCTGGGGGGGTGGGATAGAGGGACGGCGCAGAGCGGGCTGAGCTGCTGTGTGTGGGCAGCGGGAGGGGTGGGGATAGAGGGACGGCAGAGCGGGCTGAGCTGCTGTGTGTGGGCAGCGGGAGGGATGGGGGATAGAGGGACGGCCGAGCTGGCTGAGCTGCTGTGTGTGGGCAGCGGGAGGGGTGGGGATAGAGGGATGGCAGAGGGGGCTGAGCTGCTGTGTGTGGGGAGCGGGAGGGTGGGGGATAGAGGGACGGCCGAGCTGGCTGAGCTGTGTGTGGGGAGCGGGAGGGGTGGGGATAGAGGGACGACCGAGCTGGCTGAGCTGCTGTGTGTGGGCAGCGGGAGGGATGGGGAGAGAGGGACGGCCGAGCTGGCTGAGCTGCTGTGTGTGGGGAGGGGGAGGGGTGGGGATAGAGGGACGACCGAGCTGGCTGAGCTGCTGTGTGTGGGGAGCAGGAGGGGTGGGGATAGAGGGACGGCGGAGCGGGCTGAGCTGCTGTGTGTGGGCAGCGGGAGGGATGGGGAGAGAGGGACGGCGGAGCGGGCTGAGCTGCTGTGTGTGGGGAGCGGGAGGGGTGGGGATAGAGGGACGGCAGAGCGGGCTGAGCTGCTATGTGTGGAGGGGGATGGGGTTCAGGGGGACGGCTGTGCGTCTGTGGCAGACTCGTATGGATACCGCTTTTGGTTTTGCTTGATTTTTGTGTTGTGCAGTGTTCTTGGCTGGCCCCTTGAACGTGCCGAGCTTTTCCGCATATATCGATGGTTACTGGTTGTTGATGGTGGTAACTTGGGTTTATGTGCTGGGGTCAGTCTGCCAATGGGTATGAAGTCCTCCTGCCCCACCATGGCAGGATTCGGCGATGTTATGATGTCGCTTGATCTGGCTTTGCTCCGTGGTCAATCTACGCCATAGATATTGTCCTACTCGGCACCCCTGGTCTTCTTCTAACCTTTACTCCTGGTCCGCTTGTGCGTGGACACTGCTCTCTGGTGTCAGGCTCTCTATCTCATCATATTCAGGCACACTGGTCGTCTTCCACGGCGGTTGAAATTTCACCGAATGTCAGGCCCCCTCGTGGCCGCCTTTGCCACCGCCACGATCCCCTGCCTCTCTGACCTGACCACGACCTTACCCGACCTGACCACGCTCTGACCTGACCACGCCGTGACCTGGCCACACCCTGACATGACCACGCCGTGACCTGGCCACGCTCTGACCTGGCCACGCTCTGACCTGGCCATGCTCTGACCTGGCCACGCCCTGACCTGACCACGCCGTGACCTGACCACGCTCTGACCTGGCCACGCCCTGACCTGACCTTGCCCCATGGCCAGGCTCGCCGAGATGATCGGCCGTCGCGAGTGGGGCCCTGGACTGAGCACGTCTCGTCGTCCGGCAAGAAGTACTATTACAACTCGACGACGGAGGTGTCGCAGTGGGACAAGCCGCGCGAGTGGTTGGACGCCGAGCGGCGCGACTACCGGGACGGCGAGGCCGGCTCGCAGCGAGCCGCCTCCAGCGCCGCCTCTGCCGCACCGCCCGACGCCAAGCCAGGTCAGTAGGCGGCCACCGGACGGCCAACGACGGGACAGCTCAGGGTAGGTCAGCCCAAGTGGCCGGCTGCTCAGTTGGCGTTATGTCGCTGATTAATGAAGCGTGTGCAGCATTCGGTGCTGTTTATTGGCCCTCAGTTGTGTGTGGCACTTCGTTGATGACCGTAATTGGCTCACGTGGTCGTCCGTGACCGCATTGGTGGCATAATGATGTAACGTGGGGGTGATAGCAATGGTTCATTAGTTCACATCACAGCGAGTTTTGTGCCCATTACTTCGCCAACGTACTGGTGGAGTCCGTTCAAGCTGCTTATCCCTGCATGAATCGTTCCTTTGTCAGGCCCCCCCCCCCCCCCCCCCCTCCTCTCAGTTGTTACTGTCCGTCTCCGTGGCAGTTTCTTCCGTCCCGTAGTCGGTGCTGCGATGCTCAGCCAACTCCCCCCCCCCCCCCCCCTCCTGGCGCCCCTGTGCCTCTTCAGTGGCATCGTTGTGCTGGCCTGTGAAGCGGCTGGCTGCCGCGCCCCCTCCACCCGCCCGTAACTTGCCGCCCCCTGTCGCCAGCGGCCGTGCGCGGTGGCTACGAGCGCGTGGGCGGCGGCGGTGGCGGCGCCCGGCGCGACTCGGTGGGCGAGCGTGAGCCGCGGCCGCACCGGGATCGCGCCGAGCACCGCGAGCGCGTGCGCCGCCGCTCCGACGAGCCGCGCACCAACGGTCAGGCACAGGTGAGTACCGGCGCCGCCCGCAGACGTGGCCCCAGCGCTGGCTGCCGCGTCAGGGGCGGGGCGGCGTATGGCAGGTGGTGCTGGGATGCCGGTGATGTGCCCGGGTCAGGGGCGGGGCGGCGTATGGCAGGTGCTGCTGGGATGCCTGGTGATGCGCCCGGTAGGCGGATTGGTGGTTCGTGATCGCTTATTTACTGTGTCGTTGTTTTGTGACGTGCGTTCTGGTGTTTGCTTGCTTATCATAGTGATTTTAAGTACTGAAAAATGTTGTGCAATGCTTCTTAAAGGGTTAAAGCTGAGCTTACGCTGCTAGAATTTCCCGCGTTTTGGACGCCAGCTTTGGAATGATAGAGCAGATAAACATGGTGGATGCGACTTGCGGATGTCGCTAGTTGTTGTGGACCTGGTGCGAATGTTATTGCAAAGGAGATAGACTGATGTGCTGCTTCACGGATGTCGCTAGTTGTTGTGGACCTGGTGCGAATGGTATTGCAGAGGAGATAGACTGATGTGCTGCTTCACGGATGTCGCTAGTTGTTGAGAACCTGGTGCGAATGGTATTGCAAAGGAGATTGATCGACGCGTTGCACCACGGATGTCGCTAGTTTATTTATTGCACATCAGGTGCAAGTAGTATTGCAGAGGAGGAAGACTGACGCGCTGCACCGGGCTGCCGCCACTCATGAGCAACCGGCTGTGAAAATTCTGTGATGAATCCGTGGCCTCCGAACACGACGCATCTCTGCTGATCCATGTCATGGACTCCCCGCGGATATTTCCATTCGGGGCGGGGTACCAGTGTGTTGTCTTCCGGTCGTGAAGCACGTCTTTTTAGCCACATAGCGCACCATAATCGGTAGCTATAAGGGGACGTTGACTCGTAACAGCATGCAAATCATGGGCATATTAAACTAAACAAACATCTGAGTGCGCAACTAAACATAAATGTCCAGTTTGAGCAGTACTTACAGTACAGTACAGTACAGCAGTACAGATGATGATAATTGGCAACACGAACATGGGATCAGGCATTTATCCTGCATTGGTCATGTTGAGAATAGCATTATCATGGAGCACATCAGTCTCAGTTTTTCTCAGCTGTTAGCATGGGGTGCAAAATCGTGTGGTACACCTCGGCCAGGCGTTGCCAGTTGTCCTACGCTGTTAACGCTTCGTCGTACGCCATCGCCAGTTGTACACTGGAATCACCCCTCGAAGAATTTGGCCGTTGTGTACCGGCAATTATTCCCACAACTTGCAAATGCTTAAGTCGTGTTGGGTGGGCGAAGCGTGACAAGTTAGACGGCCCCCCCCCCAAAAAAATGTAATGCACGGTAAGACCTCACCTGCAAAATACTGAGATTGAGCGATGTTACAGTCATCGGATCGAATCAATCACCTCCTGACGGAACTCGGTATGCCTGCGCCGGGCCGGGTGTGAGTGTGCGAGTGCTCTGTTGGTGGGCAGCGCGCGCGCGTGGCGGCGCTGACCGTCTGTGTGGCCCAGTTCCAGAGGCAGCGGCGGCCGCCGCGGTGCCGCCGGGGGCGCTGGTACCGGCGCCGGCGCGCCAACCGACCCGTGAGTCCTGCCCGTGCCTGCTCCTGCTCCGCGCCCTCCGTCCCCGCCGCTGCCGCTTCCCGCTGCCGTGCCTGCGTGCGTGTGGCCTCCTGGTCCCGCGCCGTCCGCTGCCGGCCGCCGTTGCTGCGTGTGTGTATGCGTGTGTGTGTGTGTGTGTGTGTGTGTGTGTGTGGTGTTTGTGTGTGTTTGTGTGTGTGTGTGTTGTGTGGTGTGTGGTGTGTGTGCGTGCGTGCGTGCGTGCGTGCGTGCGTGCGTGCGTGCGGCGTGCGTGGCGTGCGTGCGTGCGTGCGTGCGTGCGTGCGTGCGTGCTGCGTGCGTGCGTGTCGTGCGTCGTTTCGTGCGTGCGTCGTGCGTGCGTGCGTGCGTGCTGGTGCGTGCGTGCGGCGTGCGTGCGTTGCGTGCGTGCGTGCGTGCGTGCGTGCGTGCGTGCTCGTGCGTGCGTGCGTGCGTGCGTGCGTGCGTGCGTGCGTGCGTGCGTGCGTGCGTGGCTGCGTGCGTGCGGTGCGTGCGTGCTTGTGTGTGTGTGTGTGTGTGTGCGCGCGCACGCGCGCGCCTTGCTCCCATGCAGTCCGAACACGACGGTTCGTCGTGTGAGTGCGTGAGCTCCGGCTCTTGGCCTCCCAGGACCTGTTCCTCCCCGAGAGACCAGCATCTGACGCTCCGGTAGGACGTTTGCTGGCCGTACGCCCCTGGTGGTCTTGCTACCGTACCGTCCGCCTCTGACCACCGTTGCTGACGGGTCATACCCTCCCCCCCCCCGCCCCCACTCCCCTCTGACGTATTACCGCTCTGCTGTCCGCATCCCGTCGTGGGCCGCTCTCTTCGGCCGTCGGCCAGCCTCCACCCCACCCCGCCCCGCCTCGGCCGCCGCCGCCGCCGCCGCCGTCGCCACCGCTGTCTGACCTCGGCCGTGTCTCGCCGGCCCGCAGCAGGACATGGAGATCTCGTCTGGCGACAGCACGCCGACGGAGGAGTCCGCCGGCGGCCTGGCGGAGGCGGCGGCGCCACGGCTGGCCGGCCTGACGGCCGTCAGTCTGGCGGCGGCGCTGCCACGCCTGCTGCAGCCGGCCGCCGACGGCGCGCCGCCGCCCGACGACGATCGCGGCCCGCCCACGCCCACCCTCTCCGAGCCGGTCGACACGCCCGACCGACGCACCGACCGTGAGTAGGCCGGCAGGGAGGGGGACGATCTCGGAGGGGTGTTGGGGAGGGCGACTGCCGAGAGGCCAAGCGAGGAGTGTTGGGGGAACGCGGGGCCCAACTTGTCTTGAAGTTAAGGTCTTGTATTACCATAGTGGGGTGGATGCTTAACGTAATGAAGAGGAGTAGAGGAGCCTGGGCAGTATCACCCAGTCGCTGCGCATGAACTCAGGATAATGGGGAGGAAAGGCTGGTGCTTTGGGTATAGAGACCAGCCTTGTGCCACACCTTCACAGAGCATGAATTATGCCATTCTTACCACTAGCATCAACCCGTTTAAGTCTGTTAGGGGTCTGGGGAGTGAACTTGCACCCTGGGATTGCTGTTTCTTCGGGAGTGGTGCGCCGAGCGGTGGTGGATCCTGTGACGCTCCAGTAGAGTTGTACGTTGTTTAGCGTGATCAAAACTGCTGAAAGTGTGACCGTGTGTTCCGTTGTTCGTTTCACCAGTGGTCAAGTGTTCCGTGCTTCAGCAACGGCACAGTGCGATTCAGCAGTGACGAACCAAAGATCATGTTTCAGCCGTGTTTTGCCGTGGCTCATCATTTGTGAGCTCAGCATTGTTCCGCTGTGTTTCGGCATTGATGAGCTGCTGCGCGTTTCGGCAGTTTTATTCTGTAATTCCGCAGTGCAGACGTTGGATTGCGTGTCAGCAGTGTTTTGTTGTGTTTGCGCAGTGGTGGGTTATATGCGGTATTTCAGCTTTGTCGCGCTGCATGTCTGCAGTGGAGTGTCACTCATCGTGTTGCGGCACCGGCGAGCTGTCGGCCGTGCTTCAGCTGCGCTGGGCGGTGTTCTGCGCTCGCTCGGGAGTATTGGTCGGCGGGCCGTGCGTGAGCGGAGACGTGTGGCGTGTTTCAGCAGTGGTGAGCCCGTGCAGCAGCATCAGCAGCCTGCAGCAGACGAGCCTGGCGGCGCTGCGGCCGACCATGCCGCAGCTGACGCCGTCGCACGCCCAGTACTACAGCGAGCACCTGATCCAGCACGTCGTCCAGTGGCCGGCCACCGTGATGGAGAAACAGGTGAGCGCCGCGGGCGAGGCGCGGCCGGTCCGTCTGCCGACCCGCCGCGCTCCCGGTACCGGGCGCGCTGTGCGGACGCTGCTGCGTGTATGGGTGTGTGTGTGTGCGTGTGTGCGTGCCTGTTTGTGTGCGCACGTGCGTGTACGCGTGGAAAACCCGGGGTGCAGCCGTCGTCGCGTTAGTGAGGTAGATCTGCGTGTGTCGCTAGCCCGTGGGCCCCCGTGTGCTGTTTGGACAGTTGTGCAGCAGTGACGGCCGCACGGAGCCGTATGTGACGTCCCGTCCGGTTCGTCGCATTACATTGTCCGAAATGGACCAGCTGTGCGGCTTGGAACGGCCAGCCCCAGCCGCTGCCCTGTGCCGCTCGCCCCCCGCCGCCACCGGCGTCAGTCTCCTCCGCCGACCGCCGCGCGGCGCCGGCGTCTTGTGCTGCGGCTGACGCCCCGTCATCGTGGGCAGGCCAACCGGACCAACGAGGAGGCGTGCCACGTGGCGAGCCTGCTGATGACCAAGGCGGCCACTGACCTGAAGATGGCCCGCTCGCTGGTGCGGCTCGCCGAGATCCAGGCTACGCTACAGGAACAAAGGTGGGAGGGAGAGGGGCGCCAGTGGCGGTGCCGCGCGCCGCTGGCCGGGGCGCCGCCAGCCCGGCACACAGGCGGAGCGAGCGGGTTTTGCGTCCACAGCGGGATCACGCGGCGGGGATGGATGTGTGGATTAGATGGCGGGGGTGGACACGGACCCTGAGCCAACGCCATATGTTGAGAATAACCCATCGAAGTGTGAAGTCATTCAGGGGAAATGGATGGAATTTCGGTAGTCGGCAATGTTTGGGCTACCCATCCCAATGTGATAAGATGCAAACGTTTTGATGGTATGTTCCTCCTGAGGAGTTGTGTGCTTGTCCTGTGTTGTGTGCTTGGCACAAGGATTTGTGGTGAGTGAGGTGCGTGTTACAACAGCTGACAGGAGAACCGCCGTCGACTGGCAGTGCTTCATGTCCTGCAGTCCCATGTCTGTGGTCAAGCGGCAGAGATGGTTTCATCGCTATTGTTGGATGCGATTGGCCGGTGTTCATCGTCAAGGTCCGGGGGTGTGATCGGCCACTGACGACATCGCCGTCTCTGTTGCAGAATTCTCTTCCTGCGGCAGCAGATTCACGAGCTGGACGAGCTGAAGTCGCAGAACTCGTTCATGTCGGACACCTAGCGGCGGCCGCGGCACCCGTCTGCCCAACCTTGTGATAGCCGCCGCCTCACATTCCACAGACCACCCTCCTCCCACTCTCTCAGGGGCGACCAGCCGCATGCGTTTTTAGCTTTTATCTGGTCTTCGACGCTGTGTCTTAGTTCACTTTACGCTGGCGTTCCTGATTGTTGTGTGTCGCTCCGCGGTACTTGAGCCGCCTCTCGGACCCGATAGATGTCACCGCTGGTGGCCGGCGCCCCGTCCGGCACTTCCGATGTCTGTGGCTGCTGTCGGCCGGCCCGACACTAGGTGGCGGCCGGCCCTCCCGGCCCGACACCTATTTATTCAGGGGCTGCGCGGCGCGCGCGCGCGCGCGCGGCTGGGTGTCTGTGTAATGTTTGTACAGCTGTGTGCGTGTCCTGCTCGGGTACACTGTGTAATGTACGGCATGGTTGCGGTCAATTCCACTGAGAAACAGATGACGAATAAAACAATTATGTGAAATGTTTAGACATGGGACTTGGGGCACGCTGTTGCAATCGTCAGACGAACGTAGCCGGCTGCGGAGGACGCGTGTGTCTTCGAGAGGCGACGGAGTGTAGGCTGTTGAGCGGCGTCGTCGATTAGTGACACGAACTGTGCCGCTGGCGGAGGTGCGCGGAGGAGTCTCCGTCGCGGTGAGCCATCCCGCGTGGTCGGACGGGAACGACGCCTGACACGATCTCAGTTGCGGCTACAGTCCGTTGGAAGAATGGACGCCCGCACGTCCGTGCGTGGTGGAGTGCGCAGATTCGTTTCGGTGGTATAGTGCACGGTTCGACACCATTGACGGTACCATGTGTTCATGGTCTTCATGATCTCGGGTCATCGCACCATTGTTGAAGGAATCATCCATACATTGACCCAAAATGATAGGGTTTGCTCAATGGACTGTCCAGCAGAATGTGTTTGGATCTGCATCTGTATCTTCGATCCGGGGCCTATTCTCCCCAGAAGTGTGGCAACGGAAAGGGGTTGCCCGTAAGCTGGGGGAAATGGCGGGTGCGGTCCTCTAAACGGAATGGCGGCGGGCGCATAAGCGGAGCTTCGCCAAAAGTACTGAATAAAGGTGGGGCTTGCGTGTCACTTTTCATGCGACTGTTGACATTTGGCCTACTTCATGCCTAGAGCGGCCTAGCGCTACTCTTGGAACATCGAGCAGGTGGCAGCATCTCCAGATTAATTCGGGTCCTTCCAACGTTGGGATGTAGGTTTGTCCACGCATGGTCCATGTGGTACCTTTTGGAACCTAATGATAATACAACTTAAAAGGATTTCCTAGAGCCTAAATCTGTCGTAAATAATTGCATTTATTTTTTTGCGTGCAGTGTACGTACATGATCGCTGGGTGTTTTATAAAAAAATTGATTGAAATACAATTACTGCGCTCTTGCTTCGTTTACATGCTCCTTGGGTAATTCAGGACCTAATATCTTCAGGGATTGGTCGGCAAACTGGTGTATTATGGCCTAGGCATTATAATAGTGGTTTTAGAATATATTTTGTATTCGCTTGGGTGCATTGTTGTTTTGAAGTTGTTTTTCCATCTGAGCATAGTTATGTCTAAAAGAGCTGCAGAAGGAGATGCAGATGGCTCTTTGGAGACAAAAATAACTAAAAGAAGCTCAAATGTTTTAGGAGACAAGATAAGTGTGTCAGGATGGTAAGCTGGGAGGCCTCATCTGGAATGAATTGATCAGCATATGATGGAAAATGTCATAAATCAATAGCTGTTTGATATCCATGTCAATAGCACCTGAAGTGTGGGATAGCCTGACAGTTTTGTGATGAGTTCATGGGTGTGACATGGCTATAGATGCATGCTGTTAAATGCATGTATGTTTTAGATAACTTAATGTGACTAAAACCCTACAATGGAGAGCCTTTCATGGTTTGGAACCCATAAAATAAGACATTGTAGCATTTACAGCAAGTAAACAAGCATATTTCATATTAGTGGATTAAGGCATGTTTACATTTTATTAAGTGTACCAGATATACCATATAACCTTTTAAGTCCATGCATGTCACATAATTTGTGAGGTGCAGCTTTTCATTTTCCTATTGAGTTCTTGGCAATAATTAGCTAATAGGCAGATCCATCAGCACCTTTTCAGTCAGAGGAGTTAGAGGAGCTGTGTTTAAATGATTGGGATATTTTAACCTGCAGTGATGCAACATGATAACTGATGGGCTTGGGCTCAGAGTTTGGTGGTGGAACCCACACCTGTGGGGTGAATAGCTTTGTACCCTTCTTATCCTGTCCCCATTGTCATCAATGTGGTGCCATTCCAAACATTTCCCTTGCATCCTAGCAATATGCTAGTCTGTTGGGCAGGTGCATCAGTGTCTCTTGTGACCAGGGTGTGCTTATTTTTGATGAGTGCATGGTGAGTGAGCATACCACACATAGTTCATCAGATATCATATCAGATGGCATTGTATCATCTTGTCAGATGTCAATCATATCATGTTGGTAGTTAATTCTGTATGATTATGCTAAGTGGTGTGCATGCAGTCTTTCAACCAATAGTTTTCTTATGAACAGGATAAGTCACAATTTTCAATCACAGGCATACAACATGGCTGTTTGCATGTTTAAGGGTATAATGTAGTGATTGGGGAGGTATTGATCAGTGAAATAGCTTACCTGTGCCTCCTTTTTCTGATGAACCTGCATCAGCTGTGCAGCTCCAGACCTGCATGTCCAAGCATCCAGTCTCAAGTCAGCACCAGATGATGCATCTCACGGAACAAAGTTGCTGGCGGAGACCATCTCGGACGGCGACCGCGAGTACTTTGCCTCCTACAGCCACCTGGACATCCACCGCACCATGATCGAGGACGAGGCGCGCACTCAGGCGTACCGGCGCGCGATTCTCACCAACTACCCGCTCTTCCGGGGCAAGACAGTGCTCGATGTGGGCTGCGGCACGGGCATCCTGAGCGTTTTCTGCTGCCAGGCGGGCGCGCGCCGCGTGTACGCCGTCGAGGCCAGCGGCGCCGCCGACTTTGCCCGCCAGGTGGCCACCGAGAACGGCTACGGCGATCGGGTGACGGTGCTGCACTGCCGGCTGGAGGACGCCGCGCTGCCCGAGCGCGTCGATGTGATCGTCAGCGAGTGGATGGGCCACGCGTTACTGTACGAGTCCATGCTGGATTCGGTGCTGCTGGCGCGCGACCGCTGGCTGCGGCCAGACGGCGCGCTCTTCCCGGAGCGTGCCACGCTCAAGGTCGCGCTCTGCACGGCGCCCGCCGACGAGCCGGCCGCCTTCTGGCGCGGCGTGCACGACCGCTACCGCGTGCACATGGCGAGCCTGGCGGCGCCGGCGGCGGCGGCGGCCGGCCGCGCCGCGCGCGTCGCTGCCGTCCTGCCGGAGGAAGTGCATTCGCACGCGGCGACCGTGGCCGCGCTCGACCTGCGCACCACGCCGGCGGCGGCGGTGCGCGCGCTGCGCTCGGGCCCGCTGGACCTGGTGAGTTTCGGCCGGGCGCGACTGACCGGTCTCGTACTTTGGTTTGACGTGCGCTTCCCGGGCGGCCTGGAGCTGAGCACGTCGCCGTACAGCGCCGAGACGCACTGGGCGCAGACGGTGCTGCCCCTGGCCGCGCGCGACGTGGACCAGGACTGGCGCGCCGCCGGACAGCTCGGCTTGCGCCAAAACGGCCGCCAGCCGCGCAACTGGGACTTCGAGGCCGACCTGACGCTGGCGGACGCGGCGGCGCCCACCGCGCTCCGCTGGGTGCTGGACGGCGCAGAGTGACGGCTGCCGCTCGAAGCCGAATGGTCCGGCAGTCATGGACACGTCTCCGGTGTGTCGCATGCGTGAGGCCTCCGTCCACCGCCACCCCGGCTGCGCGGGGCGTGGTGGCGAGGCTCACGCGGCGCGACTGAAGGCCGGGCTCGCAACGGCCGGCGAGGTCAGCTGTGCTGTGTGGAGCGGCAGGATCCGGCGGGCGAGGTCAGCTGTGCTGTGTGGAGCGGCAGGATCCGGCGGGCGAGGTCAGCTGTGCTGTGTGGAGCGGCAGGATGCGGCGGGCGAGGTCAGCTGTGTTGTGTGGAGCGGCAGGATGTCGCTATGGGAACTCTCGCGTACGGCGGCATGTTCTTTTCCAGGGACGTGCCTCGTGATCGCCTCATTTGTCATGTTATGATCGTGCCCAGGCCCAGTAAAGAAAGATAATTCTAGAGCAGTGCAGCACTCAAGGCACGACGCCAGCAGTTGCCAACTGTTCTTGTTGTTCAACTGGGCGCTGGACACATCAGTGTCAGTTCTCGAGGGGGTCACTGATAGCTCAGTGCTCGTTTTAAAATGCCTTGTGAAGGAACTTGTGAAAGAAATGAATACCTCGAATCGAAAACCAAATATCTGTTGGTTCCATGTCGAATCGAATGCCAGAAATGAGTATCAAAGATTTTATTCCACAAAATCGAGCAAACTCGTTACGTCCCTGCAACGGTGGGTGGCATTTTACGCCACCGCCTGGTCATCGGTTCGCCATCGCTGATCGCGCCATCCGACCACTGGCCGATATCTGCAGCTTCTAGAGGAAACGACAAGCGAATAATCCCGCCACACAAGAAGTCCGGCAACAGGGTAACTTTGTATTGGGAATCGATAATGAACAGCAAACGAGCGGAGGTATATCAATCTACGAGCCGCGTCACCTACAGCACAGACTCGGACATCCAGTAATCGCGCTATGCCGGTGGGCGCCGTGCCGGCCGCCGGCAGCGGCGACGCGCACCCGCCGTGGGCCGTCCCTTCGAGCCCGAACACTATCTGAGCACGAGACGCCACTCCCGGCCGGCGAACTACCGCCTATCAACTTGGAAGTCGCTGCACTGGGAGACAACGAGACACGGTGGGACTGAGACACTGCGCCGCGAGACACCGGCACTGTGCCGCGAGACACCGGCGCTGTGTGGCGAGACACCGATCCTGTGCCGCGAGACACCGGCGCCGTACCGCGAGACACTAGCGCTGTGTGGCGAGACACCGGCGCTGCGCCGCGAGACACCGACGCTGAGCGGCGGGACAACAGCGCTGCGCCGCGCGACAGTGACGTGCCGCGCCGGGCAGACATGCGCTTATGCACGCCTCACGTTCGTAAATACCCATCAGTGCACGCACGCAAGACGGAGAATCGGAATGAGACGAGAGTTGCCCTGAAGAGAAGTTCAAGGGAACGTAACAACGCGGGTAAGAGATCTGTCGGTGATATGAGTTTCCCGATGCCCCGACGCCTGAGGTGTATTGCATCTTACAATGTTCTTATTGCAAAATGTAAAAGTTCACAAGGCGGAAGCGTAGATCCCGGCATTAGAACGACTTCCCTCTGTTTCTTTTCAAGACTTGGCGGTCCCAGCATGCCTCCTTTCAGAGAACATGCCGTTGTTAATTCGCATTTAATGATGTCCCGATTTACATTTGACAATTCACATCTTTAATCTGAAAATTATATTTGTTCCGTCGCCAATCGGAGCGCCACAAATCCGCCTCAGCACGCAATCCCGTAACAAAGAAAGGGGTAAGTCACAGGTGATCTCACGATTCATCGTACCCTTCCCTCTAAAGGACATAGTTTAGGCCGATGCTGGAGCGCCGGACTCTGCTGAACTGTTAACATCATGAGCTGTTCCCATTAGCAATATCGTGCCCCAGGGCGCACGGCTTCGGCGCCGCGTTACAGCGACGATTGCAGCGGCTGTGGGTGTTCAAAGGATGTTAGAGGCCGACTCCAACAATTGCCCTACTTCCGTTACTCCCAAAAGAAGGCATTGCTTGTGCACCGTTAAAGGCATCTTTGCTCTTTTGATGCTGAGGCAAATCAATATCTTCCTAAAGGGCCTTGTACCTGCTCACTTTGATATCACTGTTCAGCGGCGCGTTGCCGTAAATGTAGGGCAGCCAGCGGTGCTATAACACGCATTTTAACTCCTTCACAGGTACAAACCATTGGCCATGTCGGTATGCAGGAAACGTGCCGACGACTTTCCCGACAAGCCAGCGCTTGTCGGTGCATCTACGGCAGAAGTGCAAAAAAATCAACATGCTGACATGAACCAAAGTTCGTTCAGATCAAATCGTGCGACGGCATCGACCAGACGGGTAGAAAAGTTGCTACCCAAAAAAAAACAACCTGGCATACAACTGTCACGCGGAAGGTGCTGCATACCGAGCAACAAAAATACCTTGCTTTGATCGTGACCTCCGTCTGTCTGAGAACAATACAGCACCGACGTTCCAAGATTTGCTACAAATACACAGGATTCCTTCGAGATCATCAGTACCAACACACGACTGTGACATATGTAACTCGGTTAATTCTCGCGAAGCAGGTTCAGCTGAGCGTTCCAGTTCACTTATTGATGACAGAATGTTTTGCTGCGCGAAACCTTATTCAAAATATTGCAAATTGTGATCACAACAAGCTATATAAAAAACGAGAAGTATAAGAGAGGCCTTCAGCTCCTTTTTTTACTTCGTGCACTCAAGAGTTCTGTTGCTGGGCTATCGATCTTTACTGTACCGGAGGGTACTGGTTTAACAACGTTGCAGAGCAGCGTCGATAACCAATAAACAGCGTCGATAACCAATAATCGACTTGAATTTACTGAAAACTGTAAATGTAACTCATCGCTAACTTGAAGCTCAATACTCACTATAAGAACTCCGAATCAAATTTCGAAAGCGAAAGCCAGGTGATTTCGACACATCGCGTATGAAACTCTGAAGGCAATCTTTTACCCGTCGTCGTATATCCTCGTGGTGAAATAAACGAAGCGTTTCGGCTTCTCCCATGATCAGAACTGCCGGCCAGGGAGCCTTCGCACGTTCACGCCGGTCTAAGATTGCTAATACTATCGTTCGTTGCAAAAAACTTTCGTTGCCATGAAGAACTATATCGGTTTTTACCAGGATTATTCGTCCAGTTCACAAAGATGTTCTGCTTTAAGAGTTTTGCACATTCCTGCGAATTAATCCTGCTGGCAAATTGCACATCAAATGTTAGATGGAAGCCATCTCCTCAGACAAGTCCTGGCCCATGCTGGCAGGTTTTACGTAGGCTATTTTCAATCAGTGGGCCCATACAAAACATATTTTAGCTCATTGGCTGAGGGCATCTCCACATACAAATCTTTCAAAGAAGTGGTGCGAATGGCAAACATTACAACACTCAGTACGAAACAGGACAACGTTGTTCGGCAGTTGAGACCAAAAAGCGTGAAAAAGCTGTCCGACGCATGAACAGCATGTGACAGCATCGCAGCAGTATCAGATCTCTCGCAGAAGAAAATGTCCACCAAATACAAACTGCAGTCGCAGTTTTCGCAAAATGAGGTTGAGTGCTCATGAGTGAAAAATGACACAACACACGGCCCGATTTTTTCTCACGGTTGCGTGGCCTGAAGCCCAGGTTGGGGAGGGGGGGGGGGGGGTGTCTGGAGCCCTCAACTGAAGAGGAAACTACGCCCCTGTTTGATGGGTATTCGTTTCAAACCTTGCCACCTTTTCTATACCGGGTACAAAACTTTCTTGGAATACTAGAGGCGTTGGATAATCCGACGTCTTTGTAACAGACAAACGAAATACAAAAAAAAAAACAATTGGTGGAAACATATTGCACCGGCAGTTGAACCAGATAATGCCACATCAAGCCAACGTCCTACACGGCAGTTTGATGCGGTAAAAAGTGAAAAGGATACTGTGATTCCCTGCTCAACTTCCAAATTGCGTCATTGAGAAAACGAGAGGGGCGGCGCGTGCCGTGGGCCAGTCTCACGCGATCAGGTGTCTCAGCCCCGCTGAGTCGCCTGCAGTCCCTAGTCGACGCTGAGGGGTTACCAATGCATGCGATCAAAATGAAGGACTCGTTTCGTTCACACCACCTTAATAACTGTCTCGTGCGACAACTGCCATAATAAATGATACGACTCGCGTCCGGCATTAGCACTAGTCCAATTGTCTCATTTAAGACTAGCGATCAGCACAACAGTCACGCAGAGGGAAGGAGAGGGATTTAAGCGCTTCACTCCACAACTTACGGACAACAAAGTCTCTTGGCAGCATGACCTAGCCGGTCACTCCTCCAGAGGCTGAAGTCTGTCCAGACTGCGTTTCTCGGATCACTAATGACACCAATCCGCCGTGCAGCGGCAGCCGACTCAAACTACTCCCGCCGGCGTGACGCGCGCGTACCGATCGCTCTCCGCTCACCCCAGCATCGCCTAAAGGCTATCATGCGACGTCAGCGCGACGTCGACCTCAGGGCGGGTCCGGCCGCTCGCCTCTCACCCCGACATGACCGGCCGAATGCCCCCACATCGCCGAGCGCACTACGGTTTGATCGCAAACTCTGGTATCGTTCTCCCGCCGCGTCTTTGGGTAATGACTAGCTGACTTGCTGCGAGCGGCGTGTCCACTCGGCGCCCTCCGCTCCGCCCGGACCGCCGCGCGGCGCTGAAGCCGACGCGCGGACCGCCTGCCCCGGCGAGAGCCTGGTGGGCCACGCTTCAGTCGCGCGAGACGGCGCGAGCCAAGATCCGGCGGCGGCTGGAGTTGCAATAGTGTGCCGTCGGTCAACCCGCGCCACGGTACGTGGCTGGCGTACGCCCAGTGCTGATCACGGCGACGGTTAGCCGGGCCCCGGTCTGGCGCACCCCCGAGCGAGACAGGCCGGCGAGGCCGAGCTCCGGGCCGCCGCGGCCCGCCAGCCTCCGCTGCCCACACCGGACCTAATCCTACAGCGAGATCAGAAGGCGGCGCACGCCTCGGGATCGGGCTGAGCGGCGCCGCGCGACAGCCGACGCCGGCAGAGCAGCGCCCCGCCATGCCGCGCCGCGCCGCCGGACAACAACGAACGAAGACGGGAAGAGGGCCGCCGGCGCCGCCCTCGCAACATCGCCTGGCAGTGACCGGTGGCGCGAGCCGGTGCGCCGGCGCCGGCCGCCGGCCGGCAGGCGCGGCGGGCCTGGCAGCGCCGGGCCGCTATTGCACCCAGCTGGCCGGCACCCAGAGCGGCTCGTTCTCGACGCGGCGGGCCGTCCGCAGCAGCTGCTCGACGGCCGTCGACAGGTTGTCATTGACGATGGTCTCGTCGAATAAGTGGCCGTAGTGGAACTCGAGCCGCGCCGCAGAGTGTAGCATGTCCCGCAGCTCGTCGTCCTGCCGACAGATGGGTTGGGTCGGGTAAGTCAGACTAGGTGAAGTCTGGTGAGATGATGATAATGCCTTGAGGGTTTTGGACGCATCGACTGCGGGAGGGTGAGGTTACGTTAGGTTCAGATGTGTGAGGTCCGATCAGGTTAAGTCGGGTCCGGTCGGGTCCGGTCAGGTCAAGCCGGATTAGCCAGGTTGTATCACACTGGTTCCGGTTCGGTTACATCAGACTGGCAGAGGCACCGCCAAAGCTACCTGTCGCCGGCATCCCAAAGCAACGGCACAATCGATACTGCAGATCTGCCACTGGTTCGCCTCATGCGCCCGAGAATCAGGTCACCGCAGCACGCGCGGTCCGCTCCCACCGATCCGAAGCAGCCCGCGCCCATCCGGCTGAGGTTCCCAGGCCGGTGCCGCCCCCGGCCGACGGCGGCCGCCACGTACGGTGAAGCCGCGCGTGCTGGTCTGGTCGAACGTGGAGCGGGCGTAGCTGGAGGCGCGCGTCTCCTTGAGCCGCTCGTACATGGGCGGCTTGACGAACACCATGTGCGGCTTCATCTCGCTGGTGCGCACCATCTTGATGGCCTGCAGTGGCGCAGAGAGCGGCACTCAGTTGGGCAACTACACGACAGAAAATTGTAACAAAAGTGGACTAAATAACGGAAACGAGAAAACAGGTGCACATTTTCCATGCTTGTGATGTCTAAGGATAAGCCGCATAAGCCAGACTAATTACCCCTCCGTACATGCATTCATGTACGACAGCCACACTGCACTAAAATACGCACCAGGAAGTAACATAGCCCCGATTTTGCGCTCTTGTAACCAGCCACATGGCTCTACAGTCTACACTGAACGTCGATTGTGAACACAAGGGGGGATCGTACAACGCCTCCTCTGTTTCGGATATGCCTCCCAAATACGTTTGGCCGAGAGTAAGGCAACTTCGGGCCCAGGTGCCTGTACCATTTTGCTTCGGCTCCGAAAACATATAATCAGCACTCGCTCATCATCAACAACACGTCATCCGTCAACACAACACGTCCCTGGGCAGTAGCAACGACCTCTCGCCGACCAGCACGCAGGACAGAGCCGTGTGGAACTGATAAACTACCGCTCCTTCAACAGCTTCTCACCGTCCTGTCTCTCGCCGCGGCGAGCGGCAGCCGACGCTCACCTGGTAGTGCGGGCAGAGCACGCACACCTGCCCGCTGTTGATGATGGACAGGATGCTCTCCTGGGCGGTGCCGTACAGGTTGCCGCGGTACTCGCCGAACTCGACGAAGCGGCCGCGCGCCAGCCCGTCCTCCATGTCGGCGCGGGACACGAAGTGGTAGTCGACGCCGTTGCTCTCGCCCGGCCGCTGCGGCCGCGATGTGTCTGCAACAGCCGGCCAGCCTGTGACGCGGGCTGCGTGGAGGGCGACATCAGACAGCGATCGCTGAGAAATTGCCGAGACCAGATACAAGCATATTGTAGCTGCCTTCTCCCCGCAAAAGTGAACAGCTAGCTTGACAATGAAAGTGGAACTACTATCTAGCCTCTAACCAGCACACATCACCAGTTCCTGAACTGCTAAACAGAAGGACAGAGCAGAGGCGCCCTTCGTGTTTTCTACCGCTGCGGTCTACAGAATAAACGCACATGAATGACCGGTTCCGGTTCTGGCAACAGCGGCTCCGCGGACGGCGACACCTACCGGCGCGATCCGCGCCCACACTCCCGATCCGGCCCTTGACCGGAGCTGGCCGCCCACTCACAGGGTATGACAGAGCGGTACTTGTCCGGGTTGGTGGCCACCAGGCGGCGCTTCAGCTCGTTGCGCCCCACACCGGGCGGCCCCACCAGCACGATCGGCCGGTGGTAGCCGGGCCGCGGGTACAGCTTGGCCACCTGCGCGACGCACCGGCGCACGGAGGTCAGACCGAGGGCACAGCCACGCACGGAGGTCAGACCGGCAGCACAGCGGCGCACGGAGGTCAGACCGGCAGCACAGCGGCGCACGGAGGTCAGACCGGCGGCACAGCCACGCGCGGAGGTCAGACCGGCGGCACAGCCACGCGCGGAGGTCAGACCGAGGGCACAGCCACGCACGGAAGTCAGACCGGGGGCACAGCCACGCGCGGAGGTCAGACCGAGGGCACAGCAGTGCAAGGCGAGCGGCCAGGCCCAGCCAGCGCCTGACGGACGTCGCCACGTGTCACGGCTACACGATGGAGGCCACCACGCCCGTCGAGATCGAATGCTCTCACGCACACGCGTTTAAAGTATTAAACCGCTCGTCTCAAGTTACATGTGCTCTGGTTATGCCGCTACCGTTGGCGTCAACGAGCGTCGGTGCCACGTGATAGGTGGTCAGCCTCACCTCTTCATAGGTGGCCACCTCCTCGCGGTCAAAGTCGTCGTTTTCGGCCGCGTCGTACATGATCTTGCGTATTTTGTTACTGCGACTGCCTGGAGACCTCGCCACGCAAGAAATGCCTACGGCGGAATCGGTGAAATCAGTAGTCACGTGAGCAACGAACAACAAGCCAAAAGAGTAACCAGCATGTCCCCAGAGAAAGCTTCCCGATCAGCGAAGAGATCAGTGGAAGTGCAAGTGGAATACAAACTCAGCGATGTCGTCGAGTCTACAAGGCAAAGCAAAATGAAAAAAACCTCGCCAATAAATCACGACAAAAAATATTCATACACCAATCGCGATCAAAACTCGCTGTGATTCCGATGCAGTACCACTATGTGGGGCCACCACATCAAAGTTGCCATCGCCGAGATTTCTAGTGACCCTCCACATCGGCTGCAGTACACAGCTAGGGGGGGGGGGGGACGGGTCTCGTACCCTTATCGTCGGCGCGCTGCGTGCGCTCGGCCAGAATGCGCCGCTCCTGCAGCGCCCGGCTGGGGATCAGGCCGGCCCGCATGCTGTAGTCGCCCTCCCGACGCGCCTGCCACCTGGCGGACGGCGGACAAACGCACACCCGTCACGGAGCGGCCTTCGGGCGTTCGGCAGTCTGTTCACAGAGCGGACGCCAGCCAGCGGACGCGCGTCACCGCACGGCTCTCGCGTCAGCCCGATGAGCTGAGATCGAACACAACGACGAGGACGTGCAGCAAGCGTCACGTGGCCAGAGGCTGGCAGCAGTGGCTGATGTTACGTAAGGTAAGCGCGCGGAGGGGAACGGAAGCGATCCAACACCACGCCAAAGCCGGTCAAAACTCAACACGTCTCACAGAGTAAGACACACGCTCCACAAGGCAGTGGTGGCTGAGAGACCGCAGTTGGTATGTAGAAAGGCGCGCATGAGTATGAAAGACGCGCAGGGTAGCGCACGTCGACTTTCGCCGCGCAAAAGGCTTTCCAGGGCAGACACCAGACTGTCCATGACGTCGCACATTTGGCCCTGTCGCGGAATGCTTCCTGGGCTTTACATATTCGCATTCGGTATTCCAAACTCGCAGCACGCATCTTAACAAGCCCAGGACGCCGTATCCGGAACCACGCGAGCCGCTCGCATGCCCCACGCCGGAGACCGGCGTCGTCCGACGGCGGCGCCGTCCACTCGCACGCCCCACGCCAGAACCCAGCATCGTCCGACGGCGGCGCCGTCCACTCGCACGCGCAGCGCCAGAGCCCGGCGTCGTCCGACGGCGGCGCCGTCCACTCGCACGCCCCACACCAGAGCTCGGCGCCGTCCACTCGCACGCCCCACACCAGAGCTCGGCACCGTCCACTCGCACGCCCCACACCAGAGCTCGGCGCCGTCCACTCGCACGCCCCACACCAGAGCTCGGCGCCGTCCACTCGCACGCCCCACACCAGAGCTCGGCGCCGTCCACTCGCACGCCCCACGCCAGAGCTCGGCGCCGTCCACTCGCACGCCCCACGCCAGAGCTCGGCGCCGTCCACTCGCACGCCCCACGCCAGAGCTCGGCGCCGTCCACTCACACGCCCCACACCAGAGCTCGGCGCCGTCCACTCGCACGCCCCACACCAGAGCTCGGCGCCGTCCACTCGCACGCCCCACACCAGAGCTCGGCGCCGTCCACTCGCACGCCCCACGCCAGAGCTCGGCGCCGTCCACTCGCACGCCCCACACCAGAGCTCGGCGCCGTCCACTCGCACGCCCCACGCCAGAGCTCGGCGTCGTCCACCGCGCTCACCAGTAGATGTCGTCCTGGCTGACGATGTGCAGGATGTCTCCCCGCTGGAAGTCGAGGCCCGCCTCGCGGCACGGAATGTGCTTGTCCTCGGAGGACACGTAGTCGAAGAGGGCGCGCATGCGCACCTTGGACTCGCGCGCCGCGTGCCGCGTGTCGGCCGGGATCAGCTTGAAGGTGATGGTGCCCTGAGCCTGGGTCTGCGGCGTCACAGCGGACGGCGTGAGCGGCACCAGCGCCGATGGCGGCGGTGGCGGAGGAGGGCCGCCTCACGCGGCACACCAGCGGCACACCACAGCACATGCGGCCAGGGTGGTTGGTGGTTCAATCAACTACACTGATAGTCGATCAACGTCGACGTTGACAATCATCGGTTTCTTTTACCAACAAGGTAAAAGAGGGTAAAAAGGAAAAGCTCTTAATATGGCAGTCATGACACAGTATTACCTGGGCTATTTACCTTTTAACAATACTAGGCTAAAAGGCTGGGTAACTATTCGTCCATCTAGACACTTGGGAGGAGAGAGCATCATCCAATCATTAAGGCGTACTCAAAAGTAAAATTATACCAACGCCACTCGAGCGCATAAAATTTGTTGGAGCAGCCTATCGACCGCGCCATTAACCACTTTCACTCTCATCATTCACCACCCAACGGCGCCGAACATCACCCCCCCCCCCCCCCCCCCCCCGCCCCGCCCTCTCTCTTAAAACCACCAACCACGCACAACTAATAAGCACAACAGCAGCCATCACTCCCCTCCTATCTTCAGGCCAACCCCGGCCGGAGCGCCCGAACCTCCCTCTCTGTGTCCTGCTCCACTCCTGACGTACGGCGGGACACCGCGCTCAGCCCCCGCCCCCGCCCCTCTGCCCCGCTGCCACACGCACCAGGATGCGCAGCACGTCGTTGGGCGAGCGATCGGTGACGTCGATGTCGTTGACCTCGAGCACCTCGTCGCCCACGTGGATCAGGCCTGACCGGTCGGCAGCGCCGCCGTGCATCACCCGCGCGATCACGATGGCGCCCGTCTGCTCGTCCGCCTTGATGGTGGCGCCCTGGGCCGACAGGCACGAGTTACCGGCCGCAGCTGAGGCCCTCGCCACATGTGGCGTGGCAGGCGTTATAACTGTTCGAGGAATGATGGATGTGCCACGCATAGGCTTGAGGGCGGATATCAATGACCCGAAGCCTATGGCGACCTCCAAAACATGGCGCACACCCTCAAAATCGGGTTGTCAATACCTTAGATTTGCATCTGCCAGTCGCTGTGACTTCACATGCAGTGACGGAGTGACAACTGCAGCATACGGTGGTATACCACGCCTTTTCCTACAGGTCGGTCTGATTGGCCCGGCCTAAGCAACACTGCAGCGTTATCCACTCACCACAATAGGCTCGCATCCCTTTGAACCGTCCTTGGCCGCAGGAAATGAATACGAGATCAAGTCGGGTAGCAGGACAATTCACTTTGAATAGGGAACATCAGCGAATAGTGAGACAACCCTGAAGTTAACAAAACTGTCTTACGAGCGTACAGCGTGACTTTTCTGGTAACTATTTTCTTACGAGTTTTAAACACTTTCAGGGTAAGAAAAAAAGGAGTTGTATATCTCGCGAAGATCTCACGAAAGAAGCACCTACTACATTTAATTTACGGGACATTTCGTGAATCAAATAATTACTGTCTAGCCCCACGCTAGGATCTCAAAACAAAATACAAAACAGCAGCGATTGTATTCCTTCGCGCGCCGAGTGAAAAGCAAAACACGCATTGCGTGGGTCCACCTCGTGACGTCTGAGCTCGCCGTCCACAAGTGCGCCTCACCACACGTTTCAGCCATCACCACGCTCGGCGGCGACAGCGAACGGCGGGAGGCAGGGGCGCGGGCGCGGGCTCGAGCTCGGGCGGGAGCAGGGGGCGGGGGCGGGGGCGGACGGCGACAGACCGGCCGGCCGGCCGCTCAGTACAGACAGTCGAAGGCGGAAGGTGCCGCTGATGCAAGGGGCGCCGGCGGGCGGCAGAGGAGCGGGCGCGGGCGCGGGCTCGAGCTTGGACGGGAGCGGGGGCGGATGGCGACAGACCGGCCGGCGCGGCCGGCGCAGCGTGCGGGGCTGGAGAAGGCACGAGGAGCGTGCGTCGGCACCAGGCTCGGACGGATCGAGGGCAGGACTCTCTGAAACCGGCCGCGCACGTCAGGATCCCGGGACAGGCCAGTCCAACATCATCACCTTCGCGAGCTTTATGCATTCGGAATGGCCTGATCAGCTGTTTTGAGCTCTGAGTATAACTAAGCCACTTTGTTGCATCAGCCCTGATGCCTGAGCCTAACAGCCAGATTTCGCCTTCAGCCCGAAACGAAAGTTCCCAATTAGCCATTTTGCCCGACAGGATTCCTCAAGGGTATTTTGAAACACACTACCAAAAACAACGCCACTCCGCAACCGTCAACAGCGCATGGGCAGATCGGACATGTTTTAACTGACGAGACAGAACATACCAGAGCCGGCTGCGGAACCCCGCAGCCTCCTGCATCGCATTGTCTCCTGCATTCCCGCGGAGGCCACGCACGCTTCCACCTGCACGCACCGTCACTTACCAGCGGCTCGTTGCTTTTGACGAGCTGCACGATTTTGACGGTCTCCTCCTCCTCGTCGGCAGCGTCGGTTGGCGGGTCCGGCAGGCGCGGCACGAAGTCCTTCTGCGCCACCACGTCATGCGCCGACAGCAGGTGCTGTAATGGCGCACGTCCCCGGTCAGACTAGCAACCCCGGCCCGCTGCGCCGCCACACCGTCCCCTGTCGAGGCGGCCGTGCGTGCTGACCCAGGCTCCTTGTACAGACACCGGCGCCGGCGACCGAGTGCAGGCTCGGCAAGGCAAGCGGGGTGGCATCGTCGTCACCTGCACGTCCAGAAGCTCAACTGCAAAATAGCAAAAATCACGAATACAAGCGTTTAACTATTAATCCGTCGTAAATGACCAAGTAAACGCTTCTCTGAAATGGTATAAGCGGTAGCAATACGCTACGAAAGCAATCACCGCCCAGACACGAGCAGAGCCGCGCACCGTACGCCGCCAGGACTGGGACGGGGCGCGTCGTCTTTCGTCGGAGGCCTCCCCACTCACCAGCATGTGTGGCGCCTGCAGCAGCCGGAAGAGCTCGACGGCGTCCGGCTGGGTCAGGCCCTTCAGCTGGATCTCCCCCATCACTTCGAACGCGATGTCCTCGGCCGTGGAGAGCACCGGCTGGCACATGTTCTCCGTCATGCTCGCCATGATTGTGCTGTGGGCCTGAGGGAGGAGCAGACGTACGTCGGCGCCCGCACTCCGCGGTCTGCTGGGCCGTCCGTATACTGATCACATCTTGCAACGTGCATCTGTCCCGATTAACTTGTTAACGCGAACTGCTCGAATGCTCATCAAATTAAAGGCGAGGCTCTGCTTAGCTCGGACTCGAAAAGCATCACTGCCCCTTCCAATACCACCACAATCTCGTTTCACAATCCTAACAAGGGATCTGCGACGGGCGACGCCGGGGTTCAGCGGGCGCGCGGCCAGCTGACGGTCACCTCCGCAGCCAGCCCCACGGTCCACGTGCCTGGATGAGACTCTGCAGCTGGGCGCTCTGCAGCAGGTTAGCCAGGAAGCCGAACTCCTCCTCGTTGCTGCCGAGCGAGGAGCGCACCTTGCCCAGCTCGGACACCACACCGCTGATGTCTGCGGCACGTCGACGGCACCGAACACGGCGTCATCAGCAGGCCGAACACGGCGTCATCAACAGGCCGAACACGGCGTCATCAGCGGGCCGAACACAGCGTCATCGGTGGGCCAAACAAGGCGTCATCAGCGGGCCGAACACGGCGTCATCAGCGGGGTGAACACGGCGTCATCAGCGGGCGGAACACAGCGTCATCAGCAGGCCAAACACAGCGTCATCAGCAGGCCAAACACAGCGCCATCAGCGGGCCGAACACGGCGTCATCAGCGGGCCGAACACGGCGCCATCAGTGCGCCAAACAAGGCGTCATCAGCGGGCCGAACACGGCGTCATCAGCGGGCTGAGCGCAGCGTCATCAGCGGGCCGAACACAGCGCCATCAGCGGACCAAACACGGCGTCATCAGCGGACCGAACAAGGAATCATCAGCGGGCTGAACATGGCGTCATCACCGCGCCGAACACGGTGCCATCAGCGGACCGCACAAGCCGTCATAAGCGGACCGCACAGGGCGTCATAAGCGGACCAACAACGGCGTCGTCAGTGGACCAACAGCGGCGTCATCAGCGCAATTGAGCCACATGCTCCAGACACACATGAGCCACACACTAAATACACACAGAGTCACATGTGAGTCACACACTCCATGCATGCACGCGTACACGCACGCACGTATGCACGCACGCACGCACGCACGCACGCACGCACGCACGCACCCAAGTCACACACTCCGGATACACATAAACCACAACACATGAGCAGAAGGCTGAAGAATGCTGCAAGCCGACAAGATGGTGCAGCATGATGATGGTGAAGATATGCAAGGGAGCATGACAGGGTTGGCATGTCACAAAATTGGAAGTTACTAACAATAGCATGTGGTGGTGGTAGGTTATGACTGAATGGCTGCCCCCTGAAAAAAATAACATGAGGCGCATGACGCTCTGTGGAAAGACACGCAGTAGGCATTGTGATGGTTCTTCAACAGTTCCCCAGAAGTCCCACAACTGACAGTACATGCACAGATATATCAACATGATGCAAAGCATGCTTCTCACCAAGATCGCGGTCATTGTGCCCATTTGCCATGACTTCCTCACTTCCCACCATGTCAAGCATCTGAAAGAGACGAAAACGTCAATCCTGGGAAGACAGGAATTGCGAGAATATTTCAAAATTGTGACGAGATTTCAAAAGGGAAGGTCACCGAAATGTTGGAAGCAGCCTTGCAAACTGGTGCACAATGGTTGAACTAATGGCGTTATGTAAACATGGAGATCAACCAATATGTTACCTCCACAAACATATTAACAACTCGCCATCACACCCTCACACTCTGCATAACTCATTGTGAGGAAAGCAAAACCCTACAACACAGGGATTGCTGTTTCCAATAAGCGTAGACCAGCATGTTGATGCAAGGTCAAAAAAGTTTGGTTCAGTATGTGAATCAATGACTTCATGGCCTAGGGGATCAAAACAAGATTTAGGGATAAGCCTGGTACAATGGCGGAGTCAACGCATCACTTTAACGCCAAACTACTGAAATTTTTGACAGACTGCTGCCGCCACCTGGGAATATGATAATCCCTCGCCATCAAAGCAGATGTCAATTGTGTGAGTCAGTCGGAAGTTGCAATGCTGCTGTGCATAAGAAAAAAGTGATGTGCATTTGATCAACTTTGCAGGGGAAAGACTTTTCGATTTTCCGCCATATCACGCTATTGCTTAGTGGCACATACTTGAATTGTATATCAGTGAATTCGCAACAATGAAGGGAATCAGTCTATATGCTGTTTTCCTTGCCTTAATGCATGAACTTCAGAGAAATTCAGGATAGGTTTTTACGTTTTGATGTTTGCAACAACAAACGTGACTCCCGCAAAAAAAACGCAAATACATTGGATACCATCAGAAAAAGCACAAGCTCACCAGCATATGCAATGTAAAAACAAAAGTGCAGGCATGCACTTTATTTTAATGGTAAGAGGTGTAATTCAGGGCTGGTGAGGACGATCGCATCTACATACAAGGCTCACTATTCCAAGCAGAAACTCAAACCTGCGCTGATTTTCGTAGCAGATTAGCTCGGATTTCATGACCTAAAGCAACAGATTTAACGTCATGACCTGTAGCAACAGGCTTAACAAGCGTTCGGGTGGGGGTTAATTTGACCCCCAAAGATATTCCGGCATGGTTTCCGACCCGCGCGGCGTAGCCGCGCCAAATTTTGCATAGCTGTAGACCATTGAATAGCGGATCGTCCGGCATCACAAATTTGGATGCACCTTGTAAGGTCGCTGACCTATGGGAGATCAACATCAGGCCATGATTTCAGCGAGGACCATCTCTAGGGAATCGTTCAATCTGATCCAACAACGGAGTGTTAGACGAAGCTATATACCTCTGAGATACTTTCTTAGGCAACATGGCAATTAAAGGAACAAATTACATCGGCCTAGGGTCAGGTATGACGATTAGACCAAGGTCAAAACCGACCTGTTTTGTTACTCTAGAGATGCTGTATGGGTTAGTTTTCAGGTCTCATTTTGAATTTATTGATCACAGGAACCACACTATACACCTTCCATGGACATCTTAATGGTCAGAATAAGTCACTGGCCTAAAATGACTCAAGTCAACATTTTGTTCTTAGGAACATATGGCCTAGCATAGTCTGTTACTTATTCAAATGCAGGGCTCAAAGCAGTTTTGTATTATTTTGGTCACTATGACCTTCAAAAGGTCAAACAAGGTCACTGACATTAATTGAGCATGTGACCACTTGCTTAGAACAGTTATCTAGGTTCCAGGGGCCCCTTAAAGACCAACCTGGAATTTGACCTTGTTTGACCTGAAAGTCCTAACCTAAACACCTAAAAGTTTGACCTAAGTGAGCTCAAGTACAGGGTGACACACCCTGTAAATTTGGTGTCTCTAGCTCTCTTAGTTCCTGCGATCTCAGGCGGCCCACTTGACCACCTCCCGAGCGAAGGGTACCCAACCGGCCGCCCCGGTGCGTGTTAACGTAAGGAGAGCCAACTCCGTGGCGTTGGCTCTACTTTACAGTGGACGGTGTTTGCACGTCCTTTTGGAGCATCGTGGACGATACCCTCCCCACCTACCACGAGGAGATCAGGGATGTGGGATATTAAGGCTGGACGGCAGCGAGCTCTCCGGCAGGACCAGACGGCGCCACGGAAGCGGGAGACTGTGGCTGGATGGCAGCGAGCTCTCCTGTAGGACCAGACGGCGCCACGGAAGCGGGAGGCTGCGGCTGGATGGCAGCAAGCTCTCCTGTACGACCAGATGGCGCCAGGGAAGCAGGAGGCTGTGGCTGGACGACAGCGAGCTCTTCGCTAGGACCAGATGATGGCAGACAAGCAGGAGGCTATGGCTGGATGGCAGCGAGCTCCCGGGTAGTGCCAGATGGTGGCAGAGAAGTGGGAGGCTGTGGCTGGATGGCAGCAAGCTCTCCGACGTTGCCAGATGGCAGCAAGGAAGTGGGATGCTGCGCCTGGACGGCGTCGAGTAAAAAAGCGCGAGAGCAGACATTTGCTTTTTGGCAATTGAATCGCTGGAGGAAAAAAGAACTTGCGTTTTTTTGCCCTAGCCCACAGCACTTACATTTCTTTCATGCTACAAGATTGGACTTGTTCTCCATTTGCACTTTTACAAATAAAAACCAAAATTTCAAACAATTGGGGCTGATTATGACATTTACACTTTGGGGGATGATGGGGGTCAGTATTACAAATCTAAAAGTGCAAAAACCCCAAGATGGCAAAAATTGCACCTGCCCTTTTTTCACATGGCACACCATTCGACTTCCAAACTGTTTTGCATGTTGCACTGTGCAGGAACCAACAATCACATAGATTTGCACAGCAGCAGTTTCATTAGTAATGACAGGCTTCTCACATTTCATTGCTTTTTATGGAAAGTAATTTTCATCTTACTTAATCTGCACCACACACTATGCAAGGTAATGTGTTGGATCTCAGCAATCTCAACAAAAAGTTGGTGTGCACACACAGGTAAGAGACCTTTAATTTTGTAACAGGGCCACTGAGTGATGCTGTTTTAGAACTCAAGAATCATGTAAATTGATTTAGTTAAGTTGAATGAGGCACAGATAATGTTGTACCAATTTAGAGGACAAGTCAACATAGAGTTAGCATGGAACTCAAAACATTAAGACAGGGTCTCAAACATATTCTCAGATATTATAGAAACCTGGGTTTTGATTCCCAACTGGATTCTTCAACCATGGTTAAAGGGTATCAAACTTCACAACCACTGTTGCTGCACCCATGGCCTGTGGTACTCTGTCACCACCATAATCATGCTGATGAGGTTAGAGGTCATGCTCTTGATCAGGTTTATCCTCAGTCCATTCCCATGCAGTCTGCTTGGTCTGCTTAACTGATGAAAGCACCTGCCTTCCACTTTATCTGCCAGTGGCAGGGTGGGTGCAACTCACTTCAGGCACACACTTTTTCCCTTGACTGGAATGGTCTGCAGCAGGTGACCACAGCCACATTAAAGGTCACGTGACATTAGAGAGCAAACAACCATGCCAAGCAGTCAGGCAACTTACATCTTTCAGCAAAATTTTGACATTAACAAATATGTACGTGATCACACAGTGAGGTCCAGGCTGACATAACAAGCACTGCTTAGCATGGGTGCTGATGATTGAAAGCCACATAGTTGAAAGGTTTGGACCGACATGGCTCATTCAAATCAATGACATTTATTTGTGAAAACAAGTTTTTGCAATTTTGATGTTATTCATCATGAAAATTGTCACTAGAACACTGTTCTATCTCAGCCCTGCTGCACTACACATTGTAATAACCTTGATAACTCAACTTTCAGGCAGCTTTTGTAACTTCCGCCCAATCCAGTCTGCAAACTATGGTAGCTCTTAAAGACATCTTGTCTGGGCAAAGGTAAGGCACAAGTTCCAATTTGGGACAGCTTATTAATGCTGTGTGGCATTAATCATTGAATTGGAACATTTGAGGCATCATGATGTGTACTAAAACATGCACAACAGTTATGGTTACAGAAAATGCCCACATCTGACATGTTTTGAAGAGGAAGTAATTAGAATGGTTAACCAAATCTGCCTTAAATTGAGCAGCTGATTACCCTTTTTGGAACTAGACTCTGTCTGCTCCAAACATCTTTTTGGCATATTTGGCATGGTTTGGAGACTGGCACCAACAATAAACACAAATGATTTGCTAGTGACACCAATATTTTGTTGGTGAGGACCCTGTTACATGCATATGAAGGGGGACAAATCACTGAGAATCTGAATTATTTTGCACATGCCCACAATCATGCATGGACGCAAATTCCCTGCCACCCCGTACTCCCGCCCCCTTCCTGACGTCTCCAAATGTAAATAGGCGCCTGGCAGGATGGACACACCCACTTAATGCCAGTGCGCGCTCACGTGTTGATGTGATTGCGACATGGGTCCCAGCGGTCCGATACATGAATTAAAGGCAATATTGATGTGTATGTGAATAACGTAACTGTACTGGATACTCACAATGCGCACACCCCCGATTTCCTACCAAAACATCGAGCAGGGACCTTGAGCACCGTCGGTGAGCCGTAAACGCCTCACAGAGGCTCAAGTTTTGTATTGTTTGTCCTCACTTTTTGCTACTGGCGTATGCTGCGGTGTGAAATGTCCTGTAATATACCAATTTATAATGGACAGATAAGTATCAAGTAGTAGGAATTAGTGCATGAAAATTGATTTAAAAAATTTCAAAGAGGTATATGTTAAGGTTTCTGGTAAAGTTTGCATACTTAATCCAAAATGCTGTTGAGTTTTGTTGACCCTGGCGGGTCTGCCATGCATTAATTATTTACTACAGCCGTATACGAACCCTGGCATTTGCTTCACGGTGTTTGGCTGGGTGTCTGTTGTATTGTAGAGGTTGTGGTTTTGGTTCGGGGTTGTCATGAAACTGGCTGTGGCCCTGACTAGCTGATCGTAAAGACTTCTATAAACCTGGATTGTTGGGTGGTAGTCAGCGAGTTGAAGTACGGGGTGAGATAAACAATGGTGAAATGTTCTCAGCATAGTCTCACTGTGGAACGTGGTGTCGGAGATGATGTTTGTTTCTCATTTTGGGAGGATTAATTTTGAAGGTGCCAAAAGCGAGTACTTAATATTTTGCTGGTGCTGTATGCTTCCTATTGTACCTTGGTCAATTTATCAATGATGTTAATGTAAAATGTAAACAATGCAATAAGGGTAGTAAAGCAACAAGTGAATCTATCCATTTAACATGCACATAGAAGTAGGAACATTTAAAAAAGTGTGGGGGCTAAGCTCAGGACATACACCAGGAACTTTTTCAGTGTAGGTGTTCTTTCACACCTAACATTAGAAAAAATCATTGTACACCATTTGTTGTGTTTAAGGCCAAACATATCGTAAGTAATCTCAAAACAGGCAGAATCATGCTCTTACCTTCAAATTTTACACATTGTTCCCCTCCCTGGCACGGGAGGCCTTCTTACCCGAGCAGTTAGTCCCGGATCAACACAGGAACCCTCACTGACGCAAAAACATGCCTGATCACCAAGGTGGTCCAACAGTTGTCACATAGACACGAGTTCTGTGTTTTTTGGTGTTTTTCAGAGATTTGAGGACTCTGAGCATAGATTGTAGATGAAATGCAGTCCTAAATTTTCATTGACATGGCTAATCTATGTTTATCTTAAAGTGTTCAAAATTCAGTCAGAATTGATTGCTGACAACAACAACAAAAATGTAATATGGTATTGAACATGCATACTCGTAAATCATAGCAACAATAGCCTGGGCGCCCAGCGTCGCAGTCTCCATAGGCCGTGTTGCGTCGGCCCGTGGCTGTGATACTATATGACGACCAATAGGCAAATGGAAGAGATGGCGCATCTTGAGGAAAATGGCTGGTGACTTAGCTAAATCAGTATGTATGTTTAAATGTGGGAAAGTAAGCTAAACACAGCCTTAATCTGATAAGTGTTTGGGGGGGAGGGCATTGCCTCCCTGGCCTTCACTTTTTCTACACCCATGAACATGAACATGCCATGTATGTAACCATTAAGCAAACATTGTGCATGGGGGCACCCAAAGCATAACAGTATATCCCAATTATCTGAATTTGGATATGCTGGACACTATGCTACAAGTCTACATCTAAACCTAACCATGCATTTCCAACTGTACTCCTACAGCCAAACCTGCACCTCCTTTGAAACCTAAACCTAAACCATAACACAAAACTAGTGGCAGTATCACCATGTGGTATGCCAAGACTTAACAGTCTTATTTTTGTACAAGAGCAATGTCCTTACAAAATGAATGACAAACAATGGTAGTTTTGTGTCAGTCCCAGTCTGTTTAATGGCAGGTGTCTGGGTGGAGTGCACACAAAGGTACTTGGTTCTCAGTCCTGATTGCATCATGGTTGCATACCTGTACCCTTTAGATTGGCATGTCTCTCCTGTGATCTGTTTTATGTGTATGATTTTGATTACAGGCCTGCTGTAAGCTGTATATCAAGGCCACACAATATTGCTGTTCACAGTGGGTAGCAGCTGGTGTCTTAAATAGGACAGGCTCCCTGCTGTCGCCATGATCCTGCTCAGCACTCTGAGAGGTGCAGCTGCACCAACCAGGGCAGCCCTGGCTAGAGGCAGTCTTCAGCATAGTAAGTGGCAAGTGCACAGGACATGTAGAGTGTCCATGTTTCAGCTGTGTTGGAGCCTCCTGAATGCTAGTACTGGAAGAAATTCAAGTTTTCACTCTCCAGTCAATATGAATGAGTCAATGCTTAATTTGGCCAGAATGTTGGATGATTGGGAGGAGCAGTCTGCTTCCCAACTTACTGCCTCATCTTTGTTGTTTTCTTCAATGCATTCTCCCCCCCCCCCCCCCCACACACTATGCTTATGTAAATGGTAAATCATCAGCATCTGCAGGCTCACCAAATGCTGATAAGCTGATGTTCAAATCCATAAGTTCATCAGAACCTGCTGTGTAAGCAGCATGGCACATGAGTGTTAATATTGGGGGTGGATATTTGACCCCCCCCCCCACACTCTCCTTCAGCACGCCAGATGAGCGATCACCGCACGATGAACATCACGGCGTCGCGCTTCCAATGGAACAAGTTCAAGGACATGCTGCACCTGTACGTGGTCGGCACGGCCGTGCCGCTGCTGGGCGGCATCTTCCTGTTGAACGTGTTCGTGGGGCCGGCCACGCTGTCCGAGCTGCCGGAGGACAGGACCCCCGAGGAGTACGAATACCACAAGTCGCCCATTACGCGCTTCCTGGTGCGCTACTTCTGCGCCGGCAGGCAGATGGAGTATGAGAAGGGTATGCAGTACCTCTGGGAAGTGGAGCACAAGCGGCAGCTCAGGTGAGCGTGGCGGACGGAGGGGAGGGGCGGGGCCGTGAGGGTCGACGCCGCTGGCGCGGTGGGTGTGGGGGGGGGGAGGGGGAGGCGTTGCGGTCGTCTCCTGACACGCGCCGCAACCACTGCTGTTCTTCCGGCCAAGGGGCGTGAGGGTCGACGCCGCTGGCGCGGCGGGTTTGGGGGAGTGGGAGGCGTTGCGGTCGTCTCCTGACACGCGCCGCAACCGCCGCTGGTCCTCCGGCGGTGATTTGTGGGTGGGGCTGACGAAACAGAAGGTTGTAGACTCCCTGTACATGTTTCTGTCCTCCGCTGATCAACGCAGGCTACTTATAATGTGGTCAGGGGTGTCATTTTCTTAAATAGGTGGGGAAGGGGGCCATGTAGATAAGGTTGACCTAACATTCTCCCAAAACCCGATTTCTTCCTGCATTTCGGCCACTTTAATTTACGTCCCTGATATTAAACTGAAACCGAAATATTTCATTCATTCTAAAATTGTTTTTTTATTTGGACGAATGTATTTCCATCTCAAGGCCATGTCAGGCTGCATTCTTTCAAGCTTGGGATGTGGTGTAAATCAAAGAAAAGCATGTCAGTGGTTGGATCACATCCCTTGTGACGTTATGAAAACACGTTAGGTATTTGCAGCCTGGCCAGGCATATGAAGGATTTGGCATGACAGAAAATTACGGGCTCACAGGATGCTATCGGGTCGAAAAAGCGCATGACAGTATTAGTGATGTGTTTAGGTACCAAGTGTACCGAACGAGCTTGTCAACTTTGCTTTGGTTTGGTGTTCCTGTTTTGCTCGTATGCATTAAGGGTCCCAGAAGAGGGTTGATGAAGCTTAATCAGCATTTGGAGGGGAGGGGTTAGGCCCCTTCCCCCGAAAGTGTATCAAGTGACGCCTCGAAATGTGGTAAACAACGAATGAATGTATTGTCTCCTTTAAACCCGTCTTGTCTCCGAGCTTTTTAACGATATTTGGTTAAATCAAACAGAAATATTGTAATTATCGGGATAGGCGATATACTTATGCTACTGGATTCAACGAAACCTGTGCGCATGTTTCCAATTCTTCTGCCCCAAAATCGTTGTTTGGCAAAACCTCGCGTGACACCTCTCCGGGGGATCCTGCGCGTTCCCACGCCGGTCGTCGGCGGCTGCCGGCCGGTCCTGGCGCCGCCGCTGACAATGGCCCGTCCGCAGGAAAATCGAGGCGCGCGTGCGCGAGCTGATGTCGGAGCGGGGCGACTACAAGGCCTGGTACTTCGCGCCGGACGCCACCAGGAAGTACCAGCGCATCGTGCGCAAGGAGACCGAGGAGCTGTACGAGAGGCGACCCGCCTAGACCACGAGCGGTGCTGTACAGACAGCCGCGCGGGCTGTAGCCGAGGTGGTGCGTGTTTTGATGCAATATATGAGGGATGCGGTGAGCGGTGCCGGCGTGTGTAAGTGGTGTGGGTGGCGACAGTTTGGTACCTTGGCTGTGACGCTGAACTACCGGCGCTCAAAACTACGCTCTAGTCTAGCCTGCGCCTTATCTTCCGCTTCAAGATATACGCGAGTCCGCCCGTCCCTCCCATGGCGGCGCGCCGCTGAGGCGCCAGGCGGGGTTTCCGGCGCAGTGAACCGATTGTGGGCGGTGGGATAGGAACTCCAAACCGGCGGCAAGGCCGCACCATCTGCTGGTGGGCGGGAAGGCATCGTGGTCATGGCCGTGTGGTCCGGGACAATCCGAGTAATAGTTCAAGGGTTCTCCAAATGCACGCATGGTATCCAGGCGACTGGTGCAAAATAACGCCCTGCGAATGCCCCTCGAACGTCTCGCAACCTGGACCGCCTCACCAGACATCGCTGTCTGAGGAAGCTGCAAATTCCATCATATCACATGTATTTTGTGAGTCTCAAACACCAGCACTGTGACATCTAGATCGAACGTCATATCGGTGTGCGCCTGGTGAGGCGGCAGCTGCCTCCGAAACACTGGGAAGCGGGTTCGTGAACCAACGCTTCCAGGGAGCGAGTGCTGGGAACGTACAGATCAAAACAAGAACACCAGACTTGTGCGAACGCTGCCACCTCGCCTCCTGCGCCGCCGCCAGAGGGGTTGCCTAGAGTCGAACACGGCGGCCGCAGGACACGGGTGTGGTCACTGCCGCCAGGGCGAGCTGAACGGGCATGCCCCCGTCACGAGACAGGCCCGTCTGGGGTCCGCCGCGCGTCGGTCACCGGGGTGACGACAGCTGGTCGGCGCAGAGGCCGAGGAACGTTCGAAGGGTGCGGTTGTACCTGCCCGATTGTCACAGTGGGTCGTGGGACGCGCGAAAGACGAGGAGTGGGTGCGAGCGCGAGGGTGGAGCCCTGGCGCGCCGGGCCTGGCGGTGACGGCGGGAGATCGGGCATCGCCCAGTGGGGCGGGCTGCCTGAGCCGGCTCCCCGGGCGCCGAATAGCAGATACAGCCAACGCATGAACAGCTCAGAGGAATGTCCACGGTATGGCAGCGTGGATAAACGCTGCAGTGAACGACGACATAGACAAGCGGTAAAATGGCCTCACAAGTGTGCAGAGCAGCAAAGTAATACGGCTTCTGCCGCGGCGAAAACAATGGCGACATGTCATGATGGCACATCAAATGTCACACCTGAACACACTAGGCATACGAACACTGGTGCCCCTGGTCCGACGCAAACAGCGTCTCTACACACGCTAAACATCGGTGCCGAAAACAACAAACAGCACACCTCCAGCGTCTCATCGTCCCGGTGGCTTCGTTGTGCCTTCGAGCGCACCAGCAGCAGACGCTATTTTGTCGTCACTTTGATGAGGGTTCTAAGGTAAATAACCAGCCCGAAAGACGAAACCGTAAGCAATCGGCGGCGATCGAGATGCACGAACAGCCACTGGGTACCAGCGCCGCCTAGCAGCCCTGCAGTACGTCAACGCCGTTTGGTCGACTTCTTGGCCTCTGCCGAACTTCTGCGCGACCCCATCTCACCCGGGCCGTGACAGAGCGTGAGACCCGCCGAACTGAACGCGAGTGTACGCTCCCTTCCCTACCTCAGGTGGTGGACGTGTGGGGGCCGGCAGCTCCACTCCGCTTGAACGCGAGTGTACGCTCCCATCCCTACCTCAGGTAGTGGACGTGTGGGGGCCGGCCGCTCCACTCCGCTTGAACGCGAGTGTACGCTCCCATCCCTACCTCAGGTGGTGGACGTGTGGGGGCCGGCCGCTCCACTCCGCTTGAACGCGAGTGTACGCTCTCACTCCTACCTCAGGTGGTGGACTGTGGGGGCCGGCCGCTCCACGCCGCGCCCCAGCCGCTACCGACGGCGGCAGGAGGACGGAGGGGAGGCGGCGACGGGTCGGCCGGCGCCCGGCCGCGCGCACGCTCTGCAGACGGCGACGGGTCGGCCGGACGCCGGCCGCGCGCACGCTCTGCAGACGGCGACGGGTCGGCCGGCGCCCGGCCGCGCGCACGCTCTGTAGACAGCGACGGGTCGGCCGGACGCCGGCCGCGCGCACGCTCTGCAGACGGCGGCGGGTCGGCCGGACGCCGGCCGCCGGCCGCGCGCGGCACCATCCCGTGCGCACGCTCACCGGGCGGACACGTGACAGTCCAAGAGGCGTGGCGGCCGCTCGCTCGCCGCGGCGGCATTGACTAGAGGGGTGGACGCCCGCGGTCGGCGGCTTCACACGTAGAACAGCCGGACCTGCGACGTGGACACCAGCAGGTCGTCGTCGAAGAACTGGGTCTCGATGATGACATTGCCGCTGTGGACGGGGACGGCCAACGTCACTAGTCGATGACCCCAGCAGCGGCCTTCGAGTATCCCAGCGCCATTGGCGGCAGGCATCGATTCAGTCGCAGAAATGCACGGGTGGTGGGTACTTCAGCCAACTTGTAAGAACACCTTCGGTTGATTTATCTGCGGTGGGCGCTAATGTTATGTATCCTTACGCAGTTCAAAGACACGTATTGGGATTAGCGACAAGTATGTCAAATGTGCCTCCCACACGCATACATTCGTGGCCGAAAGCAATAGGACTGCAAGCCCATACATTTCACAACATTAACATGATACTGCACTTCGCGCCCCAGTGCTTCAAGTTCAAAATCATTTGAGATCACTGAGGACACGAACCATGTCACGAGAAGCAACTGTGAGAACACCCCAGTCTAATGCGGCGGCCGGCGACCTGACGAGGAAACTCACTTGAGAACGTTGGCGGGCATCATCTGACTCTCGGGCGCTGCTTCAATCACGCTCTGCCACGTGTTGGTGGAGTTGGGGATTACGTAGCCGAAGTCGAACGACCACTCCTCTAAGCAGCGGCCCTGTAGGGTGGGGAGGAGATGGCACGTGACACCATAACGAATTTCAGGAACTATTCTGGGGTCAACGACTGCCGCACAGGACGTGGCTAGTCTAAACGCCAGGCATCTGTGCAGTTCCCGAGATTTTCAGGTCGCAACACTGCAGCTGGCATCGAAACGAAACAGCCAGGTATGTTCATGTAAGGTGCATGAACGGTTTCAGCGTGCACATATCGTGTTCGCTAGTTATGGCAGTGAGCACATTGCGGCCTACCAACTGCGATGGCAAGACTTAACTGAGTATGTATCTCTTACGCCATCTGTCCACAGTATATAATACAGTCAACAAAAAGGTAGCACGAACAACACCAAATGACGTGAACCTCTACGGATATCAAAATGCATCGTGCAGTTAATAGCCGTATATTCCGGGTCAAACATCCCACAGCCAGCCACCAATTGGCATCGCTCCGCGGCCGTTGCACCCGGGGTCAGCGGCGGCCGCGGGCGCCGGCGCACCTTGAAGAGGACCCGCTGCTCCAGCCGGAACTTCTCCATGGGTTCGGCCGAGGTGAAGTTGATCTCGCGCGAGATGGCGCGGCACTTGAGGATGGACTTGGGCACGCGCGCCTCGTGCTCCACCTCCGGCAGCGAACTGGCGGATCGCACACGGTGGGCGTCAGCCGTTGCCGCCAGCTGACCCTCCCCCCACCCTTATTCCGTATTGATTCCTACTGATGGGAAGCTACATTACAGTCATCGGTTATTCAATACGCCACAATAACATACAAATTGGCGTCCTGTAAAATGACATTGATGGTGCCTACAGCTTTCTGCCTTTGGATGGTTTGTTATGTCCCAACTCTGCAGCGGTTATGCAACCATTGATAAAAAACCAGACCAGCGTAAGTCGGGGGTCGGTGTCCACTAACAACCATATGCCACACCTCCACTGCACTGACCGGCGCCTGCTCAGCTCATCACCCATACAATTACACACATAACAGCTTAGCAAGGTAATGTAACGTAACGATACGTAACGCAAGCTCAACACAATAGGTCTGCCGACATTGATAAGTAGATACATGTACTCCATCCCTACACATCGCGCAATGAACGTCACAAACCACATTCCCAAAGACAACTAACTTGGTTGGCCGAAACCACATATGGTGACAAAGGCAGCTTCAACTTTGGCTTCGAGAAGCCTCAGTTTTCCTGCAGTGGCTGCCAGTACGGCTCCTACTTTTGAGACATTTTACACAGCTGGAATCAGCTTCGCCTTCGGCTGCATGCCATTTGAAACGATTTGCTTCGGTTTCAGCTTTGAACATATTTGAATGATAACTCTGGCTTGGCATCAGGCGGTCTTGAACAGCTGGCTTCAAGTATTGATATTTCCACTGCTGGGTTTGGCTTTTTCGTAGTGATCTTTTCGCTGCAGTTACGACTTAACTTCACAAAAATGGTGCCACCCATTTTGCCCCCCAACATACCACAACTTTTTGAGGCAGCAATGTATACATGGCTGAAACCCTCTCACCCCATCCCAACCAAAATAATGTGATGGCCATTTGGCCATTCTCAGGACCAGCTTACACCTGAAGATGGCCAGAAAGCTATCAAACAGGTTGTGTACATGCAAACATACAAAACAGGAGTGCTAGTCCTCAAGGCCTCCATCTGTGCACCTTGTCTAGCCATTTATATTTACATGATATTCACTGATCCCATATAGTTTTAGCAGATTCAAAAGTGGTCTTAGTTTGGCTGAACTTTATGCCCTAGTTCCGGCCTTGGTTTCAGACCCAGGAAATCAATTTCAAACAACTGATGACTTCAGCTTTGGCTAAGCATGTCCTTAGTTTGAAGCAGTTGACTTCAGCTTCAGCCTCACATGTGCTAAGTTTGAAGTTACTGGCAATCCAGTCACTGGCTTGGAATTCAGTTTCATGGTTACAACATTTTGTTTTGTCAAACTGAAAAGTCACTGGCTTTGGCTTTAACTTTGACTTCATTCTGTTGCCTTGGTTCAAGGTTCAGCTTCAAATGCAGGGGCCTGGCTTCACTCCAGTGCCTGGTCCAGACACTGGCTCAGGGTCACGGCACATGAAGATGCCATTGTTTGTTGAAAACAGCATGGGGAAAACAGCTCACATGCATAAAGCAAAACAAACAGGGATTTGGAGGTGCATGCGGATACTCACAGGTCTTCATTTCCTTGCCAAAGTATTTTGCCATCATCAGCATCTCTCAGATTCATCCAGTTACTGAGGGAAGTTAAGGTCTTATAGCACAAAACTGTACCAAAAATTAAAAAATAGATGCATCAGGCCATGCACCGAAACACATAAGGGTATAAAAAAGTGCATTCATACATGTTTCTGGAATTATCATATCCTTGAAATTGTCTTTCAGAACTGTTTTTGGCATAAGCCACTGAGAAGATAAGCAGTGTCTGGCATCTATTATTTCATCCCAAACAATTGATCTTGATAATAAGCAGCAATGCATTTGATACAGAATAAGTAATGAGTATTATACACAAAAGATCAGCCTGACTCAAGATGAATGCACTGCATCGAGCCTCCAACAGGCTGGGTAGTGCTTTTGACAATACATATCAACAAACAAGTGATTTAACATTCATCTCCCAATGCAAAATACATAATTGGCAGTGATAACATATGCCTTTAATGCAGCTTTATGAAATGTTAACAGATATAATAAGTCAGCAATAGTCATATCCACCAGCCAGTTAGAATAAGTGCATTAAGTCTGGTAAGCCCAACCCATCCAACTCAGCAACTCAAAACAGCCTTGCAAGGATACAGTTGAAATCCCCTGAGGATATCTTCTGCCTTTGATGGCATTGTGTTCTGAAAAAGAAAAATACATATGTCATCTAAGCTCCTTGACTTTGATGTGCATGTGTGCCAGTATGATGATGCAATGTTAATCATCTGGAAATCCTTTTAACCATAGGTGCATTACTACAAGATATTCAGTGCACTATTTTCTCATCTTGAGCTTGTCAGATAAAATCAAGACACAATTGCTATTGGCATTAAGGAAAAGGGGGCCTATCACCACAAAATCCATTGAAAGGCAACATCAATAGAAATGACATGGTGAGTTAACCAGTGGCAGATCCCAAATGGCTAATGGGCAGGTATTTCATTCACAATTAAACCAAAAGGTGATGCCATTTACAAGCAAAATTCACATAAGTTAAAATAAATCATACTGGTATTTGCCTCTTACACCAACACTTCATAGACTGAGGTACAAACAGGGAGAGACACACTGAGATACACAGTGAATGACACTTTTAAGACAAGGCTGGATAATTAATGGTCAATTTCAAGCATTTCATGATCAAGAAAAGGCAGGTAATAATGAAAGAGAAAATGGATGAAAATGATATTATGACCATTTTCCATTTCCATGCAGATAGGGTGCAGGATCAGTGCATCAATGTTACTTAGACATCTAGCCAGGGGATGGATTTTTGGGGTGGGCTGGTACCTAATCAGCTCCACAGAACTTTCAGCCACAAGTACCAACCACCAGCAATCACTCAAAACATCATCAAATGGCACTCAAGGTCCTCAAGCGTGTGCCCCCGGCCCTGTAGAAACTGTTTTCAATGAAGCCAACCTTTTTGCTTGCAAAAACGGTGCTTCTTTGAGCAGTGAATCGTGAACCGTTCCAAATCCCTCAACACAACCCGATATATGGACCGTACGCCCCCAGCACCGACAGGCGACCAATGCTTCTGCCGCTGTGTACTGCTTAACTTGGAGACAATCGATAGCAGCAAGTTGGCATCAGCTAAAGTACGGCCATAAAAATGCCTCACAGGTAAGGACACACTTTTCCTATTTTCAATTTACAGTTAACCTCATTATACACATTGCCAGTTGTTTTAATGCAGCGGAATGATTTTGAAGACAGTTAAGAACGTAAAGGCAATTAACCAGCACAGAGTTAAGGAACCATACAATGGGGAATCAAAACACTTGCTCAAAATGGAAAGGTGCCTTCTCTGCACTAGAATTTTGGCAGGGAATGTGACGCAGGATTTTCGATAGCGCAGTGGCATCAGTTGTGATTGCCCGTCGCATTGATCCCGGTCCCTGCTTTGGCTATTGGGCATTGATGTTGAATAAGTGGTGTTTGGTGCAAGCGGTTTCAATGTGATGTGGATTAGTTAAACGGCAAGAAGTGATTTGGAATGTTGGCTATCAGCTTTTGTGGACAGTTACAAATTTTCTTCACTGTCAATAATGATTAAATAATTTTGAGGAAAGTTGTGGTCAGGGTACCTGCTTGAAGGACTACTTGCAATATTACAGTGTTTGAAGCATACTAAATTCAACAAGGCATGGCGTTGCACCGAGCAACTGCATTGCCTGTCAGGGACACCTAGTTTACCACTGATTTTCGCTAATGCCGGCGCAGGCCTCGCGCTCAGTAAAACAGCCTGCATCAGTTAAATTCTGCAAGGAAATGATGTAGAATTATTACCAGCACATGCGCCAGACAGTTGTCAATTCCTCTAACACCTTTATATAGGTCTATATCCTATGCAATGTCACTGAATTGCGTTTCCCCTCACGTCTATCACTCGAATGCCCACAACCGGCCGTAAGTCGGCGGTGCAGCTGTCAGCTAATTGTAGTGTTCGCTAACACTCCCAGCTGATCGTTTGTGACGTCACGAAGTTACAAAATCACTCATGCTGGTGATAGTTTGCGCGTGTAAGGCTGGTAAGTCAATGATGGAATCTGGGCGATTCCCGTCACATGGCGGTCCCTTCCAGTCGAATGACAAATGATGACTGAAAGTTATGTGCTGTGAGGACAGGTCACTGGATCACTTTGCATGGTCTCTGAGATAATTGTGAAGTGAGGCCGGGTGGCAACGGCCGTGACTGATAGGACTAGGTCAGCATATAGACAGGACCGGGCGGGACGCGACAGGAAAGACCAAACCAGGTTAGACCTGGTGGTCAAGAGGAGACTGGGTGAATGAGACGAGACCGGGCGGACCTCACGGATTCAGACAGGATCAGACGGAACCAGGCGTAACCAGGAGGATTAGACGGGATCCAAGGGCACCATACATGACTGAAAGGAACTGGACGAAACGAATATGCAGAACGGGACCAGGTGGAACCGGACAAAATGTAATGGGGCCAGACGCAAGCGAATGGGATAAGACTAGATGCCACTGGAACGGATTGGACATGAAGGAATGGGACCGGACCAAACCAGAGGGGACAAAACGACCCGGCGAGGTCAGACATAGTCGAAGAGCATCGTAAATGACGGAAGGGAACCGGATGGGACAGAATGTGATCGCGCATACTTTGACAGAATCGGACCGGATCAGACAGAACCAGATGGAGCGTCATGAATTGAGACAGAACCGGGCGGAACCAGACCAGATAAGCTGAAACCGGGCAAGGCGAGACCAGACGGGATCGGATTGATCCCGAAGGAACCTGATCAGACCGTACGGTATCAAACGGGACCAGACAGGACTCGCCGAGGCAAGGTCCTCTGGTCGGCGCTGTGGGCCCCTGACCAACATATGGCCCATCATTTTTCAGGTACCTCAAGCAATACAAATCGTGTGTCCAGCCTTGTTCCTCCTCGGGAAATGGTCCCCCTGGGCTGAGACCGGCACGGAGCTAACTGTTGGATATCGGTAGTCTCTGGCCGCATTAGAGGCCCGCGTTCTCCTAGAGGATCTCAATCGATGCAAGGGTCCATCTGATCGACATTTGAAGTCACGGCCCCCAAATATGATCTTCAGCCAGCTCTTTGGGCCTTCAGCCTTTCCATCGGGCCTTTGATCGTCAGCTTCGGAGGATATTTTGGGACTCTGTTTAGACATCCTCGAACACTGGTCTGGTCGACTCGGGGCCCCTTGCCAAAACAAGGCCCCTGCTACCCACTGTGGAATTCTGGCCAACCCGGCTCATTGGCTCAGGGGCCAAACCAACGTAAATCGCAGGCCCCGGCCTTGTGCTTGCTTAGCAAATTGGTCCTCAGGTCCAGACTGGCACGGGGCCGACTGTTCGGTACTGTGCTACCTGGCCCACATAGTAGACCCATCGGCTCAGGGGGAGGGGGGGGGGGGGCGTCGACGATTAGGGCTGACTGGTATTTGAGGGTCCGGCACTGCGAACCGGGTCGGGAGGAGGTGCACATGTCCCTTTGTCCTCCTTCCTCGCCTGTATCGCTGTCCAGAGAGCAACGCACGAGTTTCCGAACAAATGTGAAGAAATCAATGGCAACGTGGAAGACCCCTTACCGATCGCATTAACCCGGTAAGTAACACATTGGTCCCCTAGCAACAGAGGCCTGTGGACAGCACAACGAGGCGTAAAATTTCACTTGCTACTCTTTATCCGCGAATAATTATTTTTTTCGTCTGCTCATGGGCCCTTCACCTTTGCTTGTGGCTGTTGTTGGTCACCGGAAGGTCCAAATATGTCAACTTCGCTAGATTTTGTGTTAAAGAATGCTTCTGTCCCGCCGGCTATGGGCCCCTGGTGGCCACAAGAAGAGTCACGGTGCTGCGGCTTCCTCTCTGGGTCCTCCACTACACACGTGCGGTCCCGTGCGAAATTGTGAACAGTTACGTAAAGATCTGGTAGCTTTGTGACGTCATCTTATTTACAATCAGTTTGAAGTGTTGCAAACTTTTCTACAATCAGCTGGCGGCTGCACAACTGATTCGTTCACCCCAATATGCAAACTGTTGCTTGCAGGCGTGAGGGAAAACGTACCTAAACGATCTTGTATAGGTGATAGAGCTATATGAAAGTGCTAGAGGAATTCATAAATGTCTGGAGCATGTACTGCCAACTCTTTTGTATGGTTTGCTGGCTAAGCTTAGCTGGAACAGAGCGTTTTATGAAGTGGGAGGACCACGCCAGTGTTACCTGATTTTTTACCCTCTTAAATTCACCTGAATGACTGATGAAAGTAGAATGCTGACAGTAATGTTCATCTCCTACCCATAGTGTCATTGTCAAGGTATATGCCATATATGACTGGTATGTGCTTCAAAGAAGGTGTGCCATCAGTACTTGAACCTCTACCATATCAGGAAAAGTTGCCATAATTTTGCATGCCAGTCATAGGGCCTTTGAAGTAATGACTGAAGTAATGATGCTAAGTGGCTTTTTAAGTATTTGTGCCTGTTGTCAAAATTTGTCAGTTCTCCAATGTTGCACAGGTCTATGTATTAAATGTACATTAGTTTGTAACCTGTTGTAAAACATGTGCATAGATGTTACAATGCATTCCTACTGTGTGTAGCAATGCATTTGTTTGATCCTTTGACATGTGCATTATTCAATAAATTTCAGTGCCTGCTTTCTGATGTGCAGTTAATTATGCAGGAGCACATGCAATGCCATCCTAAGAAGCACTGCAAGTGATAGGGTGGTCAAGCAATTTAGCAAGTTTTTTGCAATGGGAGATCTGTATCAAGGGAGTACCCAAAGCATGATGATGAAATCTGAACACATGTGTTACATTTGTGGAAGTGCTGGTTTCATTGCATCAAGATGCATGACAGATAGCCTAGGCACTTCTGGAATAAGCATTGAGGAAAAGCTGTACCAGATTATGTCTGTGGATGTACCAAATGACAGACACAGTGAAATTGTGTGTGAAGAATGTTTCTCACTGTTGGAGAACATCACAAAGCAACAGAATGCTCTGTACATAATGATACAGGACATAAATGAGAAACTGAATAATACCTGCCAAAAGATGCTGCAGTTAAGAAATGGTGGTGATGACAGCAAGCATGTGTTAGAGGTAAGCCTTTTCATACTTACTCTTCTGATTAATATGCAGCTAACTTATGGCATCTTCAATGCAGTTGCTCACCCGAGAAACAGACCATAGCATATAACACTTGCTATATTTGAATAAACAAACAGTGACGCATGCACTTCTTTAAGCAGTATGTACCTGACCAAGTCACACTGCTGTCTTCCTGTGCAGGCAGCTGTGGCAGACGAGCCGGAATCGGGGTCGGCCTCGTCGGACGCAGCGTCGCCGGCAGACGCGCGTCCGTCGTCGCCGGCCGAGGAGCCGGCCGCACCGCCCGCCTGCGTCGACTGCCCGGGCCGCGCCTTCTCCAGCGCCGCCTCGCTGCGCCGCCACCGGCGCAAGAAGCACGAGCGCCACCTGAGCTGCCCCTTCTGCAGCCGGCCGGTGCGCGAGACTTACCTCGAGATGCACATCCTCATCAAGCACTCAAAGACGGAGAAGGGCTATCTGTGCACACTCTGTGACCGCTCCTACGAGTCGGCCAAATACCTGAAGGTGCATCTGCGCACGGTACACAGCGACGGTAAGCAGTACCAGTGTACCGAGTGTGGTCGCTTGCTGGCCAACCGCGGCAGCCTGCACGCGCACATGCAGCGGCACGCGCGCAGCCACCAGTGCTCGCTCTGCGGCCGCCGGTTCGCGCTGCTCAAGCAGCTCGAGACGCACGCGCGGCACCACACGGGCGAGCGGCCGTTCCTCTGCACCGACTGCGGCAAGGCCTTCATCTCAGTCGAGCGCCTGCGCAAGCACGCGCACGTGCACGCGGTGGCGCCGACGTGCGAGGCGTGCGACCGCGTGTTTGCCAGTCGCGCCGGTCTCGAGGCGCACCGGCGCACGCATAGCGGCGACCGGCCGTTCGCCTGCACCGTGTGTGCCAAGACGTTCAAGCGCGCCGCCCACCTGAGCGACCACGTGGCCAGCGTGCACGGGGAGGACCGGCCTTTCAAGTGCGACCAGTGCGAGCGCTCCTTCACCCTGGAGCCGTACCTGAAGCGCCACCAGCGGCTGCACGGCGGCCAGAAGCCGCACGGCTGCGCCGCCTGCGGCAAGCGCTTCTTCAAGAAGTACAACCTGCAGGCGCACCTCAAGACGCACGAGGCGGGAGCGGCGGCGCCGCCCCCGCCGCCGCCGGCCACGTACGCCGCGCCGCCGCCTCCTCCGCTTCCGCCTCCGCCGCCGCCCCCGCCCCCGCCCCCGCCTCCGCCGCCCGCTGACCCGCCGCCGCCGCATCCCGGCTACATGTGGTCCTAGCGGCCGTACCCCCGCCGCCGTACAGGCAGACTAGGCAGCGGCCTCTAAGGGCTCACGCAGCCGTGCTGGTGGTGGGTCATCCAGCCGTGTTGGTGGTGTTCCAGGCGAGCTTCGGGCTGGGGAGAGTGGTGGCGTGTGATGGCGAGATCGTCTACGCTGGGACCGCCACGCGAATACTGTCGCTGAAGTCTGGACTTCGGTATAGGTGTTCCCTTCAGTTCATGTCGGAAGTCATTGCGTGCGTGCGTGTGTGGTTCATCCCATTGCTGTCGCGCCATATGTTCCGTTGTGTGATGTTTCATTCCTCATCACGAGATTCGTCGTTGCCCAGGTGGGCGGGCCGCCGTGCTGTGAGCCGAACCCGGGACTGCTGTGATTCGTTTTTGCCGTCTTCTTTGGATGCGTGGCAGCAAGTGATCATTGCCAAATGTAAATACACTGACCCGTCGTTCTTTTCAAAAAATCTTTAGTCGACGCGCCCTAAAACCCCAATCATCATCATTATCATCTTCAAAAAATCTTATATTATATCCGCTGATAGCAGACAACAATAGAAGGCGACAGTGGCTAGTCGACACACAGTACACGATCCTGAGCTCAAGCCACGAAGGGGTGAGAGTTGGCACGCAACGCCTGCCGGACCGGCGCCAGTCGCCCTGTGCGACTGGTGCGGTACGCGCATGCGCACAGCTCTCAGCGGGTCCTTTGGCCTGTTGGTGCACCGGCGCTGCAGCACGTAGCATTTGATTTCCGATGGCGTGTGCCTGAAAAAGGAGACAGAATTGAGTATTCTTATCATACAATGAGAAGTACGCGTGCTCTGCCGATTCTTCTCTCCTACTTTACAAATAAAGTCGCACCGTATTGCGGCGGAGCCCAGACTACACTCAGCACGTGTGGTGCAGGAAAGATGTCTGCGCTCACTGGCATCTACCTGGAGTACACCAGTATCTGTCACCACGGCGCACACCGGCAATCCTGGCGCACACCGGCATCTGTCACCCTGGCGCACACCAGTGTGTATTATTACCCTGGTGCACGCCGGCATCTGTCACCCTGGCGCACACCAATGTATTACTCTGGGGCACGCCGGCATCTTTCACCCTGGCGCACACCAGTGTGTATTACCCTGGTGCACGCCGGCATCTGTCACCCTGGCGCACACCAGTGTGTATTACTCTGGCGCACGCCGGCATCTGTCACCCTGGCGCACACCAGTGTGTATTACTCTGGTGCACTCCGGTATCTATCACCCAGACGCACGCCGGCATCTGTTACTCTAGGGCACGCCGGTACCTATTACATGGCGCACACCGGTGTGTATTACCCTGGCGCACGCCGCCCAGCAACCATGTCTGCCGGGCTTGGATGGCCGCCAGCATGTAAATGTTGGCCAGCACCAGTTGCTCTGCTGCCATTCTGCTTGGTTTTCCGCTACGTCTGGAACGCTGGGACTTGTGACGTCACGTACCTGGCTAGGATGCTGGCCGTCGGCGGTGGGGTAATGCACTGGCGTTGGCGGCGCTGCCTCGCGGGCTCGGGTTCGTCTCCTCTGTGCGCGAGAATGGGACGGATGTGCGACACGGCCAAAGCACAGACGGATGTCCTCGATGTGCAGCGTTTATAAATGAGCCTGTTACCGGCTCTCACAGTTTACTTTATGATGGACGCATACAATGCATTATCGAAATGCAATAAGAGCAGATTCCACTAACGCCATAACAAAATGTTGGCCGATTGAATTGTTTTTGCGTGGAACCGTTTCACTAGTATACATTTCCATCAATCACCATCAATTATACATGTTAAGAGCATAAGATAAAAGCCGCTTTCTTACAGGAGATTGATACTGCTGGGTAGAAAATATAGAAGGTACCTGTGTAGTCCCGAAGCAACTTATGTAAATGTGAATAGTATCGCCGGGCTAAAGGTTTGAAGGACCGAGGGGGGGGACGCGACCACGGGTGTCGAATTCTCAAAATGATCGGGGAAGCGAAGTCTCAGTAGTCGCCATAAGGGGAAAGGCACGAAAAGCTTCTCCACACACACACACACACACACGCACATGTATATTATATATATATATATATTGTATATATAATATGCAAATATGTGTGTTTATGCGTGACTACCGTAGAGTGTTAACAACATATGTGGCTATCACAGCACGTTTACACACATGTTCTCGGCAAACCGAGTTTCATGGATAAAACATATGCATTTCAGTTAACGTAAAACAAAACATAAGCACCCCTCCATGCACCAGTCACGGAAATGGTCCTGAACCTTTCTCCAAACAGCCTGATGCCTTCCTCATCAGAATGCCTTCTCCACCCATTTTATAACATACGTTTTTCAAGCCTGCTGTGTTTCTAGGAGGAGGTTGTTCCAGGCCTTGTCGCGCTTCTGAAGGGAAAACGACCCTAACCCGCTTCAGTTCGAACGTGTGGCAGATGAAGTCCCGTAAAGTTAATGTCATGCGCAACGTGGGTTAAGTATCAAAGCATTGCTAGTTGAGCTGGCTCTTCAGTGGCCACATGCGATTATACTGATGCTTCCATATTCGGTGCACAATGAGCTCACCGACACAGATGCGCGGCCAGAATCTTGGTAAAAGGGAGGGGTACATGATTGACAAAGAACCACTCCTGGTGAAACGTCCCCGCCCAAAATATTATCATGTACGCCCCACTTGATTTACAAAAGGGACGATTTGCTTCGTTTTATTATAATATGTACCTTCTTACTAAAACAAGCCAGAAGGCAACGCAACGCTTTAAAGGATTACATAAAAAGCACCGTCGCTTTCCATTTTGTAACTGTTTAGTGAACTCTTTCTAAGTGATAACACTCAGGGCTTTGTTGGAATTTTTCTGTGTTGTGCAGAGACAATGTGAACTTAGATGATAGTTGACGTAGATTGTAGATCGAAATAGGGTTGTACATTTGCTTTGACATGCCCAGCCCCTGAGTGTCAGGGAATCTGCGACCTTTCCAGAGGCCAGATGTGAAAGAAGTACATCACATGCTCTTGACCATGTACGCTCGCAAGGCTTAGAATAAAGACCCTGATGCCCGACGTTGCAGTCTCCGTAGGCCGCGCGCCGTCTGTCTCGTGGCGGAGGTCAGCGGGCAGACAAAGACCATATTGTTTCTGAAAAAAGTGCCTTTGAACGCTTGAGGGCGTCAGCCCGTACGTTTAGAGAGTAACCCGCGAACGTGTTTAACCTAAATAATTTTTTTTGGGGGGGGGGGATTTGGTGTGCTGATGCTTTTTTAGGACTTTGGTGTGTTGCCGTGCGCTTTGGTGTGCACGTCAGCACACCAAAGCTCCTGTATTTGTGCACATCGTCGCACACCATCGCATCGCACCCAGCACATCGCATCCGACCAGTGCTGGAATTTGCCATGGAACCTTGCGAGTTACGATAGAATCCTGTATCCGGGTTGCTGTAGCTGTTAATCCACTCAGAGAACATCCCGAAATTATGCAGGCGAAGTATGCGCCCGGACCCGATAGCTGAACGTTGCGGATTAATCTAGAAAGACTTTCGGAGCATTATTTCACGACGGCCGTTCTCGCGCTCCAGGCACCCGCCGCCGATGTTGACTATATCGCCCGACGCCGCTCGGCTTGATGAAAACTGCAACCTTGGACATCGATGTTCTTGCTTCCAAGAATGCGAACCCTCGCGCTTAAAATTCGTTGACGGGATTTGTTTCACACGTGACCCCGGGTGAGGATGGACGTCCTCATTGGCGTCGACCTTTTCCCGTTTTGGCCCCGTTCTGATCCGCCCTATCGAAAACCAAAGAAACCCCTATATTTTCGGGGCAGAGGCCCAGTTCGTAGTACACTAGGGGCACATATTTCCCCGTCAGAGGTTCAAGTAAGGGTGAATTCCTCTACAGCGCGGAGTGCCTGACGGCTGCCATGCTGGCGACTCGGTGGGGGGGGGGAGGGGGGAGGCGGAGTTTTTAGGTCGTTACGAGAGCCCTTAGAAGCATCATTCATACATTGGTCGCCTGTCTGACGCCGGAGCTCCCTGAACCAAGTATCTGGCCCCGAATAAACACAGGGGCCCTCCCTGACGCACAAAGGCCTCTTACCGCCGCAGGTGTTCAATAATTAGTATAGAGGCTCCAGCTCAGCAAAACGAGCCCTGGTTGAAGTGGTATGGAGAGCCTCCCGTTCTGAACTGATGTCCCTGACTGTCGCTGTGCCTTCCATTGTCCTTTTTGGACACTCGTCGTAAACTGTAACATCCACTCTCCTTGTCAGAGAGTCTCGACCATCACCAGAGGCCCTCTAGCATTCGGGGTCTCGTCGTGCTCCCGATCAGCAAATGTTACCCCGGCCGATTCAAGACCCCTTGCCGACATAGAGCCCTCTGTTAGGCACTGTGGGGGCCTTACCGACACAGTAGCACACATTGTTTCAGGGGTGCGAACCAATACAAATCGTGGGGCCCAACCTTGTCCTTGTTTGAGAAATGGGCCCCAGGGCTCGGACCGACACGGAGCCGATGGTTCGGAGTTGGTGCTCTTCGACCGATAAAGAGGCCCGCCTGGTCCCAGCGTACCCACATTGGTGCAAGAGGCCCCCCGACTTTGACCGATATAGGGGCCCGCATCGTCCCAGCGTACCCACGTCGGCGCAAGAGGCCCTGTGACTGATATTTTAGAGTCCGGCCCCGCGGTTCGGGGTCCTTAATGTGAGCTTCGGGACCTGCGGGACCCCACGAACACTACTCATGACCCATTTGGGGTCGCTTGCCACCACAGGACCCTTGTCAGACACTGATATTCCCAAACCGCACAGGGGCTCTTTCATTGACTCAGGGGCGCGGCCGATGTAAATTGCGGACCCGACCCCATCTCTGAGTGGGGACCCGACCCCTGAGAAATGGGTCCGTGTTCCAGATCGGATGGTGGAGTAATCTGGTGGCGAATCCGCCTCAACCACAGGGGTGCGATTTCGCAAAATAGGCCTCGGGGCTGAGAGGGGAAACCTAAACATAAATGCACCAAACAACAGTTCTCCCGAAAATTTGACCCACTTTTCTCTCAAGGTTATGAAATTGGAGTCCCCCCCCTCCAACCCGATGGGACGCTGCATCCCACTCCTAACGCATTTCTTCGCTTTTTCTTGGCAAAGATGTTGACGTTGGGCATCATAGCAGTTTGCTCGGTGTCGATCGTCGCACGCAGGTTCCGGTAATCTACGGAAGGTCGGTGTTATGTGGCTTCAGACGTTCTTAAACGTGTACGGCCCCGGGAAAAAGAGTAGAAGATGATGTGCGGGACTGCTTAATGCTGCCACGGAAACCACCAGCTGATAGCCGCAAGACGGGGTGCAGGCAGCAACTCAGCAATAAGACATGTCAGGCAATTGCCGCTGTCGACTCAGCAGGCTAGTGTTGATCGAGTTCTCGTAACTGGACAATCGAGCATTCATGTCCAAGTGGAGGTCAGTAAATTCCAACGGTTTTTCCGAGCGTGAACGGCTAAGAACGCGTCACGTCGCCGTGTTGGGTCGGTTTTTGGGGTTCTAGTTTCAATCAACTTGTTTTTATCTTATGATTTCGATCCAAAATCACTAACTCGCTGCATTATTTAGAATATGTATTGTCGCTGACTAATACAAAAACAGACAAAAGCACATAAGTAGACCGAAGTCAGCAAGACATATTAATCATGTAACCAAAGTCATTCATCATGCCGAAAGAAACAGAACATTAAGACCTCAATATGACATTGCAATTTTCATTTTCTTTTGTCCTTTACCTGTGAAATATTAATAAAAACCTTCATTACAATTGATACAATGTTAGTCTCTCATTATTAATACCCTGCTTTACTACGGCGCTTAAAAGTTGGGGGGCCAAACTCACCGTTGGGGGACTAAATTGGCCATTGGGTGGGGGGGGGGGCGAGGCAGTAGCGTGCTCTAAATAATGCAAATTGACACGCGTAAACCCGATCCTGCAGTAACTGACGGAGATCTCAATTGACGTCACATCATACTATCCACCTGTTTGGCGACGACACGAGTGCCAGCACGGAAATGGCTCAGTGACATTCTCTTCAGTGGAGCACTGGCAGCTGGTTTACCTTGTATTTGACCCGAACATCTGCGACTGAGCATGCCGCCTAGTTTACCTTTGGCCGCCTCGCGTCGCAGCGTCTCCTTGGAGTCGAAACTTGCGCTGAGCATGTCCGTGGGCACGCGGTCAAAGGCTGGGTCAGTTGACAGCCGACCTGACAAACAACGCCGGCGTGAGGACGCGGCAGAAGTGGGCCGGTTGTGTCGTCAAATGCGCTGCGGCCGTCCGGTTATGGGGAGCTTGCAGCAACTGTGTGCTCGCCCTTCCCGGTCTACTGCCTCACGATCATACACTTTGATGCTGGGTTTGTCTGTGTCTGCGTACCCGGACAAGCCAACCTTGACATCGTGTCCAATCGTTCAATGGCGGCAATCTGAAGTACCCGATGATCAGACCCGGCCGGGACCCGCACCTGACCTGGTCACCTCCGCTGCGGAGACGTGGCTGACCCGGCCGAGACACTCACCTGACCCAGTCACCTCCGCTGCGGAGACGTGGCTGACCTGGCCGCGACACGCACCTGATCTGCAACTGACGGCGCTCAGGGCGCGCGGCGCCCGCGGAGGGGCCGTCGGACCACACATGGTTCTCGAGAGCCGCTCCTCCGCGGCCAGCTCTGCCAAAAGACGCCACTGTCAGCACGTAACCTGCTTCTTCATCTACTCGAAAATTGACCGTGAAGTCGGGGCGCTTCATGGACAGAGGGAAGCCAACGCGAGTCAAGGTTCCCTTACCGCCCCACCCCCAGTGTTGCAACGGTTCTCTGGTTCAATCGCCGCGATTCTCGTCGCAAGCATGCGAGTGGCCTACTTGGATTGCGTAAACACCGCATCATTTGTGTGGCGTGTCCTCGGGGATAGTGTGCGCGATAACTTTTCTGAGAAAACTTCTGAGAAAATCCGTTCTTTTTTAAAAGTAAATGGCGACAAACGTTCAAAAGGTCAAGTATTTTCGTTATCAAACCCCTGGCATGGATCGGCACTGAAACTTGCCAAGGATGGAATTCGCAATACTTTTTGTTTGCTGGTCATTCTCCCAAACAAGGGTGTCTTTTTCTCAAATCGATTCGGGGGGGGGGGTGCTAAGCCGACGAGCTTGACCTAACTTATCCCAAAACCTGGCTTTTTCCCCGGTTTCCGTCACTTTAACTTGTACTCCTGGCATCAGAAATGCATGTTTTTGGGGGGTATTTGTGATCGATTGTATTGCGGAGAGATCGTGCTGCGGAGGAATGCCTCCCACTTCCGGCCAATGTGAAATTCCAATGTTTTTTGGAAGCTTAGAATGGGCTGCAGTTGACATAAAAGCATCGTAGCAGGACCACTCGATAATGCTAACGAACAAACGCTGAGTTATCGCCCATCGAAGGTGGTCAGAAGCGCGAGACAGACGATTTTATGCGGAAGGGCGTGGCGTGGCATGCGCAAACGACAAGATATGGCACGCGTTTTGTACACACTGGTAGTAGGAGAGGACTAAATTCATCTAAAAGTGACATTGAACTGGCACAGCATTCTCCACTGTAGATATCCTAACAACTGGAAGGACAAAGTAGACAAGGGCTAGTGACCAGTTAGGTCACTAGATGACCTCCTCAAAGAAGTAAAGTGACGAGCGCCTTGTCATGAATTGGAAATTGATACAAGCGGCCCATATGTAAAGTTAGCAGCAGTTTGATATTCATATTCAGTAGAAATTGATGACTTTTCCGATTTTTACGAAGCTGTACAAAAGGAACTCCAAACGGCACTGATTGCATACATAAAAGCTTTTTGCAGAGCATCGAATGGTTTGACCTCCAGAGATCATAAGAGGTCAGCTGTTATGTGTCGAAAACACTTACGCGTTATGCACTACTCGGTCTGGAATATGACGCAGATTTCAGAAAACCCTCAAGATAGTCATAGGCCAAGCATATCAAAATATAATCCCGAAAGATGATATATATATATATATATATGTATATATATATATATATATATATGTATGTATATATATATACATACATATATGCATAAACAACGTGCTTGTCTAAATATATATATATATATATATATATATATATATATATATACACTTATATAAACATATATATACACTTATATAAACATATACACGCGTAATGATTGCTAAGCAGGACAACCTGATGTGCTGAAACCGATATCAGCCTGTTTTATTTGAATGAGCACACAGATTAAGTCAAGGTGTTAATATGGGCTAACTTAACTAACTGATCTGAAGTGCAGCCATGTCAGGTCACGTGATGACCTCACGTAAACAGTTGTGACACATTTCCAGACAGAAAATGTGATGCCGAGTTAAACGGTGTCACTTGCGTGGTGGAATCGTGTCCAGTTCAAAAATTACACACATAAATTCCTGGATATAATCAGTTTCTGTCGCAATGCATTACGTTCCGGTGGCTCTTACTTTGCACCCAATGTCTTGAAACATTTCGACCCGGTCGAATTTCTTTAAAAACGCTACGAATGTAGCAAAGCTCAGATAAGGGGTGTGTCTCGGCTTTTCACCGGTTATCAAAGTCTTCGATTTCTAGACATTCCCGCATGTCAGGTCGTTATTCGTTGCATGCATATATTTTTGCGTCTATTTATTATTGCGACTCAGTTTGTGTGACAATTCAAATAAAGCATGCCAGTATCGGTTTCAGCACATTAGGTTGTGCTGCTTAACAGTCATCACGCATTATGTATGCACACAACGAATATCGATCTGGTATTCGGTGACGTCTGAAGGTCAATGTTGTTGTTGATGCCCCGTGAAAAGCCGAGACGTCCCACCTTATCTGAGTTTCGCTACATTGGTAGCGTTTTCAAATAAATCAATGGGGTGTGGATGTTTTAGGTCATTGCGTGCAACATAAAAGTCAATGCTAAATAATGCATCGCGACATAAACTGACTACGTCCAGACATTTAGGTTATAACTTTTGCACTATGTATCATTCAATCAAGCGGAAGGCACCATTTAGGTTGGCATTACATTTCCTGTCTGAAAATGTTCCTTTTACAACTGTTTTCGTAATGTCATCACGTGACCTGACATAACCTGCGCTTTAGTTCAGGCGCTTGACCTTTTCCACTTTAAAACTTTGACTGAATTTTGGGCGCATATTCAATTAAAATAGGCATATATCGGTTTCATTAATCAGGATATTGTGCGTAGCAATCATCATGCGACACATAGGCACCCAACGAATGTCGATCTGACATGCGGTGACATGTAGAGGTCAATGTTTGTTCTTCCTGGTGAAACGTCAAGTCATCCCCCCTTATTTTTGGTTTGTTATATTTGCAGCCTTTGAAAGGAAATCAAGGGAGTGGAAATTTTTCAAGTCGCTGCGTGCAATGTAAAATTTGACGGGAAGAAATTGCATTCCGACCAAAATTGATTGTGTCCAGACATTTATGTGTATAGCTTTAAAAGACGCCAGGTTCGATCGAGCAAGTGGCAGCATTCAACTCTGCATTGCATTTCCTGTCTGGAAATGTGTCACTTACAATCGTTTGCGTGAGGTTATCATGTGATCTGACATAACCGGCACCCCAGTTCGGTGGTTATTATTTTCACCTTGAAACTTTGACTTAGTTTGTGTGCACATTCAAATAAAGCAGGCTGATACCGGTTGCAGCACATTGGATTGACTGGTCTAACAATTATGACGCGGGGCTATGTTTGTGTATATACATATATATATATATATAAATATATATATATATATATATATATATATATATATATATATGTGTGTGTGTGTGTGTGTGTGTGTGTGTGTGTGTGTGTGTGTGTGTGTGTGTGTGTGTGTGCGTGTGTGTGTGTGTGTGTGCATGCATGTATGTATATATAGGACTATTTTAAGGGGTTTTCTGGAATCTGCATAATATTCCCGATCGAATGGTGTACAATATGCAACATGTTTTTCGACACATAACAGGTTACCCCTTACGACCTTTGAAGGTGAAATTGTTTGATGTCCCACAAAAAGCCTTTACGTAGTTGTCAGCGCACTTTGGGCATTCCTTTGTACAAGTTTCGTGAACATCGAAGGCGCTGTCGATTTCCGCTGAATATGGTTATCGAAGAGCTGCTAACTTCACACACATGAAGTAACAAGGGTTTAGAGCACCTGGGGTTTCGGCATTATGAGCTAGGAGTTCTCATGATGAAGATAGCCGACCTGCCAGGAGGCAGTGGTTAAACGATGCTATCAACCGGAGATTGGTAAAAGTGAGAAATATCGACGTTTGGAAACAGTGTTCGTGGTCAGAGTTCGTCACAAAAATAAATCAACATTGCTTCAGTGTTCCACTCTGATGATACGGCACAAAATGTGTCTTTTCCATTCGACGACACTTTTATGGCACAACCAGGTGGAAGGTAGAAGTGTACTTGAAGCTCATGGCCGCCCCAGTCATACCGCATGACAACGCGGCACACTCCATGAGCAGCACACTCCAAGCAGTTCATTCACAGCCCCGTGTCTTTTTCGCGAAAGCAAGCACTCGGAAAACCAAGTGAAGCCGGCCACCTGTGCTGCGCGTTCTCGGTTTAACAGCACGTCAGGTCCATACCAATATTTCGATCAGCCTCGAGACCCCACCGTGTGAAGCTGGGAGTGGGATTTGCCCCACATGTGTAAATCGGCTGAATGGTAGTGATGCGCACCGTAGAATGTCGTCTATCATGTTTCTCGTAACTTCCGCCCAGAAATATTTCATGTAGGATAAACAATACGAAGCGTTTGTGGCCCATTGTAGATGGGTGTTGGTGGTCACGCACACCACTACTGGATAATGCTGTAGCCCTATACGCGACAATAGAACATGTTGCGACAAATTCTGGGTTTAAAATGCCAATTTTAGCAACAGCAAAAAGCAGCGCGAATCTAAGGCTATCGGAATGATTGCGCATCCACAATATCCTTGTGAGGCTGAGCACACAAACGTACTCATGGAACTTGGTTGATCAAAGCTGTTTGTGGTATTTACGTGTAGAAATGTTCTCTAGTCGTGATAACACTAGTGCTCGCTGGTGAGTTTCGTTCTAACCTTATGAGAAAGCAATATGGTCGGTGTGATTCGTCGAGAACCTTTGTGCCCAGCCGACTGTGTCTTGGGCATTGTGATGTTAGGATGCACTGTGACGCTCGCACAATGTTCGTAACGTCTGACATGTGTGGTAAGTCATGTTTCAACTCCATGCTCGGCACCTTTTACAAGCCTGACATCTTGATACTGTGGCGCTATGCTTTTAGAGTTCGCATGATAGATAACTATTAGGCTCCCACGAAGTGCTCTACATACAAAATGAACATGGTGCCAATTGTGGTGTATTCAGGCAACTAGTGTACGAACAGTGAACGGAATTGCAATGTATATCCTTGGCCAGTTTTCCTTACTTAGCCCATATGCATTTGGGGGGGGGGGGAGGGCTCAAGTCAGTATTGGGGGCTGGTGAACACTGGAAAGCAGACATGTGGCTGGAGCAGAAGAAAAAGACCCCGCGATCCCATAAGCACGTGCCCTTTGGAATCCTGTATCCATCCTTGGGGTACAGGCAAATGCCTGCGCGGAAGTATAAAAAGCGACAGCCTTGGCTCAATTTTTCTGACCGTTTACCTTCCGCGCTTTCACCTGATCACGTAAATAGTCGTTGCTTGAAACCCATATCAAGTCATATTGTCCCTCTCCAATGATTTTAAAAACGTCCCTCCTTGGCAAGACGTTGTTAACGTATATATGGTGACGATCGAACTGACGCATTCACTTCACAATACCCTTTTACTCGGCTTTATTTTGGGGACAGACATTAGAGCCAGGATGCAGGTATGGCAGCTCGTCATATCATGGCCGAGTGCATGCAAAACATTGATAAATACTTCGAAATGAAGATGCTTCAGCGATTTTTCTCTTGCTCCTTGGCTTGACCCATCATAAAACAACCCAGGGTTTCGTGTTCGTTCATTTTATATTTGGCCAGCCGTCAAAGGCCTGGCCACGCATTTTAATAATTATTTGACATAACGCATCGCCATCGCCTATCCAAGCGACCGAGTTGGGATTTGTATTGATTTCAGGAAGTCAGATAAACCATTGGAAACTAAAGTTGCCGAGCCTTCTGTTAAATCAATGAAATCTACGATCATGGGTGGACCATAAGCTTTCCGGGGCTGCCCTCTCCCAGCCTTTCGGAGTTTTAACGTGGCGTCTATGGACGTTGTATACAAAAACCGGCTTGAAATACTTTTGTACCTATCTGTTTTCAAAACTCATGATTGATAGTTCCGCATTTTTCATGATATTTTCTATGAGCTGACGTATATGCGGAGGTCGAGCCCCGCCCCATTCAGTCCGTGAAAATTAGCGGGAGCCATGTCTTACCTCTTCTGATCGGTAACGCTCGTTGCGTTTGCAAAATGTACTGCAAGCTCCGGTCCATCACCTCTTCCCTTCGTCGGGTCTTAATGGGTCGTAGGTGCGACGTGGGAATCACCTGTAATGAAACCGCGTCCATATTACCTACATCAGTGGAAAACACATCCCTCCTCTCCATGAGCACATATACTCGCACTAATCTGACACGCTCGCAGAACGTCCGTGATTTCGGTTAGCAGCGTTCATGTCGGGCTGTCAGACCAGCCCCAGTCTCTCGGTGCCAAGTCGACGCGCGCCGTCCTTACCGGCGCGAGCGCGCGGGAGCCGGCGCCGTCCCTCAGCCCAAACGAGCGGCCGTCGCGCGAGGCGATACCGGCGGCGCGTGACCTGACCCGCGCCAGGCACGGCCGCCGCTGACGCACACCCCACTCATCAATCTGCCCCTCCGGAGCGTCCATGGCTGACGCTCTGGCGGCGGAACCGATCAACGCCGTCTGCCAGCGATGGGGGGGGGGGGGGGGGCGGCCCGCGCTCGAAGGCGCCGTCCACAAGCGTCGCCTGGCTCGGCGTGCGAGGCACGCTAGGGCGGAGTTGCGTGGCGGCGAATGGATTCCTCCACTTTCTAATTATTTTTGCGGGGAAAGAGGCGGTGGGGTTATACGCTGGAATCGGCGTCATCGCCGCGCCTGCAAGCTATGGCCGGCTGCGCCGTACCGCACGTAGTAAATGAAGGGACCAAAATAGCATCTATAGTTGCAGTTAAGCTTGGGGTTTCTGTGCTGCAGGTCCTGAAACGCATTTTTCCATATTTGTACCTCTGGCAGTGTAATGCATATGAATTAAGAACCAATCCACCAGTACCTCAGACCTTACTGTACCTTGAACTCTCGCGGGCAAATGATAACCTGGCGCCTGTCATGCTCCTTTTTGCTGGAGTCGGTGTTGTTCATTCCGAGTCCACCAAGATAATACTTGATCCCACCATATAAAATCCATCTCGTATCACGTGCAATGCGATCTTAGGGTCAGACGGCCCTCGTGCCTATTTTCACTATCGCACGACGTTCTCGAATTAGGTATATCCACTTACGACAATTTTAGCCTTCTCATGGATCTGGAAGAAGTGGCTGGGTGACAGCCTGCCGCCAGCCCCGGGTGGCGGATGAAGCTCAGCGTCGTCCAAGCGGGGACAACGGGTCTGGACCTGCTGGGACCAGGTCACACGCCGGGTCACTTCACAGCTCACAGCGCCGCGTCACACTGTGCAACGGCACCGAATTACACGCTGCGTCACGTGATGACATGGGGTCTTACACTGTGCCACGTCGTCAGTGCCAGGTTACGCGTATGCCACTTCATCACACCATGTCACTGCACCACACCAGGTCACGCGTGCGTCGCTGCACCACACCAGGTCACGCGCGTGCCATTGCACCACATCAGATCACGCGTATGTCACTGCACCACATGAGATCACGCGTGTGTCACTACATCACGCCAGGTCACGTGTGTGTCACTACATCACACCAGGTCACGGGTTGCGTGGCTTTGCAACATAATCTCAGCCGTTGCACGCTTGGCAGCACTGGGTCACCGCACGGCATCAAGTCTCAGTCGCTTCACTTCACGTGCACGTCTCCCTGACGGGTTGAGGTCATGCCATCAGTGGCGTCGCGCATGTATTCATTTCATGTGCGAGGCCGCGTGCTGTGGCAGACCTGACGACAACGGGACGCCCAGGACTTGCTGCCACCGACGGTGCTGGGCACGTGGGCATTGTGTACGTTATCGGCCGCTTTGGCGCATCCGAGTCTACTACGTCTCACCTGTTCGTCAGATCCCTCCATGCTCACGTCCTCTGATGCCGGGGGACTGGGAGATGGCGGCTCTGAAAATGGTATCTCTTGTTGCTGTCTGCTCATCTCTCATCGACGTGGTGTATCAAGTTAAGACGGACGTTGCTTCCGTTGCCGACATATTTTCAGGTGTGACGATTTGAGTGGAATTGGGTCTATCGTAATGCCTTTTTGGTGTCAAGCGAACGGAAGGCTGCAGCACGCCAGCATGATTGATCTGATGTCTTCATTTTTGCCCGAGAATGTTTACCTTGGATGCTACCGCAACGGGTCTTTGGATTGGATGACAAAGGAGGATTGGAGGCGTCTTACTGGAATCTCGGGTGTGAAACTTGACTTGTAAATGACATCTTGCATGGAAAAAGGCAAAAAAGTGTATTCTACGGGCACCATTGGAGCGGGCCGATTTTTTCTTTGAAAACTTGGGTTGATTTGTTCGCCAGCTACCAGCGGTTGCAACAATGCTGCATTCTCCTATTTCCCGTCATAATTTTGCGAAGTTTTGTCTTCATGATGTGCCCTGTGCGGATCGAACACGCGGTAGTCTTATTTTGAGCGCAGCTGTTTTTTTTTTTTGTCCATACACCTTCACGGCCTACGACAGGCTATAAAAGTGATGATATTTCGGTCCGGTGAAATTTGGTTGGGTCGAAAGTTGCTCTTTAAAGCCCAACTTTTCTTCTCGTTCTAGGAATAATGTAATTCGGCAACATGAGAGCAGTTCACTTCATCTGCTAGCATGTCAGTAAACCCTCATTGGTTCTTCGTGACATGCATTTAAATATTTGTTTCTGAATATGCATTCATCTCAGGAGTATCCAAACTCGCATCCTACGTCACAAGTAACAACTGACGAACCTGTCCGACCGCCGAGACCCGATAGCTGGAATCCAATGCACGAATGTGGCATTCCGGTTCTTTAGCGCTAAGCGTCATCACTGCTGGACTGAGCCTCTGCCGTCCGCCTGGGAGTACAAACCACTCCTTCACAGTCATCAGAGTCATGATATCTCGCGACGGATCAGCTGACACGTGTGACCCGGGCGTGTCCATTGTCGGGGACGTGCATTATTTGTGTGGCGGCGCGCGGCGAGCCGGAGCGGGGCAGGGGTCGGGCGGCCCGCTTACCGTCTCCGGCCGTGCGCACCAGCTGGGCCGGGTCAGGCTCCGTCCGCCGCCTCCGAAACAGCGCCAGGAAGCGGCCGGGTCCGCCGGCCGGCGGCGGCTCGCTCTCGCCAGACAGCATCTCCGCTCCGTCAGAGGCTGCAGACACTCCCCGCTCCTTCAGCGGCTGCATACACACAGACACTGCAGACAGCGAGCTCAGACCGCATCCCCGCCCACTCAGCGGCTGCAGACACTCCCCGCTCCCTCAGCGGCTGCAGACACACAGACACTGCAGATAGCGAGCTTAGACAGCATCCCCGCTCACTCAGCGACTGCAGACACTCCCCGCTCCCTCAGCGGCTGCAGACACACAGACACTGCACACAGAAAACTCAGACCGCATCCCCGCTCCCTCAGAGGCTGCAGACGCACAGACACTGCAGACAGCGAGCTCAGACCGCATCCCCGCTCACTCAGCGGCTGCAGACACTCCCCGCTCCCTCAGCGGCTGCAGACACACAGACACTGCAGATAGAGAGCTTAGACAGCATCCCCGCTCACTCAGCGACTGCAGACAGCGAGCCCGGACACTGCAGACAGCGAGCTCAGACGGCATCCCTGCTCTCGCAGCGGCTGCAGACACACAGGCACTGCAGAGAGGGAGCTCAGACACTGCAGACAGCGAACCCATGCAGCATCCCGTTCCTTAGCGCCTGTAGACACATAGACACTGCACACAGCCGAGTGGGAAGTCGTGCGCGCTTCTAGACCAGCTCCACAAATGCTCGCAATAGAGGACGCGTCGCTACTTCGACAGCTGCTGCAGGGACACACGCGGAAACACACATCCTGATGACTCAGCAGGCCTAGGCGGCGTCTCCAACCCTGCTGCAGCTGTGTCCTTTTGCGTCTGAGCGAAACACACAACCTATACACTGCAGGTACCAACCTCCCCCCCCCCCCCCGCCCAGCCACAGGCTGCGTAACTCTCGGATCTTGTTTACGACTGCATGCACGCATGTCCACGCCGTAAACCCTGTGAACGCTGATCGTCTACTAGTGATGGGACGACGGCGTTTTGACGCTGCAGAGCAGCTCGATGTGGGTAAAGATTGCCATCGTATACATGCCTGAACGCAACCATGGCCTCAGCCACGTCGGACGGACAATCCTACAGTCTGACCCACTGTCATGTTGTGTTTCGCAAAACAACAGAAATACGAAAACACGACATAAGGAATTTGCGAATCACGCACAAAACAAACATCTAAGAAGCCTGCCCTAGCGCACCAGGAGTTGGCGCCGTTCCTGCTGGCGGGCGTCTCCGCGCGGCGTGAGCGCCGCCGACTGACCTGACGGTGGCAGACGATCGCCTGAGCGGTGGCCGCACTCGGCCGCGTCGCGCCGGTGTGTCACCGCTCACCCGCGGCGCCCAGTGTCGACCCCGAGCGGCCGGTGTCCGGCCAATCGATGGCGTCCGTGCACGGCTACACGGCCGCGCCGGACCCTGCCGGTCGATGCGGCTCCGAGGTACCGGTGACTCACTCCCCCGGGCTGTGGTCATCACCGCGTGTATATGCTCAGGCCCCGGGGCACGGCCCGCGGCTCACTCCCCCGGGCTGTGGTCATCACCGCCTGTATGTGTTCAGGCTCCGGGGCACCGACGGTGACTCACTCCCCGGGGCTGTGGTCATCACCGCCTGTATATGCTCAGGCACCGGGGCATGGCCGGCGGCTCACTCCCCCGGGCTGTGGTCATCACCGCGTGTATATGTTCAGGCTCCGGGGCACGGCCCGCGGCTCACTCCCCCGGGCTGTGGTCATCACCGCGTGTATATGCTCAGGCCCCGGGGCACGGCCCGCGGCTCACTCCCCTGGGCTGTGGTCATCACCGCCTGTATGTGCTCAGGCTCCGGAGCACCGACTGTGACTCACTCCCCCGGGGCTGTAGTCATCACTGCCTGTATGTGCTCACGGCAGTTGTGGCCACGGAGGAGTCCGCCCAGGATGCACGGGCCTCGCGGGCACGGGACCGGGCCGGGAGCGTCGCTGGTTGCCGTGCTGCAAGTGGCGTGACGTGTTGCCCTTCGACTTCGATCACAGAGTACACATTGCGCAAACTGTGGCATCAACCGCCAGTTACGGTCCCCAAGGATTCCGGGGCCCACTGCCAAATGAACCAAAAGACCGGATAAATAGCGCATATTCTGTGAAAATCATCTGATGTCCTTGTCACAAGATGTCGGTTACAAGCTAGTGTGGACGGCCCCGGGCTCATGTTTTTCAGAGTCCCAAAATGCTATAAATGGTGCGGGAAAAAGGACAAGCCATCGTAGGCTATGGAGGAAGTCAGCTTTGATCACGAATATACGGAGCAGAGGCTTATTCAAGGGGGACCGAGGGCACGTGTCCCTCCCCTCCAGATATATTTATTTCGCATGCACGTCGATAACTGTCACACGCAGCCGGTAAGACCCGACGCTGGGATGGAAGGGCTCTTCAGCCCCCGACTAAGGACGATAATATGCCCCCTAGGGGTGTACCCACAGTACACCTTGTCCCGAAAGAGGCGAGGTGACTCGAAATGTTCAAAGTTCAGTAGTTCAAGTAGGTTAGAGTTTCAAGTTTAATAGCATGCATAGAAATGAGGTTAACAAGAAAAAACGTGCTAGCCTGAGGACGCCCATCCTTTTGCAGCATCGAGTAGTGAAATGAGTTACATAAAGTTTTGAGCCTATGCGCTCGTAGTCTCAGGAGCATGAACTCTGATGGCTGGGTTAGCATGACACGAACCATACCAGATCGCGGTGCTGTATATCTTATCTCGTTCTTGTAGTCAATCTGAAAATCGCACAGGCCACCTGAACGTACGAATGGACGTCCCAAAGCGTTCAAAGGTACCTCTTTCACATATGTTTTAATTTTCGTCCGCCAGTTGACCATCGAGCCGACGCCGTGCGCTCTGGAGACTGCAGAGCTGGGCGTTGAGGTTTCGGTTTCTTACCCTTGCGAGCGCGGATGTTGAGGCTATGTTCCATTATTCCATAATTTTTCAATTTTACTTTTCACCAGTTTCATTTTAATTTCTATTTACCTATGTCAACACTTACGTGGTGGCTGGCCAGATGGTTGGCATTAAGCAGATATCTCCATTCATATTGTGCGACAAAAAATCGGCAGCGCAAGAGAAAAACAACACAGGTGCCCTCCCCCCCCCCCCCCCCAGATCCCCCGGCGGCGGCACCGAGCGGGAACTGGGCCAGAGGAAGACAAGCAGAACCCGCCCGCGGCAAGGCCGGGTGGGAGCGGGCGGGCCTCGCACCGCCGCCGGCGATGCAGCGCCGAAGTTCCGGCTCCAGGCACGTCGGTGGCCGAGCCCTGGAAGTAGGACAGGTCGCCCCGGTAACGGACTGGACGAAAGGAAAATTCCGGCCAAGCTATTGATCACCCAGCAATCAGGCAGAAAACGATGGCGGGCCGATTCAGTTAGAAAGAATCACGGAAAATACAGCATCATGCAAAGGGCCGAAAGGGAAGAGTCTGAGAGGAAGTCTCTGGGGAGAGTCCCCGGGGAGTCTCTGGCGGGATGTCTCCGAGGCCAAAGGGAGAGAGTGCCGTGCGTCAAGAGCCGACAGCTGAGCATCGAGGACGGCCCCGACGCTGATTACCCAGCGGCGACCTCTGGCTGCGCGGGCGACAGGACGTCGGAGGCATCACACACGATGTGAGTCCACAGGCTGTCGTCCCCCATCTTAACCGGACCATGGCCGCGGTGCGCTCCGAAGATGTCCCTTGACCCCCTCCCCATCAGGCGAACGCAGTGCACAGCAGCCTCTTCCCTCACGTATAATTTTGGAAGAAGAAGGGGGGGGGGGGCGATCACGGACCAAAGTGCGACCAGAAGGCTTGTATGTGACTAGGTGTGAATGTCTGAAAATACATGTGATGGGCTGCAGTTTGAGCGTTAAGCGTTTGAGTTGAAGCAAGGCTGGGGGTGTGGCCCTCACCGGTCACGCATCGTTGCCGAGCGCGGCGTACGGGCCGCGTCCACGTATCCGTAACAGTTTTTTGCTTTGTTTTTGTTGGAACATTTACCTATCTGTCAGGTTGTCGGCTTATCTGTTGCTCATTTCCTTAATTTTCCACGATAAGTAAGAACGATAGAGCTCTCAGCTAAAGCCCGTCCAGCGCATCTGAGTGGTTGTTCTTACAATTGTGTGTCTTTCCTTTATATTTGTTGCTTGATCCAGCTCGCAAAGCTTCGGCCAGACTGACACATCTCTTTGTTGATTCACATCCGGCTGCCGCTTTAACGGGTGACGAGTCACGTAGTTACGGTAATGGCGGCGAAGAGTGATAAGCGCGGAACGCGCCGAGTAATACGGCTCGGCTTTGGCCAGGATTGAGAAGCCGGCTCGGCTTTGGTCAGGATTGAGAAGTAGCCAGTCGACAGCAGTCCTGCTCGTACGCAGACGTTTCGTGGGTAGCGCGGCTCGAGGCAGAGTTTCGTTGTTTTTTTTTGTCTTAGGAGACGGCCATCTCGTTTCGTTGTCCCTCAGTTGACCTCAGGTGTGACAGTATGACGAGACGAAAGTCATGGTATGAACAGGGACCAGTTTGGACCGCCTGGGATGCGGGGTTGTGTACGGCGGTATCTGGATCTATCTGTTGATGTACAAAGTCTTGAGAGACCAGGACACACCCCGTTCTCTTCTGACGTGGTGAACACCAGGCCCGATGTGTCCTTGGTGCGATGTTTAGCACGGATAAGGAATAACGCCACCGATGGTTGTAGATAAGGCGACAAGGGACCCGGCCGTCGGACAGATCGGTCAGGCCGAGGCTCCCGAGTGCGTGGAGGCCGTAAGGCGTAAACGCAGGTCACGCAGGGCGCCCGTTGTCTACCGAGGGGCTCCACCGCCTCATCAGGTGTACTATTTACTTCCAGGCCTCTGAGGGACGCGCCGTGGGGCGGTACCTTGTAAAGCTCGCTCCGGCAGGCGGTAGGCGAGAGCGCAGAAGCGCCGGGGGGGGGGACGTCTGCGCTGGGCGGGGCGCTGCCTAAGGCGTGTGCGCGGCAGTGGAAAGGTGCGAGCAGTGGGCGTGGCCGAAGGAGGGAACAAGTCGTCTGGCTTCGGTATACGATGTGCCGGCCCAATCGCCGTGTCGAGGCCAAGCTGTGTTAATTGGTTGTTTGATAGGCGTAAATAAAGTTTTTTTAACTTATCGAGAATTCGCGCATACGGACGAATTATAATGCCAGCACACTGGACAAAGGGGGGCAAGGGGGGAGGTTCTATCCGTGTGCTAGCCAAGAAAAAGTCGGATGACGTGGGCGCCAGCGAATGTGTATGCTGGCAATGAATGCAGTGGGGCGCCGAATGCTTGAAGCCTGTGTGGATTCATTAAAGGCAAGGGGGTTGCCCTGCTCGATATCCAGCGGGCCCTTGCCAGCGTAATTCACAGGTTGCGTGGGATCACTGCCACTTAAGACGTGCCATGAAATTCAGGACCTTCAAATTCTGCAATGCATCTGGTTCTGTTTTTGTCCGTTGAAATAAGATCACAAGCCATACGGTGGAGGTGGGATCTCGTGGTTAAGGGCGGACAACCCCATGTACGGCGAGCCAGGCATTCATGGTGCCTGACCGGACCTACCATACCGCCAATTTCACCGATCATCCGTTGCATCGTAGCTCTGGAGCTCACACGTGTATGATGATGTCGGCTGCACCGGAATCATGACGTGCCGAGTCGTGCGTGTAACATTGCTTTGCTCGTATGCTGACCAAAGGACTCCTCAGCATACACTCGCCCTTGTGAGGAGGCGTGGCAACGGCAGTCGTCGGCGCAGAACACCAGCGACCGGCGGCAGCAGAGCACCCTCAGTATACCCTCGCTCTTGTGAGGAGGCGTGACAACGGCAGTCGGCGGCGCAGAACACCAGCGACCAGCGGCAGCAGAGCAGCGCACGCACCCTACCACAGGCCCTCCCTCCCCCCCCCCCCCCCCACTCTCACATGTGCAGTGCATATAATATCATCTTTGAAATTTGAATTAATGGCCCAACGGAATGGTATGTTGCGATTAAAGGAGCGTAACCCGGTATTTCGTGAGGAGGAGCACAACCAGGATATTAATTAATGGGGCCTGGGCCGCCGACTCCCTTGAGGGACTGCAGGTGTGGTTCAAGAGAAGGATGCCTTAAACCTCAGTCAAGCAGGAGTGGCACCTTCTTTATCAAGCGAGAGTGACGTCTTAGAGGGGGGATGGGCCTCTAGTGCTTGGCTACGCAGTGCATCTTGCCGCGGGTCGGTTGCAGTTTTGCACCCAAGAGATCTGCAGAGGGCCCATTCAGCCTTTTGGGGGCTCATTATGAAATCTTCGAGGGCCCAGCTCGGAATTTGGAGTTCATCCCGCTCAGCTTGCGCAGTTCACGCGTTGCCCGGTGCCGTACGCGCGTTGCCCGGTGCCACATACGCGTTGCCCGGTGCCGTACGCGCGTTGCCCGGTGCCACACACACGCTGCCCGGTGCCACACGCGAGTTGCCCGGTGCCGTTCACGCGTTCCCCGTTGCCGTTCACGCGTTGCCCGGTGCCGTACACGCGTTGCCCAGTGCCGTCTCGGGGCAGGACATAAACCACACTTCCCAGACCTAACGTGGGCCATTGCTGAGTTTAACCAGACGTGGGTCCTACCTGAAGCTGAGGGCTGCCTTTCGCGCACATGAGATGCTTACTTTATCAACCTACGATGGCTAGCCTCTGATTAATAATGACCCTTTTGAGTCTACTGTGGCTCTTTCCAGACCTGGGAGGACGTTCTGAACCCATGATTGCTCTCCTCCTAAACGAAAACGGGCGCTTTCTAAACCTACGATGGGCTTTTCCTGGTCGGAGATGGACATTGCCAGCCCTAAACTTACACGGGCGTTTCTTATCTGACAAATGGCATCCTTTCAGACCTGAGACGGGTCCATATATGCTTGAGACAGGGTGCAGACCAGAGGAGGGGGGGGGGGGGGGGGGAGGGGAGCACCAAGGCGAACTTGTCTCTTCTTTAGTGCAGATGGGCCCTCAGGGCTCCTGGGAACCGGACTAGGGAAACCGAAGGTCCCAAGAACTAAAATGTCGATGATGAATAGCCGACCGAAAGCATCCTTTCTTTCGGGAAAATAAATGCTTGAACAACGAGCACAAATCAGCATTAGCACCTACCAGCTGTAGTCGGGTAATATTAGCAATTCAGCGGATGTAGCGTGGTTTCTCGTTCTGCCCCGATTTCCAATTATGCCTCTTTTCTGCCCCTTGGACTTCTGTTTTGAAACCAACCGGCCCTGATCCTAATCAATACCGGCAATTGATCCGGTTGGTTTATTAACAGTCGCTTTACTGAGCCCGCGACTCCGGCGCATGTATATTTCAAATGTGATTTTGAGAGGAATCAGTTCTACCTTGATGCGACCGACAGTTAGTTGATTTCACGGCTTGCTTAATCTATTTCCGAATTCCAGCACACTTCTGCTGTCGACGCACGCGCTCGGGTCCCTGTCCGTTTCGGGAGACGCAGAGGGAGTTTAAATTGGTTCGGTTTGGGTACGTTAGAGTTCGTTCGGCCATTGTAGTCAAATTCGAGCTGCCAAAATCAGTGGACTGGTGAAGGTTGGGTAAGATTACGACCAAAGTTGGTTTCATCGGCCATCAAGAGCACAGCAAGGGTTAACGCTGTCCCATGCAGAGAACGCCGACAGAGCTGTGGCGGTGTGTTCCTGCGGGGCTCCCCACCAGGGCGACCGTAAGGCTGACTCTGGATGATGCTCGCAGCAACCTCCTTACGACTACATTTTTTGCGAGGATATAGGATGAAGTAGTGAATGGACATGAGAGGGTCGATCGCCGTTGTTAGCATGACTGCACTATCTCGTCTCCCATGTCACGTGGCGACGGCGTCGGGCTGGGCTTGGGCGCCTGCGGCGGTCACATGGCTGACCGGGCGACTCCAGCTACCACGGGGCGCAACCAGACGTGACTCGGGAAGGCCGGATGGCTGGCAGTTAAGGTAAACAGGGCCCCAGACAGCTACTGACCCTTTCCCCTCGCCCTTCCCGTCACTTCGATCCAGAATCGACACCTCTGCCGGACTCCTCCCTCCACCATTGAGGTTTATTCCAGATTTTCTCCGCTTAAAAAGTGAACAACCCCTAATTATCCATCAGCCAATATTTGGTCTTCAGTGGCGTGACCAGGCAAACTTTTTGCGCATGGATGCAAAGCAGGCCGTCCAGCTCCTGTATAACTCCGATGACGGGAATTTAACACAGCCGTTTCTGTTCCAGATAGTCTGGAGCATTCCAATCTACCAATACAAATGTGGCGCACAATGGGCGTTGACGAAGAGCGCGTGCTCAGACGGGCGCGGTTTGGGTTCTCTGTTCCGGCGGTGTGTGTGTGTGCGGGCCGGGTTCCCGCATTGTGCGTTCGGGTGGTTGATTGTGACTGTGCAGGGTCGATTAGGTTTAAGAGGACTCATAGGCGTGTAATTTTCAATCTTCATCATGTCAGGTTCGCTGGCATTTGATGAGTATGGGCGACCATTTATCATTGTCAAGGACCAAGAGAATCAGAAGCGACTTACCGGCACTGATGCGATCAAGGTAGGCCGTTTTGTGGTCTGGGTGCACATCCCAGTCTTTGTGGTGTTCAGCTTTGGGTGTCGCAGCAAGGCAGGGCAGTTCAAAGAGATATTGGTGATACAGTATATGAAAGCAGCACATAATATTATGTCCTCACATTTTTGGCTTGTGTGTTCAACATCAAACTGCTACCTGCTTCTCAAATCTGCTGGTAGGGACATGCAGCATTTAGTATGTGCTATTTAGCACCTTTGTCATTCAGCAAGTGAACAGTTAGATTCAAAGTTATCCAATTTTGAACATCAGTAAAATGATGTTATGTCATATAGTAAAAAATCATGTCAGGTGGCTTCTCATCACATTGAACAAAACAAGTGCTTCAGAGAAGGTGAATGTGTTGTACATGAGTCATGTTTGCTGTAATTGCATGACATGGAACAGCAAGAAGCCTTGTTTTGGGCATGATTGAGGTTTTTTCTAAACCTGTTACCAAGTTTGTTGTAAAGGCTTGCAGGTTGGATAATTATGCATGACACAGAGCTATGGAAAAAACAAGTTGGATGGTAGGGGTGGTGTATACCATGTGATTGTATGCTTCAGCCTTGTGTAAAGAAATCTAGTGTGGTGTATTCAATGCTAGTGCTGCTCCAGTGTAGGTATACATTGGTACCTAATGTCTAAAAAGAACTTTGTACATCATTCATCACATTTGAGGTGTAGGTATACATTGCTACCTAACATTAGAAAAAAATCATTGTACACCGTTTCTCATGTTTTAAGGGAACATATCATAAATAATCTTGAAACAGGTAGATTCATGCTTCTACCTTCAAGTTTTAATTTGTATGATAGCGAGCTCGTGGGTGCCGCACACGCCCCACTGCCTTGACTCCCCAGTGCTGTGTCTGTGCTGCTGTTGAGTTATTACAATATTTTTGCTTATCAAGAACCATAAAAAATGTACAGGACCAAGGTAACAATATTGATGCAATGAAAAATGTTTCTTATTGTGTTTCAGTACATTTATGAAACTAACAAGGCAGAATAGTCCAGAACATAGCCTAAACTAAACTAGCCTTAGCTAACCTAACCTAACCTAATGTAACCTAACCTAACCTAACCTAGCCTAGCCTAGCCTAGCCTAGCCCAGCCCAACAACCTAACCTACCCTACCCTAACCTAACCCCCACCCTATCCCCTTCAACCCAGTGTCCCATTGGCATCCATGTTCCATGCCATACATATGTACCATATTAAGAAGTTTTGTGTAGGTGCCATACTCTCATTTTGCTTTTCTTTCCCACGCAAAAGCGTCATATTAATATGGAAGACTGCTTGGATATGCAAGAAACACATTTTATTGAATTCTTGTTACCTTGGCCTCATACATTTTTATGGTTCTTGATGCGCAGTAATGTTGTGATCACATTTATGTTACGGTCATGCGTAGAAATGGCGCTGGGGTCGTGGTTGTTGCGTGTTCACGCTAGGATGTTCCCTATTGTAGTTATTTAAGTTTCAAGGTAGGAGCTTAGATGACCTGTTTTTCTATTAATTGCAATATGTTCTGCCTTAAAAATGACAATTGATGTACAATGCCCTTTCTCAACATGAGGTAACAATGTATACCCTGATCATGTTTAAGGCAGAACCTATTGTAGATAACCATAAAACAGGTAGATTCATGCTCCTACCTTCAAATTTAAATAATTACAATAGCAAGCTTCCAACTGCTGCACACATGATAAACATGACCCCCCACCGCCATTGATACATTAGGGGCATGTGGTCACATTTCTGCTATCAAGAACCATAAAAATGTAGGGGGCCAAGGTAACAATAATAATGCAATAAAATTGTGTCTTATCATGTGTAGGTAAGTTGATGAAATAGACAGGCCATAATAGACCAGAGCCTAGCCTTAACTAGCCTAACCTAACCTAACCTAACCTAACCTAACCTAACCTAACCTCCCCACCCTAGGCCTTTCAACCCAGTGTCCCATTGGCATCCATGTTCCATGCTACATATGTGTACTGTATTAAGAAGTTTTGTTTAGTTGCCATGTTTTCATTTTGCTTTTATTCCCCACCCAAAGATACCTTATTTGCCCCCATGTCAACCAATCTACAGACAGTATGGAAGGCCACTTGGATATGCAAGAAACATATTTCATTGCATTCTTGTTACCTTGACCCTAAACATTTCTATGATTCTTGATGCACAGTAATGTTGTGACCACGCATAGCAATGACACTGGGGCGCAGTTGCTATGTTTGCAGAGCTCAGATGTTAGCTATCATAGTTATTTAAGTTCCCAGGCAAGAGTTAAGATGATCTGTTTTACATTTATTTACAATATATTCTACCTTAAAATGACAATTGATGCATAATGCTCTTTTATAACATTACATACCAATGTATGCCATGACTGCTAGTTATTTAATGCCAAATTTGTGTTAAGCAAAATGTCTGGTTGTGTTACTACTCAGCTCTGCCATCAGTATTTTACCAACCTTTCCCCCCTGGGGCTGCCTGCCACCTGGCTCATTATGTCAGGGTCATTTTAAATGTGTGTAAATCCTCAATTATCCCAAATAATTAGGGATCCCTGACATTTGTAGTGGTGGCCATGTAACTTTATCACTGGGGCTGGATGAAGTACTGGGTGCAATGATAACACATAAAAACAGGTTAAGACACATAATGATCATAATTATGTGGTATGCCATGTGGACACCTCAAACAGTATCAGGTCTCTCAAACTTCTGGCACCACATTCCTGTGTGAAGGCATCTTTGCTAATAACATCAGTCTGCTTGCTTAAAGCAGTGTTCATCCAGCATACTAGTAATCATAAAACTTTGTTCAGTAGTGATAAATCAATGTGGAAAGGAAGTATATGCTCCTGTGTAATGACAAAAATTGTTTGATGCCTTCGGTTTTTTGGTAAAACTTTGGGATTATGGTCTACTCCTTGTTTCAGAATTCAGAAATGCCAATTTAACTTTTGTCTCTCTCAGCAAGGACTCTTTCATAACAGCTGTTATAAGGCACTGTTCCATTTTCTCTGATTTGTCACATCTAATAAGCAATCTGCCACCCAGCATCATTGCTGCTCTGGCAGGTGCCCTGGTTATCTTTCAGATCTGGCATTGTATCTTGGTGTGTGGAATTGACATACAAGACCTGCCTGCTTTATAAGTAACATGATAAACTGTGCAGAACTTATGTTCAGCCTGGGTAAATTTGATCATGTACCAGCTATTTTATGTGGGGAAGATTAGGTTAGCTTTGCATAGCTGACCAGGTCATGTACTTACCATATCCTGTGTCTGATGCACCCAGGATGTACTGCCTGGGTGAGCCCTGGACTGGCTATAGGGCTATTGTGTATATTCTAACCATATCTGATGCACAAGATAGGAAAGTGTGGCTTGGTCATGTAGGGAAATCAGGTATTTTTGGGGGGAGTGGGCACTATATGTCACTGGCACTTGATCTGTTGCAACTTTCCAGCTCCCCATTCAGGCACTGTATATTGCTGGCAACTGATCTGTCACAACTTTCCAGCTCCCTTTACAGCCACTGTCTGAGGCACCATTGGAGCAGGGACCTTGCCTGAGGCAGTGAGCATGGTTGCACAGTCTCACAGTATCTTGAGCCTTCTGGTCGTTGCTGCCCACATGGCTGTGCTTACATGTTTTTGTGACAGGCATCAACCTTCATGTCTTTAACGCGGCGGTCTGACGGCCACAAGCTCGTCGCGGACGATTGTAACACGCGTAGCCGCTGAGTGAGCCACTTCACAGGCGCCAGCGCTGTGTGTCCGACTGAGCCGGCCGTCTTCGATTGCAGTCACACATCCTGGCCGCCCTGAGTCTGAGCCACGTCACAGGCGCCAGCGCTGTGTGTCCGACTGAGCCGGCCGCCTTCGATTGCAGTCACACATCCTGGCCGCCCTGAGTCTGAGCCACGTCACAGGCGCCAGCGCTGTGTGTCCAACTGAGCCGGCCGCCTTCGATTGCAGTCACACATTCTGGCCGCCCGCACCATCGCAAATACGCTGCGGACCTCGCTCGGTCCCAAGGGCCTGGACAAGCTGATGGTGTCGCCTGACAGCGACGTCACCATCACCAACGACGGCGCCACCATCCTGAAGATGATGGACGTGGACCATGAGATCGCCAAGCTGATGGTGCAGTTGAGCCAGAGCCAGGACGACGAGATCGGGGACGGCACCACCGGCGTGGTCGGTGAGTGCTCGGGCGGGACCGCTGGCGGCTGCCGGCGTGGGCGAGAAGGGTAGAGGCGCGGTCGCAGCGCGAGGCGAGTCAGCACGCGGCGGATATTTCGGCAATTGCTATCCAATGATGACGTGTGAACGACGCTGCTACAATAGCCTTGTGTGTCGATATGTGGTCTTCATCTTGGGCTCGGCTAGAAAAGCATTACAGTTTTGGTTTGGCAAAGTGATGCCATTCTTACTATGGTGGAGGAAACTATTGCTTGGTTGTGAGGTCATTCGATGTAAACTTATTTGTTGCACGTGAATAGTCCAATACAGCGTGTAGGCTGTCACTGATCAAAGCTTTAGTTTCGGTGTGCGTAAATGACTACGATTTTGCGAACAATTAGAAAAATTATGGGGAAGTTGACGCCTTCTGCGTATCTTGGCGAACATAAACAGGCATCAATGTAGAGGTTTTTGCTATTCTCAAATATGATAGGTGACGTTTCCGGTCACCTCTTCAATTCGACATTGCTATTTATATTTTTTCTCTCGAACAAATCGACTCAAGGCTATCTGACGTGTGCGTCGAGTAAGCCCGCTGCCGCCGCCCCATTGGAGCACGTCCGGTTGTTTGCGCGCAGTGCTGGCGGGCGCGCTGCTGGAGCAGGCCGAGGTGCTGCTGGACAAGGGCATCCACCCGATCCGCGTGGCCGACGGCTTCGAGATGGCGGCCCAGTTCGCCAGCCGGCACCTGGACACGATTGCCGACAGCTTCCCGGTCGACGTGGCCAACACCGAGCCTCTCGTCAAGGTCGCTATGACTACGCTCGGCTCCAAGATGTGAGTGTGACAGGGCGGGCGGGCCACCGGTGAGGCTGTCAGCTGGCGTCAGGCCGGGCGGCGCGTCGGAACGCGGCGCGGCTCTGTCGGCCCCTCGAAGTGGCAGCGTGTGCTCGCGCTCACAGCGGGTGCACTACTTGGAGATGGGATTTGGTCGTTGGTCTACACTTCAGAGTTTCGTTCGAATGGTTGGTCGCGTGTAAACCCGGGACTGGCCATCACTGGTCCACTTTCCGTGCCATGGAAGTGCTTGGGTCGGCTTGCCCGTGCACCGAGTGGACATCGCTGCTGATTGGTCGCCGGCCTGATTGTGTGTCCCGTTCTGATTGGTGGCCGTCCTTCTTGTTCCAGCGTGAACCGGTGTCACCGCCAGATGGCGCAGATCGCCGTGGACGCCGTCCTCAGCGTGGCCGACCTCAAGGCCAAGGACGTCAACTTCGAGCTCATCAAGGTGGAGGGCAAGGAGGGCGGCAAGTTGGAGGATACCATGCTGGTCAAGGGCGTGGTCGTCGACAAGGACTTCTCCCATCCTCAGATGCCCAAGGTGTGCATCTCTAGATGCCATTATTTTGCTTCACTGAAGGTTTGGGCTGGCTGCTGAGGAGATAGGTTTCCTCGGCTTGTGTTCTGGTTGGCTCAGGGGCAGCTGAGTTTTGCTTCTTGGAGGATATGTTATGCTTTGGGTTTTGCTTGGCTTAGAATTCTCCTCCTGTATCCTGTCGAAAAAGTAAAACCCCTAATAATAATTAACTGGGTATGTTTTTATCAAAGGGTGTAATTCTTGGAAAAGACAGTAGTATTAGCTTTATTCCTCGGTAAACCAGCAGACTAGAGATATGGTGGGATTGATATTTCGGCAACATGCCTTTCTCGAAACAATAGCAGAAACACTTGTGCTATTGTTCCGAGAAAGGCATGTTGCCGAAATATCAATCGAACTATACCTCTAATCTCCTGGTTTTTCTGAGGAATAAGGCTAATACTACTGTCATCTATGGGACTAATGTTCCTCGCTAATGCACTGAACAACTTACGTAATTCTTGGATAGTTAAGGTCAGTCCACTGCACTCTAACATGAGACGGGATTACGGCTTTGACGTCATTAAGCTGTTAATGATGCGTTGCAATGTCGCATGCCTCCAATCCTGAGGGATCACTCTTGTTTGCTGTCCTGCAGGAGCTTAGGAATGTGAAACTGGCCATCCTCACCTGCCCATTCGAGCCGCCCAAGCCCAAGACGAAGCATAAGCTCGACGTCTCCTCGGTCGATGACTACAAACAGCTCAGGAAGTACGAACAAGAGAAGTTCGACGAAATGGTCAAGCAGGTAACTCCAGCTTAGCGTGTAGGTGCTATACTGCCAGTCGGTATATCAATGTTATTCATCAACACTTTCGCTAAATGACAGCTCTGTTCATACATGGCCACAGTCTCGTCCTCTATTTTCACACAGCCTTCGTGTGACGCGGCCTAGCCATACGCTCGCGGCGACTCGAGTTCCGTCGCGCCGGCCCCCGTCTCGACCGACACGTCCCCTGACCCTGCGGGCCCCAGGTGAAGGACGCCGGCGCGACGCTCGCCATCTGCCAGTGGGGCTTCGACGACGAGGCGAACCACCTGCTGCTGCAGCGCCAGCTGCCGGCCGTGCGCTGGGTGGGCGGGCCCGAGATCGAGCTGATCGCCATCGCCACGGGCGGCCGCATCGTGCCGCGCTTCCAGGAGCTGTCGGCCGACAAGCTCGGCTCGGCCGGCCTCGTGCGCGAGCTCAGCTTCGGCACCACGCGCGACCACATGCTGGTCATCGAGGAGTGCTCCAACAGCAAGGCCGTCACTATCTTCATCCGCGGCGGCAACAAGATGGTGATCGAGGAGGCCAAGCGCTCCATCCACGACGCGCTGTGCGTGGTGCGCAACCTGGTGCGAGACGACCGTATCGTGTACGGCGGCGGCGCGGCAGAGATCTCGTGCGCGCTGGCCGTGTCGCACCAGGCCGACCAGGTGAGCCGCACACATTCTGCTGGCGGGGGCGCAGACGAAAGGTCGGGGCGAGATGAAATGAATGACTTTGTGCGCGCTTACTGCATAACTGCGTACTCTGGCTTTGTGCTATTGCCTGCTATCTTGTTACCTAGAATCATCACTAACTCGCTTTTACCTTACCATTACGACCCGCATTATTTCGAGCCGTTTTGTTTCGAACGTTTTTCCTCTGCTGTTTTAGGCCGATGTGAGTGTGGTTTACGCTGGTTTAAACTGGCTGACTGCAGTAATGAGCCCATTGGGGGACCGGGCCTGCATTTAGTTTTGGTTTGTCTTTGTGCGGGATGATGCAATGGCATTTTGTCGCAGCGGTGTCCTGGTTTCCGTGAAGAACGTTCGGCAGGTGTCCCACCGCCCCCCCCCCCCCTTCCCCTCCCCCCACCCCCGCCGACCTTGAGGGCTGGAGTCGCCGTGGCGGGATACTGGCGGAGCGGGCTGGGGTCGCCGTGGCGGGACACTAACCTCGTGGGCTGGGGTCACCGGAGCGGGACACTAGCCCCGTGGGCTGGGGTCGCCGGAGCGGGACACTAGCCTCGTGGGCTGGAATCGCCCGAGCGCGGTACTTGCCTCGTGGGCTGGGGTCGCCATGGCGGGACACTGGCCTCGTGGGCTGGGGTCGCCAGAGCGGGGCACTGGCCTCGTGGGCTGGGGTTGTCAGCGGAGCACTGGCCTCGTGGGCTGGGGTCGCCATGGCGGGACACTAGCCTCGTGGGCTAGGGTCGCCAGAGCGGGGCACTGGCCTCGTGGGCTGGGGTCGCCAGAGTGGGACATCAGCGACTGCGGCATAGTGTTGTCTCAAGGCGGGCTAACGTCACGCCCTGACGCGATCATGTGACGCATATCCGCTGCCTGCCAGTCCTCCCCTTCCCTTCCCTCACACCCGGCTTCCCTGCGACCGTTTCCAGCCATCACGTGACTCCTCCCAGCTGGCGACCTTCTCCGGGCGCGTGTCGTTATCACCGTCTCTGGCGCCCGTGCACAGATCTCATCGCTGGAGCAGTACGCGTTCCGAGGGTTCGCCGACGCTCTGGAGGCGATCCCGATGGCGCTGTCCGAGAACTCGGGCCTGTCGCCCATCCACACGCTCACCGAGGTCAAGACGCGCCAGCTCAAGGAGAAAAACCCAGCGCTGGGCATCGACTGTCTCGACAAGGGCACCTGCGGTGAGCCCCGCGGGTGGGAGGGGCGGGACGCAGCGGCCGCCAGTCCGGAGTTCTGTGTCGGGTGTCGCTTGTGCGGGTGGCCGTGTTGTGCCTAGTAGTGCAGGCCGACTGGCGCGTAACCGGTGATACAGTGGCCAGCGGTCCAGGCGTCTCTCTCTCTCTCTCTCTCTCTCTCTCTCTCTCTCGTCTCTCTCTCTCTCTCCTCTCTCTCTCGTCTCTCTCTCTCTCTCTCTCTCCGCTCTCGCTCTCGCTCTCGCTCTCTCGCGTCTCTCTCTCTCTCTCTCTCTGCTCTCTTCTCTCTCTCTCTCTCTCTCTCTTCTATCTTCTCACTCACTCACTTCACTCACTCCACTCACTCACTCACTCACGACACCACTCAATCACTGCATCACGCACTCACTCATCACTCACTCAATCCACTCACTCACCACTCACGCACTCCACTCACTCACCGATCGCACTCGACTCACTCACTCCTCACTCACTCACCACTCACTCACTCATCACTCACTCACCACTCACTCCACTCACTCACTCACTCACTCACTCAATTCACTCATTCACTCACTCACTCACTCACTCACTCACTCACTCACTCACTCACTCACCCCCTCTCTGTCACGTTGTAAGGTGTTGCCTTGGGTGTTTCGCGGACAAATTCACGATTGGTCCGTGGCCATTCCGTCCTAGATGTCGCCACAGCTCTCCGTGCCACCAATCATCCGACGCACCGATTGCGGATTGCGCTCTTGACATCGTATGACTGACACCCTCTTTCCAGATATGAAGGAGCAGAGCGTAATCGAGACGCTGCACAGCAAGAAGCAGCAGATCATGCTGGCCACGCAGCTGGTCAAGATGATACTCAAGATCGACGATGTACGCACGCCGGCCGAGACCATGTGAAGGGCTGGGGTCGTGCGGCTCGCGGGCTCCCTTGACTGCCGGCCCACCGCTCCGGGCCACCTCCGCCCAGATGCTGTGTGATGTTTCCACGCGTTCCATTAACACTTCGGTGAATAACAATCGAAGGTAGCTGAATAAATTTATTCACAGTCGCAGCGCGTTAAGCTTCAGTCGTCCTGCGGCGACACATGCGGGTACGGGTTGAGGGCTCGGAGAATCGTTCGTCAGCGTGCGGATCGGCAGGCGACGGGGCCGCGCGGAGTAAGCACATGTAGCGCCGACCTGACCTTGGCAAGGCGTCACTGCTGTCGCCCGGGGGCGCGGCGGCGGCACTCAGTTTCGCGACAAGTGGCGCCACTTCTCGGTCACCTCCGTCTTGCGGCGCGGCTCCTTGTACGTCATGACCGTGATGCTCGAGTCGGACGCGACGTCGTCGACCCCGGCGACGGCGGCGGCGACGGCGGCCGCCGCCGCACGACTCCGCGCCTCCGTCAGCACGGCCCGGCGCGGCCCCTGCCGCTCCTGACACACGCGCACGCGCGGCCGCCTCAGCGTTTTGGAGGTGACGCACTCGGCGGTGCGTGGCCAGCCGTTGGGCGGGCAGCGGTGCCACGCAGGACACGTGGCGCGTCTGCGTGCCGGCGCCGCGCGAGGGCGGGCAGGCGCGCGAGCGTGCGCGCCGCCGGCAGGCGCGGCCCGAGCCGCCGACGGCGCGGCGCGACTCGCTCTGCGAGCGCCGCACGCGCGCCGGCGGCAGCGTCGAGTCGCTGCTCTCCACGCGTCGTCGGCACACGGTGGTGGTCTTCATGCCCAGGCATTCGGAGGCAGGGCTGTCATTCTGGCTGTCGTCCCGCGCCTGGGGAGGTCCGGCAGACCATCAGGCGGCTGGTCAACCGGCGTCGGCGCCCGGTCGCGCGGGCCTCCGGGTCGGACAAGGGGTCATCCACATCGAGCGAAATGGGAGGTTCGAGCGGGCCAGAAGGGTCGCTGGACTGTGCCGTCGAATATTTCCATCCGGAAAGCTGTGATAGTCGTGCCGAACAACACTTGACAGACCTCGACGGAAGGGCTAACCATCGGTGCACACTTCACCAGTGAGTGAATACAGAACAAAATGCTCTGGTCTCAGGTGGCATTGCCTCCCACTGTAATGATTGCACGCAAAATTGATACCCAGGTTCGTGGTAGATGAAAGAATAATGGCCAAAGGTCTCGCACATCGTAAGGTGGCGCTATGAGCAGGTCACGGGCAACATTTCCCGTTATCACTACCTCGTGAGGTGATTTTCGGGCCCAATTGATGATGCACGGGCCATGTACCAGTACCAAAAGTACTGTCATGGTGTTTTTGGTTTTGTTACATGTAGCCTTCTCGCACTACGGTTCCGTGGATAACTGCGACCGTGGTGAACATGGCTGAGCACGGTGTTCATGGTGAACTTGCCTTGCCCAAGTTCATGCCGTGGAGGATGGCCTGCCGGTACTTGGCCTCCGCCTGGTGCTTCTGCTCGAGCAGCATCTGCTCTCTCCTCCTGGCCTGCTCCAGCTCGCACTCCAGCTGGTGGGCGTTACACGCGATTAGTGCACTGGTGTTGGAACCCTATCGCAGCCTTCCCGCCTCTGGAGCGGGCCATCGACGTAGTCGCGGATGGAACCAGCGTAGGAAGTTTTCCGCCGGTGAATGTGTTGTGATTCAATTGTGTCAGAATTCCGCCTCCTTTGCCAAGCGTCGGTGCCCTTGAACCGTTTACTGCACAAATCGTCCAATGCCATCTAACTGAATGTGAAGAGCCCGGGTTTTTTTACCGTGATATTAGTAAGGCGAATGGTTAAGATGTGAATAGGGTATTGACGACATGTCTTTTGGACCACGTGCAAATTGTGGAAATACTCATTACCCGAAAACTAATGGCGATATGCCAAAACGGGAGTTGGACAAATGGAAATTCACCGAATGTATTATCAGCTGAATGCCCTCCTAGCAAAATTTCCACTTGTGCGCGAAGTAGACAAACGTTAATTTGTCTGATGACCGATTAGCTCAACTTATTTTATCGAAATGTGAATAAGGCAGTATAAAATTGTTTGAAGTAATAGTGCCCGAACACCGCTAGGACGGTCTATGAAGAGCGTTGCCTATTGACAGGAAATGGTTGATGTGGCGTTGTCAGTATTGCTAAAGACATGGAGCCATTTGGTTTGGCCTATCTCGTTTAGTTTATATAGCTGAACGAGCTCAATGAAACAGGTTCACCCGTTCGACCGGACATGGCATTGCACAGTATAGGTCACAGCTGTTCATCTGTGCCAGAGCCCATCCGGCGGATCTTGAACATGCGCCCGGGAGGCCGGTTGAACACTCTTCGCTCCGGTGGGGGTCAATTTGATCCTTACCTCCTGAGATCTCAAGAAGCACGAGGGCAAGAGACACTAGATTCACAGCATGGGATGGTCTGCATGTGAACTCACTAGTCAAACTCTGAGATCCGTATGCAACATTGGTGTCAAGTACCCCAGACCTCATGCAACCGCCTTCAATCTAGATACCCATTCTAAGCAAAAGGCCACTGGTGTTCATTCTAGCTCAGCGACTGTTTACCCTTTGGAAGGTCATGGTGGCCAAAAGCTTAAAGACTGGTTTGATTTTGGAATTCGAGTACGCATTAGGCATTGCGGTTGGCGACACGTTTCTAAAAAGAAAGAGTTGGTCTGGGCCATTTTAGGTCGGTAACCTACTTGACCTTTAGTGAGTATGGTATGTTATGTCTGTATGTTAAGTCCAAGTTATCAAGAAATTTGGCTGACCTCCCTACTTGACCGTTGGTCAATAAAATTTGTTTTTATCTCAAATTCAACTGTTATATTGCCTTTGAAAATAGATTAGCGATGTATGGCTTCTTCTGACACTCCGTTGTCGCGTCAGGTTGGCCGATCCCCTCGAAATTGTCTAGGCTTACAGCCACAGGCTGATTTTGACCTGTCATAGGTGACCGACCTTGCAAGGTTCACTTAATTGTATATACAAAGGTCTGCTATTTAGTTTCCCAGAGCTATGCAAAGTATGGCGCAGCTGCGCTGCGCCGTTCGAAAATTATTTAGAAAACCCTTCGTGGGAGTCAAATTGACGCTACCCGAGCGCGTGTCAAGGGCTATTCCGCGCTGTTCTCTGTATTGTCGAAGGGTGCTTAGTTCCTGTGGCAATAGGAGCGTGTACCCGATTTAACCTGTCGAAAGTCACATTTACCATGATTCGGTGGCACCTATCTGACGCAACTTGAGGGTTCCCAGTACGGTCCCCTTGGCTACAGTTTGCGTTATTTTGTGTTGCGGAGGCTTGTCCTCACAGGGCGACGGCGCGAGGAATACGCCCACGGGGCGAGGGCTAAGGGGCCGGGGGTTCGCTCTAAAATCCAGTGAACATTTGGACGCATATACGTTCGACTCTAGCATTCTGATAATAAGGATTCGACGAAACAACATTGCTGCAAACTAGGATTCCAATACAGAACATTTCTGCAACTTAGCACTTGAACAAAAATTTCGGTAGCTCGTATTCGGTCAACGAAAATTTCGCCTTATTAGCCCACGGCGAAAGAACATGGCGTCTTCTTAGCAATCAACGAGAGTATTTCAGCAATTCGGCATTCATTCGAGTAAAATTTGATAAAAGCGTTTTTTAACTACTATTTTGGTTCAGTTCTATATATAAACAAGCTGTCAACTTGCCGTTCAACTTGAAGCATTTCGCCTCATTGACTCGGCGGCAAAAAAGACACCAGACAAAATGCATTCAGCAAAAAGCATTTGACTAAATGCATTTCGGTTATTTGTCCGCAAGCCATTAAACCGACGCCCGCCATCCTGAAAAAACACGCACCAGACCGCGAAGACCGCGAAGGTTGTCATTGTCACAAGAAGCGGGATTGGGCTGCAGTGCCACCACTGACCTGCTCCACGCGTCTATAGCGTAACCTCTCTGTTTGCCGTTTGCATTTGCACACCTTCCCCGAACAGGGCGGTCCCGCGTGGTATTTTCGGCACTCCTTGGCCAGCGCCTCCTGCTCGAATGCTTTGCTGAGCTGTGCGCTCAATTTCCTCTCGTATACCTTGTTGCCTATCTCCTCTGTCCTCTGAAAGTGCGTGGTCAGATCGGTGAGGCTTTGGCTTGATGGAGCTATGAAGACCTGGAGTTTGCATCATTATTTAACAAACAAAGGCTTGTAGCTTGGAACAATCGACACAATTCGTAGCCCGCGCGCCACTTAATCCCTCTTCGACCATGAAACCTAACGCGACTTGCTGTCGGTACCGGCGTAACAGCACAGAAGCAGGACGATGTTCCAGCCGACCCCGCGGGGCCAGACTCCCCACCGCTGGACACCGCCGCGGACTCACCATGTACTCGATGTCGATGCAGTCGCTGTCGCCGCCCGCCTTGTCGCGCACTTCATCGCTGTCCTCGGCGCTCGCCTTCGCCTTCCGCGCGTTGCGGGCTATCCGTTGCCAGGCATTGAAACACCTGGCGAGCTGGTAGCGGACGCGGCGGCGCTGCAGGGCGTCCGCCATCTTCTCTATGATCTTTTTCTGCTTTTCGGCGGTGTTTTGGTAGTATCTGGACAATGCGGGCAGCTATGACATTGTCATTGACCACATGAAAAGAGCTTTTATAATTGTCAGAAAATATGTGCTTCGCCGATCCCGCTAAATTTTGTCATGGGAACACAGTTGTATGACAGTACTCATTCCAAGTCCATACGCTTTTATCAACAATTGTTACAAGAATTGATTTTACGTCGACACTTCAGAGACTCCATTTCATCCCAAAAATGTTATTGCTATAAGCCTCGTCAGGTTTTGGATATCAAGTGGGCTTCTTCATTTACGAAAAGTGTCAAATGCATGAGTCCGTTACAATCATGCTCAGAGCTCAACGGGGCCATTGTCACGCTCTTGAGATGAATTCAGTCATATCCATGTATGAATCGGAATAGTTAATTGGAATAGTTTTGGTGGCTCGCGCTTTGTCACTTCAAGCCCTCGCCGAGCGGCTGTGGCTTCACTCTTACGCCAAGTAGGATGACAGGGGGTAGCATCTTGCCATGTGACCCCGGGAGTACGAGATCCAGGAAGCTTTCTGAATTAGATGAAGAATTTGTTTCCAAGAATTGTCATATAAAGTATCTTAACATCTCGAAGTATCGAAAAGTATCCTAGACCTGCTGCTAAACCTTGCTGTTTATTTCTGGGCACACCCAACATAATAGCGTTTTTGGGCAAATACGTCATAACCTCTGGTGCTCTGTGCTCCAGTTGGTGCTCGGCCGGCTAATTTTAGAGGGCCCTAGGAACAAGCCCCAAACCTGTTTCCTCGAATACCTTTCGTCGTTGGAACATAACAATTCCAAGAGATGTTTTATCAGCTCTGGGCAAAGACAGCGGAATATCAATGGCGCTGGGGATGTTTTGCCAAGTTAACCTCGCGTAACACTACGGTTGAAAATGCTCTCATGCTTAGAAATGCCACTATGATAAATATATTTGCAAATGCCAATATCTTCATCTAACAGCTCGTGTTAAGCTAAAACTAGTGGGAATTACCCCGATGTTAAGAGCGGATGCTGGTCAAAGAGCAAAATGCCATGAATCAAGAGATGACACAACTCTCTGCAAACAACGTATATTTTCAGTGGCCGCATGCCCCTTGATATCAAGCCGACAACGAATGCCTGTAAACGTCACGTGGCGCCCAAAATGGCGAATCACATGCGATGATCAAGTGCTGTGCAGACCCGATTGGAAGGCGTGGGTAGTCAGCTGACAGTACCGAGTGGATCATGCCAGACTTCTTTTGGCATATGTTTCACGAACCGATTGGGATAACTTAGTTGCTTATTGCTTGTGTCTTTAGTGTACTGCATCTGCATTGCGCACCACGAACACCGCTTGCGCGCACTCGGAAAACTCATCAGCTTGATCAAAAGATAGATTGGGTTTAAACAGGGCAAGGTTGAGGGCAAGGTTCTTGGGTTGAGATGCCAATGGGGTGGGTAAGCCGGGGTGATCTGGGCACAGGTTGTAGGCATTCAGTGTGTTTTAACTCTTTATGTGCGGGATTGAATGTTCTCACCGTGCCACTGTTTGTTGTTCTCGAGCCTCAGATAAGCTTTCAGCGTACTTGAGCGTGTACTTCCTCTCAACAAGACACAGCACTTCAGCAAACTCCCGAAGCAGCTTTTGCTTCAGTGCTATCAGCTGCTTCTGTAACAGATCAATAGGAACGTTTGCGCAATGATATTCGGTGATGCCGGTTAACCTAATGAATACCGTCCACGTGTTATAAATCCACACAGTTCTGAAGGCGTTATGATCGTGCTTGCCAAACCAGGCGTACATGGGCGCAACTCTAAATGGCAACCCTGCATAGGTGTACGCGTTGGTGTGGCACTCACCAAACACTCGTCTTTCAAGCTTTCTGACACGCTGTTAAGGTAGGGCACAGTGTCCTTGAAATCGGGGTCGTCGGCTGTGATGCCGTCAGCTGCCTGGCGCACTGCCTCGGCTGCAACAGGACGTGACATGTCTTAATACGGACGTTTGTAAAGCAGCGAGGTTCCCGACGTATGGCCGTTAACAGCAGACGAAAGAACAGCACCTGGATCGGATGTGGGCAGATTGTGATTTCGCTAAATTCTTGTGTTGTTGGCTTGGGTTGACTACACCTTACCGAGTTTCCTCCATTCACAATTTGCCCGCATTGGTGTGCCTTTAGGTCGTCACAGTTATGCTCACGCGTATTATGCTCACGCGTACGTTGCTGGTCGATTCGTTACGCCCGAGCAAAGTGTGGCCTGCGTGAACTTTACCATTTTCCATAAATGCAACTTTAGCTCACCGCCACCCCTTATCGGCGTTCCAGCGTCTCCTCAATGCGTCAGTTTGCCCGCAAATATGATCAGTGGCACGCTATTGAACGGCTCACCGGAACACCCATCGTCGACCACGTCCAGGGACATGACGCTGGAGTCGCCGGAGTTGGACGTCGGCGCCGGTCGGGGGTTGGACGCGGCCGGAAAGGAGCGACTCCTGGAGAGCGCCGGTGGCACTTCGGGCCGTGACGCGGGTACCGTAGCGCCGGCCGTCCTCGACCCGGTGGCCGCTCGTGCCGCCGCGCCCGCCAGCGACGCCCTGGACATGTGGCCGCTCCATCGGCCTTGCGGGCTCTGGTTCCCGGAACTCTGGTGACCGGAACAGGAGCCTATCGGCGGATAGGGTGCCATTCAGGCTTTGATTGTGGCCTTTGTGGCCGTAGCGAAAGGCTGCTGGGAGACGGGGACGTAAGGCATCGGGTTAGCTCTGATGACTCGATCAGGACCCTATGCAAAACAATGTTCTTCAGGTCGGGGCGCTAGTGATTTCCAGAGCTCAGCATGATCAACAATTTGAACTATTCATTATTGATCATGCTGTGCTATTCTAATCATTAATCAAAACGTGACGCTGGCGACAATAGAAAAAATGAATTAATAAATGGTGTTTTCGAAGCATCACGTCCTAGACGTGTCGTGAGAGACGGAACCCGCAGGGTACGCCCGACGCGAATTGGTGACAATAGCAAACGGTGTAGTGACGCTCAGCGTAGCGTACCTGACTGGTGTATTTTCTCGGCCAAGTCATCCAGAACAGGGCAGCCTGTCTTGGACAGGGTTGTTTTCACTCCTTTGGATCGACACCAAGAAGGCAGTTGACAAGGTGGCTCGGCAGAAGACCCCGTTTGACCTGGTGCCGGAGCTTGTGACTGTTGTCCGAAGTCATTTGGAATGTTAACATCAATGCAAAGTCAATGTGTAGGTACATGAACATCGGTTATCGTATAAGCACTCTATTTATTCTTACTCTAAATATTGCACGTGTGTGCCCGCGCGGACCGACCGACGTGAATGTAGATATTTTTGTTTCACAACTTTCGTCCGACTTTCACTTATTTTACAACTCATATCGCTAGTTAAAATCAACTCAGCATGAAATTTGTAAAGTTTTGGACCAAGAAGTCTCAAATCATCAGTCAGCATTTAGCGGCACTACAAACCTCACCATAGCAGGTAAAGGCAATGAACCCTCGGATGTCCTGGTTGGGCCGTTATTTGATTTGCGTGTTGCGTATTCGCAAGCGCTTCATGTTATGCTATTTCCCTGGTTGATCGGTGTCAACATTCCACAGGTGTTACTGATAAATATGATTTGTTGTTGGGTGATACTATTAAGCCACGAACGTCCCCTTGCGCTGCAATTGGAAAAATCTGCGACGCCATTTTTTGCATATCGTCCGCGAGGTAATAACACGTGATGGCCAGCGCTAAGGTCTTTCACGCTGGCATGCCATTCGTCGGGCAGCACTAATAAATATACTGCTACGCGTGATTCCACTATCTAAATACTTTTGTCTGTTTCTGTGGTTTCTTGCTAATCTTCTGAGCGGTATCTCTCATACTGGCCACCATTACGTTGCGTGGCTAGTATCTAATATTTTTGCTTTTTCGTTTGTTTTGTGCTTTCTTATACGCTCTTGCTTTAACTCTAATTTTTGGCGACATCCCTCATTTTGGCCATCCGCGTTAACACGACATGAACGGTTCTCATCTTTGCGCAATTTAATCATGATCACCCGATGGATTTCTCATCGACACAGACGAGAATCACGAGATTCCCAAAGTCCAATTTGCATAAAAGCAACAAGCGCCGTGACTGACTTGATCATTTAGGTGAAGTTCCTGGATGGCTTTTAAAGTAACTTAGGTACTCGCACATTTCGTTGTGCAATTGTTTTGAAGACGTTTACAAATACTAATCAGCTAAGTAATAGCGCCACCTCATAGGAATAACCACGCACAGCTAACCTATATTTAGTTGTGTGGGTTAGCTGTGCGTGTGGAAATGATGGGTGACATTCACCCCATTTGGCTTCCCGTATCGATCCTGTCGATGGGGTTTCGCGACGCGCTCAGCTGCTTTACATGGCAGACTACACAGCATCGCCTGCCTGTGATCCTAGCACGAAAGGCAGCCACCGCGGGCCCACAAAAGTCTAGAGATATTCACTTTTCACCTATAATCAACCCCATAAAAGAAACACTCCTTGTGATTATTACACCTTCCAGCAGTAATCACATATGTTTGGATTAATTATGCATGTCCTTGTTAATGGTGGCTGTTGGCAAGTTGGCCCACTGTATTGATTCGCAGGTAATTAGCGTGGAGACAATTCCCTGTGATAAACCGAATACCTGGAAGCGACTGAAAATGGTGGCGAAAGCATTGGCTCGCCGGCAATATATGGGCTTTCACGAAAAAGATGATTTCGGGCTAGCACGTTGGGCAGCAAACGTCCCTTTACTGGGATTCCGCGCCTAGCACCCTATGTTAATATCATCTCATGCATGCTTGTTTACCGGTCATATTAATGGTAGGCCCATGGTGTGGTCGCTACACACAGTCTGCAGGCTATTTGCATTGATAGGACCCCGGAATCGTACAGCCGTGCACGACGCATACCTCGAAATTTGTCCCCATTAGAAAGTAGCCACCTGGTGTAAAAGTCACCGCGGTATCACCACGTAGACCGATCCTCTATCACTACTGAATTATGTCAGAATCCCTCGTCGGCCCGCCGGAATTTCTCATCGGTACACGAGACTTAGTGGCCGGAATCACCCACCGGGACCCTCGTCAGCCCGCCGGGATTTCTCATCGGCTCGCGCGCGCGAACCTCGTCTTCTGGGTACGCTGAAATTATTCTAACAATACCCTTACCCTTCCTTACCCTTCCTCCTCGGTACCCTTCCTCGGTGGCCAAACTCACTGCCGGTGCCAGGAGTCAGCTACTCATCGTCATTTTAGCAAACCAATCGTCCGGACAGACCAAAACCAATGCACCAACGGAAGAGCCTTCCGACGCTTCCAGCAGCCCAATACCATGTTCCGACCTCCAGGCTCTGGAAGCATCAAGAAGGCAGCTAAAAAGCGAATCTCACGTTTTGCCTGTGGCGTGGACGTCAACAGTACCCTTAACATGTGCTGCTACTTTTTTAGCAGTCACCGAGGTGTAAAAATGCGTTCCGCCTCATCTGTGAGCCGCGGAGGTGAAATCCCGCGTAGCAATACTGGTAAAACATCATGAGTCCAAAGCACGCATGCTGAAGAAACGACCTTCAATATACCAGCAAGTAATGGCCAAACGACATTGCAGTGCTAAATAACAATTTTATTGACGGGACTCCATATTTCGAACTGTGCTCATCCTGAAAAGTCCTGAGGATAATAATTGGTGAGACGCCCATTGTCAGGGGCTTCCGCAGGATTTCGTGATGGGCGCGGGTCAGGCACAACTAATCAATTTTCGCTGATAACAGAGTGTTGCACGCTACAGGGAGCGCAATTTCACGAGGGTCGTAAAACAGCGTCATGCGATCTCGATACTCTTATTTGTACGTCTGCCTCGAATTTTTTCTGTCAACATTTACTCACGTAGACATGGATAAATGCTATTAATTTGGAAGTTGGGTAGGGCGCTTGACAGCGTGAGCTGCTATATGCGTACGTCTCTGCCCGCAGGCCAGGGGCGGATCCAGGATTTCGTCAACGAGGTTGGGGGGCACGCAACGTTGTAGGCCCTCCAGAGTTTGGGGCCCCTCCAAGAAATATTCTCGCACATTCCGGCCATCAGATTTTAAGACAAATAGTAAATAGTGCATGTACACACACACACACACACACACACACACACACACACACACACACACACACACACACACACACACACACACACACACACACACACACACACACACACACACACACACACACACACATATATATATATATATATATATATATATATATATATATATATATATATATATATATATATATATATATATAGTAAGCATGGGAATCCATCTTACTGCGCTAAAACTGGGTATATCATGCATACACATACATAGAACTCAATCATTTTCTCCAGATCACGTTATATGTTTCGGAAAAAACAGACAAAATTAACTCAAGTTGGCCACTAAATACCACCAAAACTAAGCACGGACTCGATTCCTAGCTTATTTACGTCTAGCCGGCTGGGTGATGTAATCACCTGATGGCTGATCATAGGCGGATCCTGGGGGGGGGGGGAGGGCACGGGGCCACGGCCCCCCTCCAAAACCTCTGAGAGTATGTTTTGGACCCCCACAACATTCCCAGAACTTCAGAAAAGTTGCGTCTACTTACCGTCTGTTTTAACTTAAACTGTTTTAACTGTTTTGTTTTCACTTCTGTTTAAGATTCAAAAGCATTTCGGGGGTTTTCTTCGGTTTTGAATGACGTCCCTACTAGGCACTCGCGAAAGACACCATGAACTGGACCTCGGATCCCACACCAGCCAGCTGGCGACGAACGGTTGCCCCCCCAAAAAAAACAACAACAACTCCGGGCTAGATCCGCCCCTGTGGCTGATAACTAATGCAGAACTCTTTACTTGTTATAAACGAGTGCAAAATATTCTAGCATTCTAAGTATGCTGAGAGCGTGATGTACAAGCTTGATAAGTGTCACACACTTTTGCTAAGGAAAATCACACACGTGACGTCGGAGGCGCGTAATATTACCTTCGACAATTGCACGTAAAAAGTCACCGGCGCATATCTGACTGCTGCTCTGAGACTAAGGCACCAAGACTAATAAGGACGGTCCCCGACCGATCATGCCCCGCGAGGCCAACAAAGAGGTTCCGTCAACAAATATAGGGTCCTCGAGGCATGTGAAAAGCACCCAAGACCAACGTGATGGGCCCTAAACGATCGGTAGTGCCCCGGCAGGCTGATATATAAGGCCCCAGACACAGCGCAGGACCCTCTGAGCAAAGAGGAATTATGCAAGACCATGAAATGATGCCCCTGTGCAATCAAAAGTACCCGGGCAGGTCGTCCTGCTAGAAGTGAAGAGTCCTTCGCAAATGGTCAAAATCAAAGGGAAAGAGCCCTCGGCCAATGTAGAGGGTCGCTGTGCATCGAGTGCCTCGGTGCCTTACCTTATATGAGCACCGCACAAGGCCCTCCGAGCAGGTGGAAAGAACCCAAGACTAATATGAAGGGCTGCTGGGCAGCTGAGTGTACCTTGACATATGGGCCCGCAAAAACCGTATCGAGTCTTTCGGGCGAATGGGAAGAATCGGTGGAGGGCCCCTGACCGATCAAGTGTGCCCAGGCATGGAAGCAGGTAGTGTCCCAACAGCAGCGTTGAGATCATCTGCAGAAAAATGGAAAAGTGTCAAGAAATCAAGGGTGACGTGGAAGGCTCCTTGGCGATCAAATTGACCAGGCAAGTGGATGTATATGGCCCGGGCCACAGCGTAAGGCCTCTGGAAAGCATAATGACCTCCACAATGTCCCTCAATCATTACCCCTTCAAGCAGCAAATATTTAAATTTGCTTGCTTATGAGCTCTATTCTCGTTTGCAGCCGTTCTATGTCGTCTGTAGTCCCAAACACTTTCAGTGTTATGTTTTTTTTATTATTAGAAAGCTGTGTCCGTTCAGCCGGTTATCGGTCACTTTGAAGCCTTTGGGTCCCCTCTGCACGTCCATGGGGCGTGGTCCGGTGTTCAGTCACCCCTTCTGTATCCGCCAACGGCCCGAGCAGCTTAATAGACAGGGCCCGCCAAGAACATAGGGCCATCCATTCAAACATGAAGCATTCAAGACAACATGGAGGGCTCCGGAGTCATCGAATGCGCCAGAGCAGGTTAACAGATGGGCCCTCCTCAAGAGCGTAGGGCCCTCCATTCAAATAAGAAGCACCCAAGCAGGGGCCGATCCAGAGGGGGGGGGGTGGGGCACGGGGCCATGGCCCCCCTTGGGCCCCGAAAGGGTCCATTGGCTCCGAGGGGCCCATCCCGCCCGAACAGGTGCAGTTTTTAAAACACAAAAAGGAACAAAACTGGATATGTTCGGCCTTCCAGACAACCAAGAACAGTTGTAAGCGGGAGTCAAGGGCCTATGAGAAGTCAAAAAAATATTGAATGATTGAAAAAGTTGTGAACTGGAAATTGTAAGCCTCATTGCACTATCTAGGAGGCCCATGCTGTTTCTGTAAGACCTATATGCCCACTTGCAGGGTCATTTCGATAGTTAAGGAGCATTTCACGGTGCCCTTTATTTCTTTGCATCTGCTCGGGGGCCCTGCGCTGTTGTTGGGGCCTTTCCTGCTAGCGTGCCGGGACACTCTTGTCAATCACGAGCCCTTCCACGTGTTCTTTCCATTCGCCAGAAAGGCTCTGTGGGCTATAGCCGGGGTCTCAAACCTTAACTTGCCTGGGTATTCTCGGTCGCTCATGGGCCCTTTACATGGGTCTCAGTTAACCTACCGACACACTTGCGATATGTTCATGGGCTCTCTTCATTGATCTAGGGCGCTCCCAATTCTCTGCCACTTGCTTAGGGTCCTGCACTATTGTCGGGGGCCCATCTGATGGCCTGCTTGGGGACATCAGTCTTTCGGGGACCCTGCACACTGGGTTTTGGGTACTTCTTCTCTGAACGGGGGGCCCTACGCTTTGAAGGGGAGGGGGGCTATCTGATAACCTGCTCGGGCACATTCAATCGTTCGGGGGCCCTCTACATTAGATGTTGGGCACGTGCTATTTGAATGGGCCTTTCGCACTTGTCGAGGCCCCCTCTGTTCGCCTCCTCGGCCACACTGGATTGCTCTGGGGGCCCTGCGCATTGGTTTTTGGTGTTTTAATTTAGGGCCCTCTGCTCCTATCGGGGTCATGTGATAACCTGTTCGGGTACACTCTATCTTTCGGGGGCCCTCCGCACCGGGTTTTGGGTACATCTTATTTGAATGGAGGTCCTTACGCTCCTGTCGGGGCCCCTTCTGATAAGATGCTCGGGCCCATTCGATCGTGGGCGACCTCTACATGTGGTTTTGGGTACTTTCTTTTTGAATGGAGGGCCCTCCGCGCTTTTCGAGGACCTTAGCTGTCGACCCACCCTGGCGCACTCGATTATTCGGGCCCTCTTCGTATGTCGTATGTCGTGTGTATTTCATATTTGAACGGAATGCCGTAGGCTCTTGCCGGCGCCCCATCTGTTAACCTGCTCGGGCACACTCGAGTATCCGGATACCCTCCACATAGTGTCTTGGGTACTTCCTATCTGGAAGGAGGGCCCTACATATTTGTCGGGGACGCCATCTGTTCGCCGCTTCGGTCACACTGAATTGCCCGGGGGCCCTGCACATTGGGTCTTGGTGTTTGAATTTAGGGCCCTTCAATCTTGTCTGGGCCACCTGATAGTCTGCTAGGGTATACTTTATCTTTCGGGGGCCCTCCCCGGGGGGTTTTGGGTACGTTTTATTCGAATGGAGGGCCCTGCGTTCTTCTTTGGCCTCTTCTGATAGGCTGCTTGGGCACATTCTATCGTTCTAGGGTCATTCACATGGGTTCGTCAGTGCTTTCCATTCGAATGGAGAGCCCTACGCTCTTGTTGGGGCCCTATTTGTTAACCCGCGCACACTCAATTATTCGAGGCTCTCTTCATTGGGTTTTGGGTACTTCCTATTTGAAAAGAGGGTCCTATGCTCTTGACGGGGGCCCTATATGTTATCCTGCTCTAACGCACTGGATTATTCGGGTCCTCTGCACTGGGTCTTGAATACTTCCTGTTTGAACGGAGGACCCTACGCTCTCATTGGAAACCTTATCTGTTAGCCTGCTCGGGCACACTCGATCATTCGGGGACCCTCTTCATTGGGTCCTGGGTACTTCCTATTTAAATGGAGGGCTCTACGCTCTTGATGGGGGTCCCTATATGTTAATCTGCTCGGGCGCACTCGATCATTCAGAGCCCTACACATTGTGTCGTGAATATTTATTTTTGGATGGATGGCTCTATGTTCTTGGCGGGCCCATCTAATTAAGCTGCTCGGGCCGGTGGCGGACGCAGGGGGGGGGGGGGGAGGGGCACGGGACCATGCCCCATGGACCATGCCGAGGGGACCTAAAGGCTCCGAAGGGGCCCATAACCGGCCGAACGGACGAAGTTTTCTTACAACAAAAACAGAACAAAATTGGAAGCCTTTGCGCATGCAGACGACCAAGAACAATTATTAGCAAAAGTAAAGAGTTCATAAGCAGACCAAGTTCAGTTTTTGCTGATTGAGAAAGTGTTGCTTGGGGGAAATTTTGGAGCTCATTACACGCTTGGTTTCTTGACCCTATATGTCCACTTGCCGGATCAGTCTGATCGCTAAGGAGCTTTCCACGTTGCCCTTTATCTCTCTTGCATTTTCTCGAATGGCCCAATGTACTGGTGGGACGCTATCTGCGTCCATGCCTGCGCACTGTTGATCGATCAGGTTTTCCTTCGCGAGTTGTCCCAATTCGCCCGAGAGGCTCTTTACGCCTTTGCCAGGCCCCATATGCCAGGGTACACTCAGTTGCTCAGGGGCCCTTCATTTAAGTCTCGGGCTCCTCCTATTCGCTTGGAGGGCCTAATGCTGTTGCTATGGCTTTTATAATGTAAGGCACGGAGACACTCGATGCTCAGGGGCCATCTACTTTGATCGAGGGCTCTCTCCATTCGGTCTCATTTGCGGAGGACTCTTCACTCCTATCGAGGCTCGTGTTGTTAACCCGCCCGTGCACTCTTGATCACACGGGAGTTATTAATTCATGGTCTTGGATAATTCCACTTCGCTCGGGGGTTCTGCGCTCTGGCCGGTGCTTTATATGTCAGCCTGTCGAGGCACTAACGGCCGTTCATGGGCCCACCACGTTGGTCTTGGGTTCTTTTTGCTTGCTCTGTGGACCCTATACTTGTTCACGGGAGCCACTTTATTGGCCTCTTGCGGCACCCATGATCACTCAGGTTTCGTCCCTATTGGCCTTGGTGCCTTCGCCTCAAAGCAGTGGCCGAATAGACGCTGATGTTTACGCGCAATTGCCGAACGTAATTTGACATGCCGCCGACGTCGCATGTGTCATTTCAATAGCTATTGAGTGTGTGACATCTATCATACTAGTGCATCACGTTCTTAACATATTCGAATGCTAGGATATGTTGTGCTCATTTCTAACAGAGGAAAAATCCTGCACTAGTCATCAGCCATCGGCTGATTACATGGCTGCTTGGCCGGCTTGCCCAGCCGGCTAGCCGTCAAAACATAAGCTAGGAATCAAGTCCATGCTTAGTTTTGACGGTTGTTAGCAGCTAACTCAAGCTTATTTTGCCTGTTATTCCGGAACACTTAACCCCAAAATCACAGCATTTAACATGATCTGTAGAAGGTGAATCAGTTCTACGTGTATGCGTGCGTAGCACGCTTAGCTTTATGAGGCCGTGGACAGTGAGATGGATTTCCGTATTTATGAAATAAAGGAAAAAGTAAATACATACATGCATATACACGCGCCTATATATATATATATATATATATATATATATATATATATATATATATATATATATATATATATATATATATATATATATATATATGTGTGTGTGTGTGTGTGTGTGTGTGTGTGTGTGTGTGTGTGTGTGTGTGTGTGTGTGTGTGTGTGTGTGTGTGTGCGTGTGTGTGTGTGTGTGTGTGTGTGTGTGTGTGTGTGTGTGTGTGTGTGTGTGTGTGTGTGTGTGTGTGTGTGTGTGTGTGTGTGTGTGTGTGTGTATGTGTTATACGACTTGTCTTAAAATGTAATGACCAAAATGCAAGGATATTTTTTTGGAGGGGGGCCCCAAACTCCAGGGGGCCTCACAATATTGCGTGGCCTCCCCTTGACGAAATCCTGGATACGCCCTGCAGCCAGGACTCGGTGTGGAGGTCCCCCAATGACCCAATGTGTCCCAGCAGGTTACCAGAAGTGACTCGAACGGAGCACAAGGCCCTCCGTTCAAATAAGAAGTACCCAAAACCCAGTGCGGAGAGCCCCCGAAAGATGAAGTGCACCTGAGCAGGTTAACAGATCGGGCCCCGACAAGTGTGTAGGGCCCTCCATTCAAAAAGAAAGCACCCAAGACCCAACTTGGTGTGCCCCGAACGACCCATGTGCCCAGGGAGATTAACACATGGGCGCTAGATAACAGTGTATGGCCCTAAGCAAGTCACAGAGAATTGGTAACGCCCTAGATCAGTGCTGAGGGCCCATGAGTATATCGCGAGTGTGTCGGAAGGTTAACCGAGACCGACGTAAAGGGCGCCTGGGCAACAGAGAATACCCCGGCAGGTTCAGATATGGGGCCCCAGTTATAGCGTGCATGGCTCTTCTGGCGAATGAAAAGAATCTGTGGAAGGCCCCTGATTAACAAGAGCGCTCCGGCACGCTAGCAGGTAGGGCCTAGCAAAAACGCAGGGCCTCCGAGCAAATGCTAAAAGTCAACGGCAAAGTGGAAGGCTGCTTAACGATGAGAATGACACTGCAAGTGGGCACACAGGTCCCTCGGAAACGACATGGGGCACCAGAACAGCGTCATGAGGCTGAACATTCCCAAATAAGAGCTTTTCGATCATTGAAGTTTTGCTTGTGTCCACTCGTGGGCCCTTTATTTTCGCTTGCGACTGTTGTTGGTCGCCTGCAAGTCCAAAAACGCCCAATTTTGTTGCTTTTGATGTTAAAAACTCCACGTGTTCGGCCAGCTATGAGTCCCTTCGAAACCAATGGGTCCCTTCGGGGCCCAAGGGTGGTATGGTCCCGTGCCCCCACCCATCTGGATCCGCCCCAGCCTAGCTCTCTTAAACAGAAAAACATGCCCTCCATGCATCAAAACTGGACCCCCGTTCATTCAGGAATGTCTCCTGAATGCAAAAAAAAAAACACAAGCAAACAAGGCCCATAAGCAATGGAGACGACCCCTTAGCTGCAAGGATTCTGATGACCCGATCAGGTCCCCTGTTGTTCAAAAATGTGGCCGTGTCACTGACTGCCAGTGCATCGATTATTCGACTTGGCGCCCGGATCATTCCGCCAACGTTGTGCAATGCAAAGCGTATCGTGTTGTACATGTCGCGATGTTATAAGGACCTTCGACGAGCCTAACTGTCCTAGTCTTCTGGAATCATTGAGTGGTGGTGCGGCTTTCTGAGTGAAATTTACCTATTTATAAAATCTGAATGTTTATTACAATTTCCGAGGGCTTAGGCCTGTAAGCACCTCTTTAGCGTTTTAGTGGTGACGATCACGAGGAGAAGTCTAACAAATATTATTTTCGTTTCAGGCACCGCTGCCGGAAAACGTTCTTTCCGGTCGCTGCGCACCAGCAGTCGTAAACATGCCGGTGAGTACTGCGAAATATGGTTAAAAAATGTGTGTTCCGGCGCCTGAATTGTGCTATTATTTATGTACTAGGCGTATCAGTATCACCGGCGTTGGTGCAGGTTAATGCGTGCCTTGGCTTTTCAGCGGTGGTTGTGTGAGGTCCGCTAAATGTGGAGAGTGTTTTGATGAGTTCGAGATGTGTTGGGTGGGCTATGCGTAGTGGTATGCGATTAAGGGAATGCACGTACATTGGCAGTGCAGGGAAGGGTCACGTTTTTAATTCTGCCAAATTAAGGTATGGATGCCGTGTCTTGAGTACTTGTTGGCAGTGAATAAAATGGAAGTATGTTGGGTGATAGAGATGCAATATTAACTGGCATGCATATGTTCGCTGGTGGGACTGGCACCAAAATTCTCATGCTCCAGGGCTGTCATGAGGGCAAGCAGAAATTTGTGGTTGTGGCATGGCTTCATTGTGCCCAGTCAAGCATGTTATGATTGGTCCTGTTTGCACAAATGTGCTCAATTTGAGGACTGTTTGAATAACTTGCTACAGGGATCATTGCTTCTGGGGAAGGAGCAATCCAGCTCAAGCTACTTGGAGTTTCGGCATGAGCATTATAGAGATGCTATTAATGTATGCTTGCCTCTTGCATTTTCACAGGTGCAACATGACCATTGTTATCAGTGCACCCTGAAATATTCATAAACATGTTCCATTCCTGGGCTAGGGCAAAACCTATACTAGGCTTCCTAGCTTGTGGAGGTGGCTCAAGGCAAGGGAGAAAGAGGGTGAGGAAGATGATAATTTAAGCCTTTGTCTTTGTAATTTATTTTACCTTGTCTACATACTTGTGAAGACATGATGTTTATAAACTACCATTGTTTTTTTTTGCTGTATATTAAGTTTGAAAAAGACTTCATGATAAAAATGTTAAACTAAAGCAATCTTTTTAGATTGATTGTTCTGTAATTTTGTGTATTGAAGCATTGGCAAGGCCAGAATTTTTGGAGCTTTCCAGGTTTTGAGAAACTTGTTAAAAAAGGATGCAGAACTGCATTATTTTGTTATCCAACCAGCCTTATAACTTGTCAGTCAGTATTCAGCATATCCTGACTTGAGTGATATTGATTATGTATGGTTTTGGTGGGGGCTATTACCAATGAGAAATGAGTAACTAAATTCATCCTTATTCATCTGGAATATCAGTGGATGCATTATAGCCATGAGATCAGACTAGAGAAGATTCAGGTCTTTATACCAAAGGTAACCTCCATGATGTGCATTTGGATCCGTGGCTCAGCTCTGAATGTGCAGAAAATGCTGGAGCATGGATTTGTGCTTTGACGTTGAAGTGTATTGCTGGCATGTTTGGTTTCTTATTCACCATAGTTTCATTATGCTCCAAAGTCTAAGCTTGATGTGTAGTTTCATGTAAGTGGAGATTTATTTCTATGTATGTTTATGTTGATAGATGTGACAGAGTGTCATACCTTTTTGCTTTGTGTTTTTATGGTTGCCCTGAAGCCATCATTCTTACCTTGGGTATTAGTGATGTATTTATGATGTTTGACCAGGCAAGTGCAATCATTAACAGCTTAGTTACATGTTTTAATTTATCTGCAGTGCTTCAAGTGTTGACTTTGTTGTTAATTGGAGTTAACGGGTGTGCCAACTGCGGTGGTCATTTGACGCCCACAACAAGGCCTTAAGTGTGGCCAGCAGTGTGCTGGTGTTTATTTCACCTAACGAGCTCATAGATTTTAGCATGCAAGGTTTTACAATTAAAAAAATATAATGCAGCTGTGGTAAATGACCCATTACACAAATATAATGCCCCAAAGAAAACAATGGATCTTGGTATCATAGTTAACATGCTTGGGTGAGGGGGGTCAAATTAACCCCCAAAAGGTGTTTTCAGAATGGTTTCCGAACGGCGTGGTGCAGCGACGCCAAGTTTGGCATTGTAGACCATTGAATAGCAGATTGTTTGGCATACAAAATTGAGGTGCGCCTGGTAAGGTCACTGACCTATGGCAGGTCCAAGGTCATAGTTTCAGCAAAGTCAAGTTCTAGGGAATCCTTCAATTTTAGGTAACATTGGTGGGTTAGATGGAGCTATACATGTCTGTCATGCTTTTAAGGCATCACCACAAGTGTTGAATGAGCAAATTACATTGATCTAAGGTCAGTTATGAAGGTCAGAACAAGGTCAAAACTAACCTGCTTTATTATTCTAGGGCTTGCTGTATGTGATAGTATCTGGTGCTCATTTTGAATTCAGTGATAGCAGGAACTGTATTATAATTATACATTGTCCATGGACTTTTTAGAGTTCCAAGCAGGCCATTGACCTAAAATGACTGAGGTCAATGTTTTGTTTTTAGAAACATGCTGCCTAGCATAATCTTTGTTGCTTATTCAAATGCAAAGCTCAGAGCAGTCTTGAATGATTTTGGTCATCACAGCCTTCAAAAGGTCAAAAAGGGTCACTGACCTTAACTGGGCATGTAGTCTTTTGCTTAGAAGCAGTTATCTAGGTTCTGGGGGCACTTTGGAGACCAACCCAGAATTGGACCTTGTTTGACCCAGAGGTTATGACCTATGAATGTCAAACTTTGACCTTGGTGGGTTCACGTATACGTCAACACACCCGGTGAGTTTGGTGTTCTTATAGTTTCCGAGATCTGGGGGTCAAATTGGCCCCTCCCTCCACCCGAGCGAGGGGTATCTAGCTGGCCATCCAGGCGCGTGTTAAAGTATGCTTTAAATTACCGGTGTTGCAGTGCAAGTTACCGTCTTAGCACCAAGATAGGGATTACAGTGATGTACCCTTCAGGACTGGAATGAGGTGTTTTGATCTAAACAGCATAAGATAAATTATGTAATCAACAGGTTGAAAAAATCTCTGCAATGCAAGCATTGCCACACAACATTGTAAACCATCAGGCCGGTCTATAAAATTGGCTCTTAGTTTAGAGCAGTCAAATATCTCTTGGAGCATGAAAATAATTATGTGATGTTGAATTGTGACATTTTGATAGGAACAAGTTTGGATAATCACCAGCTCATGTAAGCATTGATGCATGCAATCATCGAAAGATATGAGGTTTAAGAAAACAAGCAAAAAAACTCAGCATGCATGCCTAGTACATAAAATATATCTCAGTAGTAAGTTTTTTCTAGGCATGATGGGGATTGATTTGTTTTGGCACTGGATTCTGTGAAATAGCTGATGCATGCATGTTTTTGTCTATTCCAGCTCGCTAAAGATTTGCTGCACCCCTCTGCGGAGGAGGAAAGGCGCAAGTGCAAGGTCAAGAGGCTTGTTCAGCACCCCAATTCCTATTTCATGGATGTCAAGTGCCCAGGTATGTATGCCAGTGCTGCAGACCACAGGCCATTTGTGGCCTGTCTAGGCAGGGCAGCTGCATATGCTCAGCAGCCCTGCCAAAATTACCCCCTGACTCACCTTTTTTGGGTGCATGGGGAGGCAGGGGTCTAACCAACTGAACCATCAAGATAGATGTTGTAGATGTGAAATTTTGTGCAAGCACATGGTTGATTGTGACCATCAAATGTGTGTCCATTGAAGGCCATTCTCAGTAGTTTGCACACTGGGGAATCAAACTTTGTACCATTAGTCTCCCAGGTGTGCATTGGCTAACACTGGGTGTCAAAAGTGCAGCGGTTAACATTTATTACTTATAATTTGAGCAACATAATTTGCAGTCTTGGCAGCATCAGTCCCTCATTGGTCTTGTCTAATTCATACATGTCCACACCTTTTGACCCGTTGCCTCGTGGGTCGATCTCTGAGTCGGGTGTCGGCGACGTCGGGTCTCATTCTCTGCTGCGTGCTGCTGGCAGGGTGCTACAAGATCACGACAGTGTTCAGCCACGCCCAGACGGTGGTGCTGTGTGTGGGCTGCTCGACCATCCTCTGCCAGCCCACCGGCGGACGTGCGAAGCTCACCGAAGGTACGGGCGCCCTCCCACGGCCGGCCGCTGCCGGGCCCAGCTGCTGCAGTGTGCTGCAGTACCGGGCTGCCTTTGGGAGGCGGGAGGCGCGTGCTGCGGTGCCGGGCTGCCCTCGGGAGGCGGGAGGCGCGTGCTGCGGTGCCGGGCTGCCCTCGGGAGGCGGGAGGCGTGCGCCGCGGTGCCGGGCTGCCCTCGGGAGGCGGGAGGCGCGTGCTGCGGTGCCGGGCTGCCCTCGGGAGGCGGGAGGCGTGTGCTGCGGTGCCGGGCTGCCCTCGGGAGGCGTGCGCCGCGGTGCCGGGCTGCCCTCGGGAGGCGGGAGGCGCGTGCTGCGGTGCCGGGCTGCCCTCGGGAGGCGGGAGGCGCGTGCTGCGGTGCCGGGCTGCCCTCGGGAGGCGGGAGGCGCGTGCTGCGGTGCCGGGCTGCCCTCGGGAGGCGGGAGGCGCGTGCTGCGGTGCCGGGCTGCCCTCGGGAGGCGGGAGGCGCGTGCTGCGGTGCCGGGCTGCCCTCGGGAGGCGGGAGGCGCGTGCTGCGGTGCCGGGCTGCCCTCGGGAGGCGTGTGCCGCGGTGCCGGGCTGCCCCCCGGGTGCGGGAGGCGCGTGACGCCGGTCGACCCTGCGATGGCTCCCTTGCTGCATGCGGAACGTCTCATACGTGTGACGGGTATGGAGACTGGTCTCATGTGGTTACGCGGATGTTATCGGCTTGGTACTCCTAGCTCGGTTTTTTTCTTGTGGGATGATTTTCGAAGATGGGCGTCGGTGGAATGCAATTCATATTACTGGCTGGAGTGTCTGGATTTTTCGAAAGGTTGTTTAAGTTGTAGAAACGGATCCTAGAAAACAATGTGATCTTGACTTCCCTGCATGAAGACTACCGCTGTGCCGGACCCACTGCTGGGACCAGTGCTGCATTGGAACTGGTCAGCCAGCTTACCTTCTAGGAATACGGCCAATGTGATGGAGTGTCGTGATGACAGACTATGCATCTTCATTTTCTCATTCCTCTTCCGGTTAAGTGAGGAGGTTTGCTAGGAGAGTCCATGGAGAAGGTTTTTTACTGCAATGCGCCCGGTTCTGACCTTTTTCAAAGGCTGCAGCGGGCGTTCTGGATAACTCCAAATTAAATTTCACCCAGCCGAGGTTTATCAGATTGTCCCTCGAACCCGACAGAACTAGGGGTTGACACCGATGGGACGTTCTACCATCCGAAGTGTGGGTGCAGTTTGTTAGAGTGTGGGATATTTTACTTAAATGATTTGTTGCGTGCCTGGGCCAAGGCTGTCGAAAAAGCCCGTTTTGTCAAAGCACAGGCGGCTCTGTCGTCAGAATGACACTGGTGGTGCATGAGTTGCGCCGCCAAGCCATCCATTCGGCGCCTGTGATCGTATTTAGTTGCAGTGCAACGACACTGCGCTTCTGAATGTGGTATCCATGGCAACACACTCCCTTAATGCTTTGTTGTTGGGAATGTAGTCCCGCAGCCTTAACATTGGCTTGGTTTTTGTTTGACCAACTGCCTCAACTTTGCTACATTTGTTGCCGTGTTATCAGACACCTCCACTTGTCCTTTGGTGCAAATCAGATTCACGTAACGACCATGAATGCCCGCGTGATCCTTCAGAGTAAACATGGTTTGTAACAAAGGACTCTTGCCATACCATCGCCTCATACCACCCAATTTGTATCGAACTACGTGAATGCCGTCAAATGTTACTTGGTCGACTTGCTCGCTATGCCATTGCAGTCATTTGCTTCAACTAATGCACTCCTCTCCTTCCGTTTCAGGTTGCTCGTTCCGGCGAAAGCCAGTTTAAGCTTACACTATGATTGAATAAAGTGCGGTGCACGCGAAAGGGACTTTTGATCCTCATATCTGTGCGACATCAGTGAACGGAAAGGACGACTTGAACTGGATGAAGCGTTTCCGCGCACACAAGTGACCCGTGCGCATTATCTTAACCACCATTTTCGTTGGCGTTGGTTGGGGATACGAAATAAAGATCAATACTACACCGCTTGCGGATTGCTTTTGCGCGCATTTGTATGGCCTTCGTCTCCGGACTGTGTGGTCGATCTTCAGGCGTTACGCTTCAAAGCGATTTATAGAGCGGGCAAATCTTCCTGTTCTCGTGAAGTTGACGTGGTTTAGGAGCGGTTCGACGTGTCCCGAAGACCAAGTCACGGGGGTCGATCGGAAGAGAGCAGGCATATCGGCCGCAATATCACCAGCCATTGGCGGTCAGGGCACACCATACCTTTTCTCCGGCGAACTCCGGCGTGTCGGCCATGAGCATGCAGCAACCGCCAAAGCGTTCCATACATTCCAGCCGATTGCTTCTCAAGGCGGCGGGAAAGGCCAGTAGTGTACGGATAGTGCAGTGGATAACAAGCTTCAAGGCGGTGAAGAAGATGTAGTAGGGTAAGGATAGTGCAGTGGTTAACGAGCCCGCGTTAAGCACTGCGCGTTTGGGGAACTGGAGGTACGGTGTTCGATTTCCCACGGTGCCCGCTGCTTCGCTACCAAGGTGGCGGCATGCAACGCCATATGGCCTCCGCAGCTGAGTGCGTCGTAACCCTCCCAACGACAATGACGGGGAAGACCAGGAGCCAAAGCGGTGCGAGCACACCGCGCTCCCACCACACGTCTGCTGCGGCGGGAGCTGGGGCGATCCGCGGCCGCTCCTCCCACACGACTGCTGCGGCGGGAGCTGGGGCGATCCGCGGCCGCTCCTCCCACACGACTGCTGCGGCAGGGGCTGGGGCGATCCGCGGCCGCTCCTCCCACACCACTGCTGCGGCAGGAGCTGGAGTGGTCCGCGGCCGCTCTCACTACATGACTGCTGCGGCAGGAGCTGGGGCGACCCGTGTCCACTCTCACCACACGACTGCTGCGGCAGGAGCTGGGGCGATCCGCGGCCGCTCCTCCCACACCACTGCTGCGGCGGGAGCTGGGACGGTCCGCGGCCGCTCCTCCCACACGACTGCTGCGGCGGGAGCTGGGGCGATCCGCGGCCGCTCCTCCCACACGACTGCTGCGGCGGGGGCTGGGGCGATCTGCGGCCGCTCCTCCCACACGACTGCTGCGGCGGGCGCTGGGACGGTCCGCGGCCGCTCCTCCCACACGACTGCTGCGGCGGGAGCTGGGACGGTCCGCGGCCGCTTCTCCCACACGACTGCTGCGGCAGGAGCTGGGACGGTCCGCGGCCGCTCCTCCCACACGACTGCTGCGGCCGCTGCTCGTGGCGCCGGGGCGGCTCACTAAGCGCGGGGTAAGCTGCGTCGCGAATGAGAATGTGAAGGTACTCGGCCGCATGGACAGCAAGGCACAGTTGAGATATCCGTGTCCATGTTTGCACAAACACCATCGACCTCGCCGTAGTCAGGCGCGGGCGCCCGGGAACGGCCCTTCTGCGGGCGCGGGCAGGGGCCGTCCCACGCAGTCCTGTGAGGTGATGGAGACTGGTGAAGGTGAGTCGAGCCCACAACGGGTACCCTGTTTGGTGACCGTGGCTTACAGGACTCGACCGAAAGGTTTATAGGTTTGACAAATTTCTAAATGTTAGAATTCACGTCGGCAGAATGTAGTGGCGGTCGTAACAGACGGGGTTACGACCGCCACTGAATGGTGGCAGTGATCGTCAGCGCTTAACGCTGTCGGGTGACCTTGAGAAGTAACGTTTGCACTTGCCCCACGCCTGGTTCCTAGGCATCTCCGGAATGCAGGATCAAGCGGCGGCTGGCCGGGGTTGTTTTGATCCAGACTGGTGGCATCACTAGGACTAGGCTCGTCAGGCAGCAGCCAGCGGCCTGTTATTGCTTTGATCCAGACTGGTGGCATCACTAGGACTAGGTTCGTCAGGCAGCAGCCAGCGGCCTGTTATTGTTTTGATCCAGACTGGTGGCATCACTAGGACTAGGCTCGTCAGGCAGCAGCCAGCGGCCTGTTATTGCTTTGATCCAGACTGGTGGCATCACTAGGACTAGGCTCGTCAGGCAGCAGCCAGCGGCCTGTTATTGTTTTGATCCAGGCTGGTGGCATCACTAGGACTAGGCTCGTCAGGCAGCAGCCAGCGGCCTGTTATTGCTTTGATCCAGACTGGTGGCATCACTAGGACTAGGCTCGTCAGGCAGCAGCCAGCGGCCTGTTATTGCTTTGATCCAGACTGGTGGCATCACTAGGACTAGGTTCGTCGGGCAGCAGCCAGCGGCCTGTTATTGTTTTGATCCAGACTGGTGGCATCACTAGGACTAGGCTCGTCAGGCAGCAGCCAGCGGCCTGTTATTGTTTTGATCCAGACTGGTGGCATCACTAGGACTAGGTTCGTCGGGCAACAGCCAGCGGCCTGTTATTGCTTTGATCAGCTGGTGGTCACTAGGACAGGTTCGTCAGGCAGCAGCCAGCGGCCTGTTATTGTTTTGATCCAGGCTGGTGGCATCACTAGGACTAGGTTCGTCGGGCAACAGCCAGCGGCCTGTTATTGCTTTGATCCAGACTGGTGGCATCACTAGGACTAGGTTCGTCAGGCAGCAGCCAGCGGCCTGTTATTGTTTTGATCCAGACTGGTGGCATCACTAGGACTAGGCTCGTCAGGCAACAGCCAGCGGCCTGTTATTGTTTCGGACGGCGTCCGTCGCTCGATCTGGGCATGATCGCCTCTCTCATCCTTTAGTACCCGGAAGTAGTCGGATTCCGGTGACACCCAGGACTAATGACAATGCATAGGCTATAGCCGACCATTCCGTGGACTGGCGATGTCTCCCGATGTACTGGCTCTGAACTTCACTAAACAAGTAATCAGGACCTTCGCTGTTTCCCAGGCGAACGGGGGACGGCGCTCACTGCACATTCAATGACCTTCCCAGGCATGGCCCGTACCGCTAAAGGCAACTATTGCAGCTGTTTTCCACATACCTCTTTCGCAGCTTTACAAATTCGAGATGAGAACCCGCGGCGAAACTATGCTAAAACACTATCCTTGTGTTTACCGCGGCGATACACCGGTTGTCATCCATGCCTTCGTTCCTGTGAATAAACGCCGACTGGCGGTGACCGGTGACATGGGACACGGGGTACCGGGCCACCAGGGGGTCAACAGTGTCCGTGTGAATAAACGCCGACTGGCGGTGACCGGTGACATGGGACACGGGGTACCGGGCCACCAGGGGGTCAACAGTGTCCGTGTGAATAAACGCTGACTGGCCGTGACCGGTGACATGGGACACGGGGTACCGGGCCACCAGGGGGTCAACAGTGTCCGTGTGAATAAACGCTGACTGGCGGTGACCGGTGACATGGAACACGGGGTACCGGGCCACCAGGGGGTCAACAGTGTCCGTGTGAATAAACGCTGACTGGCGGTGACCGGTGACATGGAACACGGGGTACCGGGCCACCAGGGGGTCAACAGTGTCCGTGTGAATAAACGCCGACTGGCCGTGACCGGTGACATGGGACACGGGGTACCGGGCCACCAGGGGGTCAACAGTGTCCGTGTGAATGAACGCCGACTGGCGGTAACCGGTGACATGGGACACGGGGTACCGGGCCACCAGGGGGTCAACAGTGTCCGTGTGAATGAACGCTGACTGGTGGTGACTGGTGACATGGAACACGGGGTACCGGGCCACCAGCGGGTCGTCAGCGCCCGGTCTGATATATGCACTGCAATCCAGGGAGTTTTGCCGTGAATCGGAAGTGAAATCCCCTGCAAGAGGCAGCGATCGTGGGTGTGGTACGACACAGACTGGTGGTCTGCCGTGTCAAGGAACAAAGCCGCGATCCTTCTTGCTAGGGGTGTATGCAGGGCTTCGCAATGGGTGGGAAACCACTACACGACCACAGTTCTCGTCGACAAAATCCATTTCAGTGCACTGCAGGCGCTCGAAATTAATTGCACGACTAAACACAGCTCGTTTCTAACCCTCCTTAATTTTACATGTTTACTCCGACTTTCCCACAGCATCTGTTATATGTATATATATATATATATATATATATATATATATATATATATATATATATATATATATATATATATACCGTATGCATGCCATAATTGCACGTTATTTTGAGTATTGACAGGGATATTAAATTTTACACCGGCACAAATCTAATAACGAGGGGGGGGGGATTCGGCGTTCTCGCGTCGTCCTCGCCTCTGGCAGGCGGCGCGTTCACTCGACAGGCAGAGTGGCGTTCTAACGTGGCGTAACCGGCCGTCAGATGCGCCGTTAGCCGCCCGTGACGTCACTGATCGCTGCCTGGCAGCCGGCCAAATATGCTCCCGACCGTGCTGGGATAAACTCGAAGTCGCGCAGCCCGCCAGCGCAGGGGCGGGTCTGTGGGAGTGGACAGGGTTGGAAGTGGCTGCTACAGTGTGCAGAGTCGGGCGTTCTGTGGGACTGGACAGGGTTGGGCGTGACTGCTACAACCAGCGGAGTCGGGCGGTCTCTGGGAGTGGACATGGTTGGACGTGACTGCTACAGTGTGCAGAGTCGGGCGTTCTGTGAGACTGGACAGGGTTGGACGTGGCTGCTACAGTCGGCGGAGTCGGGCGGTCTGTGGGACTGGACAGGGTTGGACGTGGCTGCTACAGCCAGCAGGGTCGGGCAGTCTGTGGGACTGGACAGGGTTGGACGTGGCTGCTACAGTCGGCATAGTCGGGGCGGTCTGTGGGACTGGACAGGGCTGGACGTGACTGCTGCAGTGTGCAGAGTCGGGCGTTCTGTGGGACTGGACAGGGTTGGACGTGGCTGCTACAGCCAGCAGGGTCGGGCAGTCTGTGGGACTGGACAGGGTTGGACGTGGCTGCTACAGTCGGCATAGTCGGGCGGTCTGTGGGACTGGACAGGGCTGGACGTGACTGCTGCAGTGTGCAGAGTCGGGCGTTCTGTGGGACTGGACAGGGTTGGACGTGGCTGCTTCAGTCGGCATAGTCGGGCGGTCTGTGGGAGTGGACAGGGTTGGACGTGGCTGCTACAGTGTGCAGAGTCGGGCGGTCTCTGGGACTGGACAGGGCTGGACGTGACTGCTGCAGTGTGCAGAGTCGGGCGTTCTGTGGGACTGGACAGGGTTGGACGTGGCTGCTACAGCCAGCAGGGTCGGGCAGTCTGTGGGACTGGACAGGGTTGGACGTGGCTGCTACAGTCGGCATAGTCGGGCGGTCTGTGGGACTGGACAGGGCTGGACGTGACTGCTGCAGTGTGCAGAGTCGGGCGTTCTGTGGGACTGGACAGGGTTGGACGTGGCTGCTACAGTCGGCATAGTCGGGCGGTCTGTGGGACTGGACAGGGCCGGACGTGACTGCTGCAGTGTGCAGAGTCGGGCGGTCTCTGGGACTGGACAGGGACTGGACGTGCTACAGTCAGCAGAATCGGGCGGTCTGTGGGACTGGACAGGGCTGGACGTGACTGCTACAGTCAGCAGAGTTGGGCGTGGCTATCTGAGCGAAACTCCGCAGGACTGGGCGTGAATGACTGAGCACGACCGGGCACTAGTAGCCGCAGGACTGCGCATTACTGAGCGGAACCGAACTTGACCAGACTCAGCACGACTGGGCACTGACATCCCCGCACGCCCAAATTGTGCATCAAATCGGCATTCGTGCCATCGGCAACCGTCTGGCTGCAAAACACGTCCGATATGCCAGGACCGACAACCCACACAAACACCATATTGCCAATATTCATTTCAAATCATAAATGATTCTAATCCGAAAGCGAGTATCACCATGCCTACCGGGGGAGCGACACAGGGTGGCCGCCCGCGCGGCGGACCGGGCAGCTCGGCCCTCACTCGCGTCACCATATACATATCACAATAAAAGTGTCTACGGACGCACACACAGCACACGCACACGTGGTCACGGACGGCGGCCGCCCCGCGTCCGAACGGCCCCGGCCGGCCCGAAGGGCAGCGGGCGGGGCCAGCGACAGCACCCGAGTCCGGGACAGCGGGCGCGCGGCCGGGACGAGGCGCCAGACTGGCGGGACCGCAGCGCCCCGCTGGGTGAGCGCCAGACTGGCGGGACCGCAGCGCCCCGCTGGGTGAGCGCCGACACCGCGGCTTGCGGGGCCGCCGCGCACGGCCGCGGCGGCGCCCGCGCCCGCCGCACGTGCCGAAAGACCGCGCTATGGATGATTGCATGTGAGAGGCGACACCGAGCAGGCGAGCGCAGGCCGGGGCGCGGCGGCGGCGGCTGCGGGCCGCCGCGCGCCCCGGCCGTCTCCGGGTTAAGTACACTTATATGGGAGGGGGGGACCCGGGTCCAGCGGCGAGCCAGCTGCGCACGTCAGCTGCCGGCGGCGCGCGTGGCCGCCGCCCCTCAGGGCGCGCGCAGGCTGCAGGCGCGTCCTTGGTCCCTGGTGCGGGCCGCGGGCCGCTCACGTCGGGACGGGACGCACGGGCGCTCACACTGCCATCTACCGGCGGAGGGGCCAACGACACACCGAATCGGGACGAATGCCCGCAAGCTGCCTCGCGAAATGCCCTCACGGTTGACACGTTATACGCGGAGTAGATCATTTGACACCGGAACGTTTCACAACATCCAATCTCGCTCGCGTGTAGCACAAGATACATAGTTCAAGGACACGAAGTTGCAATTAAAAGCAAACAAACGTAGTGAAAGCACGTAATATGCCACCAAAGCGTAACAGTCAGACCTATCTCTGAAGCACTCCATGCGACGCCGCGGCTCCCAGAAGATCCGGGCTCGTCTCACCACAGCCAACATCCAGCAGCAGCACCAGCAGCAGCAACAGCAGCGTACAAAACAGGCGCACCCACCGGCCGCAGAGCGCGCCGACCCTCTCTCCCTGTCCGTATGTACACGCCGAGGCTCCCTGCTCGCTCGCTCTCTCTCCGTACTGGACAGTGCGCGGCGGGGCACCCGTCCGCGCCGGCGGCACTCCGGCCGATCCGCCGCCGCCGCCGCCGCCGCCGCCGCCGCCGCCGCCGCCGCCGTCCGCTGCGCACCGGCCGCGCCGCCGTCAACTGTGCAGAGACGGCACCACGCCGTCCGCGGGCCGCGCCAGAGTGCGAAGAGGCCACCTGCGAGTCTGTGCACGCACCACGCCACGCTCCGCCTCACATGCCACACGGACGTCAGCGGCGCGCCGCCTCCGGTCCCGCGCTCCGTGCGCGACGCGTGCCCTCGGCGGCGCCGGCGGCTCGGCGGCGGCCGCTAGCCGGGCAGCCGGGCGCACACGGCGTACGCGCGCGACGTGTGCCCTCGGCGGCGCCTGCGGCTCGGCGGCGGCCGCTAGCCGGGCGGCCGGGCGCACACGGCGTACGCGCACGACGTGTGCCCTCGGCGGCGCCGGCGGCTCGGCGGCGGCCGTTAGCCGGGTGGCCGGGCGCACACGGCGCACGCGCGCCGCGCTCGGTGGCCGTACGTCACCTGGTAGCTGATGGGCAGGATCAGGTACTGGTCGAGCCCCGGCCGGCCGCCCAGCTTACGCAGCCAGACGTAGTAGGCGTGGAAGTGGTCGGCGACGGCGGCGCGCCGGCGCGTCAGCCGCAGGAAGCGGCCGTGCCGGTCGTGGCCGAACGAGACGCGCAGCCGCGCGGCGCGCAGCACCGCCTCCAGCGGGCCCGGCGCCAGCAGCAGGTACGCCGGCTGCACGAAGCCGCCCCAGCGCACGGCGCGGTACCGGCCGCCGGTCGGCCAGCCGCAGTACGGAGAGAGCCAGTTTCATAAGATGATGCAGCAGCGGCAGTAGCGCTGTCGGGAGCCGCCCTGCGTCGGCGGCGGCGTCTGCGGCGCGAAGTACGCGTGCACGTTGATGTTGGGCAGGTGGCTCTGCGGACGGCGCGGTCAGATCAGGCCAGTGGCGCTGGCGCTGGGGCGGGTCAGTTCGGAGGCGCTGAGGCTGGGGCCGGTCAGATCAGGTCAGTGGCGCTGGCGCTGGGCGGGTTAGTTCAGAGGCGCTGGGGCTGGGGCCGGTCAGATCAGGTCAGTGGCGCTGGCGCTGGGCGGGTCAGTTCAGAGGCGCTGAGGCTGGGGCCGATCAGATCAGGCCAGTGGCGCTGGAGCTGAGGCGGGTCAGTTCAGAGGCGCTGAGGCTGGAGCCGGTCAGATCAGGTCAGTGGCGCTGGCGCTGGGGCGGGTCAGTTCGGAGGCGCTGAGGCTGGGGCCGGTCAGATCAGGTCAGTGGCGCTGGCGCTGGGGCGGGTCAGTTCGGAGGCGCTGAGGCTGGGGCCGGTCAGATCAGGTCAGTGGCGCTGGCGCTGGGGCGGGTCAGTTCAGAGGCGCTGAGGCTGGGGCGGGTCAGATCAGGTCAGTGGCGCTGGCGCTGGGGCGGGTCAGTTCAGAGGCGCTGAGGCTGGGGCCGGTCAGACCAGGCCGACGGGCCGGGGCACGTGTCACGTCGTCACTTAGCTGGCCCGAACATTATACGGCGCATATTGTTCCGCAAAAATATCGCCGGTATCGCACAATAGTTTCAGTTAAAAACGTACCTAATTTCTCTGATCAAAGATAAATAATTCTAGCACTATGGACGCATTATGAGGCGACGCTACGAGGCCCCATCCACCCACACACTTTCTGAAAACATCAAAAATGGATACTACCTTCCCATGATTTGGTGCCCCGGTCCAGAGCCCCCGTCCACTCAGCCACCCAAGATCCCCGTTCGATTAGCTAACGGGAGCTGCCGTCCACCCCGCCACCCAGAGCTGCCGTCCACCCGGGTCTCCCAAAGCTCCGTCCACCCGGCCACTCAGAGCTGCCGTCCACCCGGATCTCCCAGAGCTGCCGTCTACCTGGGCCTACAGAAGCTGCTGTGCATCTGGGTCCCCCAGAGCTACTGCCGCCCGGCCATACAGAGCTGCCGTCCATAAGGGCCTACAGGAGTTGCTGCCGCCCGGGTCTCCCGGGGCTGCCGCCGCCCGGGTCTCCCGGAGCTGCCGCCGCCCGGGTCTCCCGGGGCTGCCGCCGCCAGAGCCTCCCAGGGCTGCCGCCGCCCGGGTCTCCCAGGGCTGCCGCCGCCCGGGTCTCCCGGAGCTGCCGCCGCCCGGGTCTCCCGGAGCTGCCGCCGCCCGGGTCTCCCGGAGCGCTGCCGCCCGCCGCGGTCTCCCAGGGCTGGCCGCCCGCCCGGGTCTCCCAGGGCTGCCGCCGCCCGGGTCTCCCCCCAGGGCTGCCGCCGCCCGGGTCTTCCCGGGGCTGCCGGCCCCCACGGGTCTCCCAGGGCTGCCGCCGCCCGGGTCTCCCGGAGCTGCCGCCGCCCGGGTCTCCCGGAGCTGCCGCCGCCCGGGTCTCCCGGAGCTGCCGCCGCCCGGGTCTCCCAGGGCTGCCGCCGCCCGGGTCTCCCAGGGCTGCCGCCGCCCGGGTCTCCCGGAGCTGCCGCCGCCCGGGTCTCCCGGAGCTGCCGCCGCCCGGGTCTCCCGGGGCTGCCGCCGCCAGAGCCTCCCAGGGCTGCCGCCGTCCGGGTCTCTCGAGGCTGCCGCCGCCAGTGTCTCCCGGGGCTGCCGCCGTCCGGGTCTCCCGGGGCTGCCGCCGCCAGAGCCTCCCAGGGCTGCCGCCGTCCGGGTCTCCCGGGGCTGCCGCCGTCCGGGTCTCCCGGAGCTGCCGCCGTCCGGGTCTCCCGGGGCTGCCGCCGCCAGTGTCTCCCGGAGCGGCCGCCGCCTGGATCTCTCAGAGCTGCCGCCGCCCGGCCACCCAGAGCTGCCCTCCACCCGGGCCGCCCGGAGCCGGCGCGCCGCCTCACCCGGAGCCGTTTGATGCCGTTGCGCGTGATGAGCTGACAGTCGTAGAGGCCGATGCGCTGCAGGTTGTGGCAGGCCTGCAGGTGTTCCAGGCTTTGGTCGGTGATGAGCGGACAATTGTCGAGTTCGAGCACGGCCAGATGCTCGGTGGAGCACGGCCCCGTGCCCAGCTGCCGGATGCCCTCGTCCGTGATCAGCTCGCAGTGAGACAGCGTCTGCCGGGACGGGAGGGCGCGCCGACGTCAGGCTGCCGTCAGGCACGCCGCAAAAGGGGTCACGCTCGGTGCCGCCTTGGCGCGGGTGGCCGAGTGTGACACGCGGCGGGCCGAGACACCGCCAGCGAAGACAGCCGCATCGAGCGGCGGCGCCGGCAGGAGCAGACCACCGCGGACGTGCCCAGCCGCGTGAGACACCGGTGTGTGCGAGACGGCATCAGAGGCGTACGGGTGACAAGACACGAACATCGACGACATAACGCCATCTGGCGTTATCGGGGTCAGCCGCCACGCCATCATTCGTGTCCGGACGGCGACAAAAACCCAACGGACAGCGAGGGCAACAAAAACGCCGTAAGCCTGCGGCGAGCAGCCCGCATGCAGGGAGCGGCCTGGACCGCGGTCGCTCGGGCGGCGCCGACTGACCAGCGTCTCGAGCCGCGGGCAGTTCTGCGCCAGCGCCGACAGCGTCACGTCCGTGATGGCCACGCAGTCCTCGAGGTCCATCTTCTCTAGGAAGTGGCAGTTCTGCCGGCGGGAGACGCCGTCAGCCGGCGTGGCGTCGGCATCGGCCGCGCAGCGATCGTGGGTAAACTCGCGCACAGAGGACCGCTCGAACATTGCACCAGGCGATGCCGGTCACGGGTGTGCCCCCGCTAATCACTGCCCGTAACGGACCACCCGCGGTGGCGGCTACCTATTATAATCATTTATATTTTATAATTAGAATATACGGCTATCATAATTATATACGTTTACACATATGCGGCTGTCACTGGTGTTTTATGACGCCTCAGATGCCGGCTGAAGCCGTATCGCGCCATGTCTCTCTCTCTCTCTCTCTCTCTCTCTCCCTCTCCCTCTCCTCTCCCTCTCCCTCTCCCCTCTCCCTCTCCTCTCTCTCTCTCTCTCTCTCTCTCTCTCTCTCTCTCTCTCCCTCTCTCTCCCTCTCTCCTCTCTCCCCTCTCTCTCTCTCTCTCTCTCTCTCTCTCTCTCTCTCTCTCTCTCTCTCTCTCTCTCCGAGCTACCCCGAGGCCGACGGTCAGCAGGGGCGGGGGGGGGGGGGGCGGCACACCGGGCAGCATCGACCAGGCCCGAGACGAGTCACGGGCCACAGAAGAACTTGTGACCGGCTTTGCTTCGGCGGAGACCGGAGTCCAGCGGCGACTTTTTCGTTGATCGTGCTGTCGCCGGCATATCGACCAGCGCGCAGCCTGGCGCCATACCAGGACGAGTCAATTTCGGAAGAATCCACTTCACATTAGACTGCGTTAACACTACGATGTTGGAATTTCGATGGATCTAGAATTGCTCCAGTCCCGGGGGCCCCGCCTCCGTCTTTCCCGTCGAGATGGCCGCCTCCACAGACGTTCCCAGGCGCCGAGCCGGCCACGCCAGGCGGGCAACGCCGCGGTGACGACCCGGAGGACAAACACCGCAGCCGCCCGCGGTCCCCGGCTGCCGACGATCTCCCGGCGCGCGCGCGCGGGCTCAAGCCAGCCGGGGTGTTGCGGGCGCCGGCGCGGCGGCGTGACTGACCCTGGCGAGCGCCTGGAAGCCGGCGTCGGTGAAGTTGGCGCAGCCGGCCACCTCGACGGTGACGAGGCGCGGACAGTGCGAGGCGAGCCGCAGCAGCGAGACGTCGCGCAGCGCCGGACAGTTGGACAGGCAGACGTAGTGCAGCTGCGGGCAGCTCTCGGCGATGGCCGTCACGGACTGGTCCGTGATGCTCTGCCGGCCGCGGGAGAGGGGGAGGGGCGTCAGGCGCGCAGAGGCACGGGCTTCGAAGCAGGCTGCGGCAGGCGGCGTAGGTGTCAGAACCGCGCCGGTAAAGGGGGGGGGGGGCGACTTCAGGCAGCAGCAACCGGCCGTTGTGACTTTTTGGACATATATCAATTCAGTAAGCTGGGTGAGTAAAATTAAAAACCGACGGAAATCAAGTCGTTTAGGGCACAAGGAGTACCGTTTCTATATTTTCTACATTGTTACACGTCTGAGGAAATATGAGAGATTTTGTCAAGCCTTCAACTATTTTCGCTAATTCAATCCCACGCCCAGTATCGAAAACGGAGCCGCCCTTGACGAGCGCCTGTTCGTCCTTGACACCGGGATAACCCCAGCACGAACGCCGCCACTCGATTTGGCCGCGATGCCTGGAGCGGACCGTGAACCGCGTCACTCCGTCCGCTCCAGCCAGCCGCGAGCAGCGTCACTCCGTCCGCTCCAGCCAGCCGCGAGCAGCGTCACTCCGTCCGCTCCAGCCAGCCGCGAGCAGCGTCACTCCGTCCGCTCCAGCCGGCCGCGAGCAGCGTCACTCCGTCCGCTCCAGCCAGCCGCGAGCAGCGTCACTCCGTCCGCTCCAGCCAGCCGCGAGCAGCGTCACTCCGTCCTCTCCAGCCAGCCGGGGCCCACTTACATCACACCGCTCCAGGTTGACCACCTCCAGGTCGGGACAGTAGCGGGCCAGCTGCAGCACGGAAGCGTCGTTGATCTGGTCGCAGCCCTTGGCGATGAAGTGCGACAGCTTCGGACAGCCCCGCGCCAGGGCCTCCACGCCTGCGGCAGGTCGGCTCGACTCAGCACGGCAGGACCAGCTGCCGGCCTCGCAGGCACGCCGACAGACGCACATTCAAATGGTCCCACATGCATCATAACAGGTGGCCGTGCACACCTCTGCACTCGAAATGACCGGCCACCGCCGCTATTATGTTCAGAGATGTGGCGTGCGAGTCCTGATTCCCCTCACTCAGATGCTCAAGGGACTTATGGACACTTATACAACTATCCCTAGCAGATTTCTGTTTGACCTGAAACAGCCAGCCCGGTTATCCACATTCAAATACGCCGACATCCAAATACGCCACACATCCCTATACCACGTGTACACGGCTGCCCTCCTGAGATATCCATATAACGGCAGGTGGCTACATAAAGCAAAGAAGGTTAGTGAGTTCAGCGCATAACGTTTCATCACGCCTGCGCCGGTGACATGACTTGGAACGATCAGCATCCGGGAGGTGCACTTCATTGGCCGCTGACCGGGAGCAGCGGGCGGCCTCACAAGCTGCAGCTCGTCATCCGGGAGGTGCACTTCATTGGCCGCTAACCGGGAGCAGCGGGCGGCCTCACAAGCCGCAGCTCGTCATCTGGGAGGTGCACTTCATTGGCCGCTAACCGGGAGCAGCGGGCGGCCTCACAAGCCGCAGCTCGTCATCCGCGACGCACCGCGCTGATGCGCCGGCGCCGCCCGCCGGATTATGCCAACATGGGATTGCTTTCCGTTTAATGACCTCCGAGCCACGTAAGACACCTGGCGTGCCAGCGTTGACAAGGTAGCTCGCTGTTTGGGACAACAATGCATGCAGAGTGGCAACTGAGGACAACCGGGAACATTGGCGTATGTTCGGGTAGCGGACCTCTTCGGAGCTCGATCGCGTCCCGTCCCGGATTCAGCCTGGAAGGCCCTTTTGAGCAAGCTCGTAGGAAGATCCTATTACACTGCGTTCGTTAGAGAATCCCTTCGCTAAAACTTTGAAGGCTTCTAATTGTGTTTTCTGGTTTCCGAGCTTGACGCCGACTACAACCCTGAGGAACAATTGTTGACCTTGCGTCCCAATTTAGCATCCGCGAGCTGCTCTATGCTTGATCTCTTAATGGTTAAAGAACTGCATGGCGAGACGTGTCTACGCAGTTACAACGGCCAATACGTCACACGCACATGCAAAACAAACGACGGTAAGGGCACCCCAGCAAAAAGCACTCTCCATCCCACGCGCCCCCACCATCCCCTGTCGCGGTCCTGTAGCTGTGTCATCACTGCGTCACTCTCCGTCACATGCGCCCCCACCATCCCCTGTCGCGGTCCTGTAGCTGTGTCATCGCTGCGTCACCGTCCGCCGTCAGCGTCCACCGCACGCCGGCAAGACTTGGTCTGCGACGGGGCCGCTCGCCATCGGCGGGGCCGCTCGGCATCGGCGGGGCCGCTCGTCAGCGGCGGGCCGCTCGCCGTCGGCGGGGCCGCTCGCCGTCGGCGGGGCCGCTCGCCATCGGCGGGGCCGCTCGGCATCGGCGGGGCCGCTCGTCAGCGGCGGGCCGCTCGCCGTCGGCGGGGCCGCTCGCCATCGGTGGGGCCGCTCGTCAGCGGCTGGCCGCTCGTCAGCGGCGGGCCGCTCGCCATCGGCGGGGCCGCTCGCCGTCGGCGGGGCGCCGCCCGACTGACCGTTCTCGGTGATATCGCCGCACCACGAGATATTGATGCGGTGCAGGTTGGGGCACCCCTCCGAGAGGTACTTGAGCGACAAGTCGCCGACATTGGTCGACTTCAGGTCCAGCGTGTACAGGTTTGGACAGTGCAGAGACAGGCTGTGACAGGTGCTGTGGGCACAACACAGGGCGTCGGTTAACAGCGCCGTGCCGCCACCATACAGCACAGCTTAGTTTGTTCATAACAGTGAGCCACACACATGACCTAAATACACGAGGCACGCGGACTGCCTGTTGAACCAATATGGGGCTTGCAAATTGTACAATGAACATAGTGCAGTCACTCCTCATGCATTTCATTTTAACGTCCAGTCTGTAAACGCTTCGTCTTTAACTAGCGACCACCTGGAAAAGGCAGTAAAAGTGAGCTTCCGAGCTCCGAAGCCAGCTTCGCAACTGTGCACGGCAGATATACAGCTTGTCAGCATGTGCCAGCGAACCAACTCTACACATACTGAACGGAACAGATCTGTTATGTAGGGTCAGGTCACCAGGCTTTCATGGTATCATCAGCAAGGGCGCGCATGGCCATTGTCGCCTCCGCGTGCGTTAATCTGCTATTACTTTTCTGATTTAGAGTTGTTTTAGAAAGCCTTCATCGGCTGGTTCGACGTATGTCGGAGAGGCTCAGTCACACCAGGTCACAGGTCCGCATCTCGTCTGATGTCATCAGGTGTGCTAGGTCGCCGTCAGGGATCATAACGGGCCAACTTTTATGAAACAAACCAAATAATTTCTCGAGCACATCTGGAAAAAAATAGCATAGGGCCCTGACCCATGTCAAGGATTTGGCGATACTTAACGTTGTTTGAGTGACCTTTGACGTCATTAATCATTCCATGGTTACTACTTGCCGGAGAAATCAATTTCGTTTGAGTATGTGCTGGTTGACGGTCCCGCGCCGAAATAACGAGGCGGTGCCTCGCTACATCCGCCCCGAGCGTCGGGAGGCGACCCCAGATCAGGACCGGACAAAGCTCAGTGAACATACGTAATGCTTTGACTGCGCAAGCGATCAATCGATCATAGCGGAGCTTGACAGGATGGTGTCCTTTTGACTTGTGCTGCCGTGCGCAATGCCAGTATTTTTCTACAAAGTGATGTTTACGATTTGAATAACGATTGCTGATCTTCTTTCCAGTCGTCGGTTCTTGCCGTTCTGCCGCACTTAAAGAAACGCGTTTCGAACAGCACGCATATGAGGACCTGTGTCCTGCGGGCACCATGCGGGCTGACCTAGCCCGACCCAGCGTCGTCAGCCCTGACCTGCAGGGCTATGTTGCCTTCGGTCCCAATGCAGACGGGCTGGACAGGCCAGCGGGTCGGATCACAGGCCCTGTCCTCCACACGGCGCCGCCGTCGTCCCACCTGTCTGTAATGCGGCGGCAGTCCTGCAGGTTGAGGTCCTCTATGTTGTTGCACTGCTGCGCGAAGGTCCTGAGGGCCGGGTCGGTGACCCACTGGCATCCCTTGAGACTGAGCGCCTTCAGGAAGCCCCCGGAGCGGCGGCTGATGTTCTCGACGACAGCACCCTGGCACCGACGGCCGTTATCGAGCGACTCCGGTCGGTAACACCACGAAATCGGCGACGGTTTGCGATTGGTATACCCCTGGACAGATTGCAAGCGGGTGCTTTGCCTACCACTGAACTCAGTTGGTCAGAGCATCTGTGTCCGAGCCCACCCCCGGGTGCGGGGCGGCGCTCGCTAATAGGCCGTGAATGTGATGGCATACGACCTGTGGCAGCGGCCACTGAAGGTCAGATGAGGTCAGGGACGGCGCGGCCCGTGCAGGCTACAGTAGCACGCTGGACACTCGTCGCAAAGATCCGCCGTTGAACTGGGCCTTCACGACCGGAAAGGAGGGTCATGCTTGGCGCACCAAACCTTGCAATGCTTAGCGTGAGCTCTGATCCCAGACATCCATCCAATGAAACAGGTCCGGACTTAAAACACAGCACAGCGGTTCTCCGCTAATTACAAATACGGCAGCAGGAATGTGTTAGCCACACCCTCGAAATCCCCGGACCAAACATTTCCTCACGAAGTCCGGAGCACGAACACACGTTGAATGCAGACAAGCATCGCCAATCCGACAAACTGCACACTCGGGCTGAAGCACCCACTCCATGAAATTATGAAATTATATCACGGACGGCACCATCGCTCCGGTTATCGTCCTCGCCTGGTGTGTTAGAAAGTTAGTGTAACTAACACACCAGACGAAAACGGTGGTCTGGACAACCACTCCATCTGTGATAGTGATACCTCGTCTCAATCCTTCCGTAAATGGCTTGCGCAAGGAATGACATGTGCCAATCAAACGCACCGACGGTACGCGGAAAAGCGAAGCCAACGGGCGCCGGCGGCGCATACCTGCACATCGACCTGGAAGGAGAACAGATCAATGCGCTTCCAGTTGCTGCCATCGAGAGCGAGGATGTTCCAGTACTTGCAGACTTGAGCGCAGCGACACAGCGAAACGATGTCCAGGAAAGAGAATACTCTGGAAATGAGGAGCGAAACAGGTCACCCTCCAAAAACGACCGCTTCTAAATGCTTGAAAAAATCGAATTAGAAATGTACTCAAAGGTCAAGCAGTTTCGAAATCGTGCATCAGTTTGTCCTCTGTTGCTGGCTGCTTTATTGTCGTGAAATCCACGTAACCAAAACACTTTGATAAACAGCCTAATGAATCTACAACGGCAAAAGCTAGCAAGCAACATCCCAATGGTCAGCAGGCATCGCCTAATGAACAGGGCTTTCCTCATAGCCGTATCCCCTGCTATTATAATCGTCCAACTACTAAGATCACTAGCTCCTACCTGATCAGAACTTCCTTGGGCAATTTCTTGTTGATGAGCGCCTCGTCCTCTTGAAAGATTCGGGCAGGCTGCACGCAAAGAAACAGACTTACAGAACAGTGCAAGGCAGACGAAGGAAGTACAAAACAGGCCGTCAGCACTGGCGCTTGTTGGTTTGCCATATCCTACCCACTGTACGACCAAATAGGGTTAAGTGTTCTGGGCATGCACATCACATCGACATATCCATCAAGCGACCTTGTGCAACAGCAGCTTGTGCGGCAACAGTGTGAAACACACGAAGAAGAACGTGCCCAATACAGGAGGTATGACCGGTGAGCAGAACCTCTTGATCAAAGCACTGATTCACCGCTTTGACAAATACTTAAGGTAAATGCTCTTCAGCCTTAGCTGGGAGCGACACGACCTGGATATCATCGCCCAATATCTCCATTATTATGTATGTGACTGTTAGGATTATCAACGTCATAAGCCCCGATAGCATCAAGCAAAAACAAGCAAAAGGTCGGTTGCCAGTCTTGGGACACAGTATCTTGGCAACGAGCTAGATTCCCAATCATCCAGCTATAGCTTCCTTCGCCCAGATGGCCATGCTTGCCGACATCGACAATGGGTCATTAGACACAGCCTATACCCCATGGACAGTGAATGTCTATCGTTGCTATTTGAAGGCGTTGCTTCAGTGAAGCTCCACAGAAACCTGTTGCCACTAAGAGCAGGGTATTAGGTGCTGTATCGAATGGACCGATGTGACGACAAAATGGGTCTGAACTGAACCACTTCCAGATCATACATTTACGCTTGAAAGCCCAAGATCATCCAAATCGAATACTTCTTCCAGATCACATACTATAACTATTCCAGACCATGCACCTCATCGACTGAAAGTGGCAGGCTTCAGTATGCCCAGAGCGAGACAATTCTTCAGTAGCGCCACGCGCAAACTCGCGGGGGACCCACAGCATCGATGCACCTCCACTTACTAAGCTCGTGAAAGGAGCATAACCCAGCGAATTTATGCTCAAACTCGTATGGGTTCTCACGACGACGGACTTAATTTGTTTACGCTTGCGTATCATTTGCGTGGCCATACCAAGCACGTGTGTTACCACACCGCCTGTAAAAGGCGGCTCACTGATAAACGTTTTCTTTGCACAGCAAAACTGCCGTCTGCAACAATAGGACCTCATAGTGGCCTCTGCCAGTAAAGGGCTATTCACACACTACTCAATATATGTTTCCGACCTTTATGACCACTCCGGCGATATGACACGCGCAGTGCCACTCCCCAGGTCATCCCCACACACTTCAACGCTATGAAACATTCGCCTGAGGACACCTTCCACCTGATATTAGGATATACTGTATGAAAATACCAAATCTGCGCTAATCGCTTCACGCTCTTCCGCACAGCGACTCCTGTTTTGTCACTCACCCTACAGCAGAGGACGGGAATTGAAAACATACCTAATTTCAGTTCAGACTCTAGCATAGCAACACGGGAGTCTTATGCGACCACAGGTCCAGCCCAGGGGGGGGGGGGAGCACCCCCGCCCCCCTAGGACCCGAAAGTAATAAAAAGCGTGATCCGTTCTCGCTGAACTCAGCCCACCCACTATGAGTTCTGGTGGCACCCCGCCCGTGACCGCGTGATTATAGACGGCGCCGCAATGCAGGAATATCGAGAACTGTCCATGTGGTCTAAGAAACAACTCCTCAGGCTTCTAGTCCGCCAAACTGTTCCATGTTTGATGATGTTTATCCCATAGCTACCCGACCTGACAGATAAAAGGCATTCCACATCTCATTCTAAATCAGATGAACTTCGCCAGGCTGGCAGAGCTGCCTCAATCCAACCATCTGTCTGCAAACAACGACTGTAGTCCTGTAGTCCAGTCACGCCCGTTCAATATCGGTCCAAAATGGTGTGGATGACAGTTCATCTGGAAGGGCCAAGATAAATCGAAAACAGATGGATGTTGTCAAGGTCGTGGGGCAGCATCGGAATCGGACGATCTTATGTCAACCCCTGGCAGTAAATCTGCACTTCCTGCATCGATCCAGATTTAATATGTGAATAAGGTTGGTCGCGGCTAGCCGGTTTCCGGGTTGACTGCCTGCCGATCCGGCACTGGTGGCTAGCCGATCCGGCACTAGTGGCTAGCCGGTCCGGCACTGGTGGCTAGCCGATCCGGCACTGGTGGCTAGCCGATCCGGCACTGGTGGCTAGCCCATCCGGCACTGGTGGCTAGCCGATCCGGCACTGGCGGCTAGTCGATCCGGCACTGTTGACTAGCCGATCCGGCACTGGTGGCTGGCCGATCCAGCACCGGCGGCTAACCGACCTTGTCACCTGTTGCTGATCGGGCTAATGAGGGGGGGGGGGAGGGCATAAACCGGTTGGTTTGCCATGATTTTACTGTCTTTTCGACAATCCGAAAAATTTTCTACGCTGTGTCTAGCGATTTTACGATGAGGTTAAAGGTTATGTGTCAGTGCTTTGATTACGCACAAGTTTATGACTGACAGAATACCTATGCAATCATTTAGCACCTGTAGACATTTGTATCGCGGCTGAATGGTAAACTATCCCTGATCCACGGCTTGAATCAACGCGCATTCATTTCTCAACATCCCTCCAACCTCCCACAGCCGGCTAGCCACCATCTGCGGGTTAGTCCATTGATCGTCGGCTTGCTGGCTAGCTGGAAACTAGTCCTGCAGCACATAACGAAAAATTCAGATGTTGAAGATAAATAAATTTCAGTTTGCCTACCCGGCGGGGCAGCCCTAAGCTACCAGACAGTTCGGCAGTTTGGAAGGATCTTCATAGGCCTTTTGTTTCCGGATTTTTTTTCTTGTGTTAGGCTCCAAGAGGTTAGGATTTTTCCAAGCATGCCTGTGTGGCGCGGACTGTTCAGCGAGTGGGCGCCGGACCTGCCCCGTGTGGCGCGTGATGCCATGGACTCCTCCGATCTCCTCCTCCGCCATGGACTCCTCCGATCACACCCGCTTCTCCCACAGGTCTGAGGACCCGAGGCGGCGCGCTCATCGGCGCATGCCATCCGGTGTTTTCTCATCCGCGGGGCCGTCAGAGGCTCCTCTCGAGGGGAGCAGGACGCAATCTTCATCTCCGTCTGCAGTCTGAACTGAATGGCGCGACCCCGACGTCACCAAGGACGCCTAGGTGCACACATATCAGAGCAGCTGCTGTCTTCCTCGGGGCTTGTGAACGCAGCCCGCTTGAGCGGCTTGTCAGTTGCCTCCGCCGTTTTTGTTGGCATTCCTGCCTGATATTGTGCCGGGGGAGGAGCACAGAAGGCTCCGCTCTCGAAGCCGCTCTAGGAGTGTCACCAAGGACCTGGTCTTGAGAATTACAGCATCTTGTAGTGAAACATTTTGGGCTGTCAAAGTCCAAAAGTCCCATTACGAACATTTTCAGGGTCCTTCACGTATTTTCTGGACATCTTCTGGACCCAACCAGCAAAATGAATCCTAATGGCTTTCAAGTTGTTAATCTTGATTGTCGTGTAAAATGAGCCCATTCCAAAATTCTCTGCCGCCGTAACAGTACTGCCTCCCGAGTAAATCTTCAGTCGAGATGAGTTCCACACATTTCTCTTTCCTTGTGATATCACCAAAAGTTGGTGTCAAATCCATTAGTTAATCCATTTCATCGCTCTTATAACCTACTATACTCATATGAACCTCGTGTGACAAAAGGCTCAAGACTTTTGCGGAAAGTGCGATTCTTTCACCAAACGCGATCGTGGAGGCCTGGGCGTAGTTTCGCAAAATGAGTTGTTTTTTGTGTGTGTGGGGGGGGGGGGGCTGAGCAGTAGAAAATGGCACAACCTATGTCCAAATTATACCAAACAAACTAGTTTCTCCCCAGATTTGATCCACCTTCTTTTCAAAGTGTGCAGGGGAGGGGCTAGAGCCCCAACCTAACTGAACAAAAAATGAAACCTTTCCATGGTGGAGAAGTACTTTTTGCATCAAACAACACTACATCTAAGCTTCTCTGTGCCAGGTTTTCATCCTCGGATCAGTTGCCATCCTGCCAGCATGCCTGTGAGGGACAATGGACTACAAGTCTACCATCCTATTTGGTGATTTTGGGTAGTTTGGCCATCATGGTGTAGCAGCACCATGGCAGTCACACAGTCACTATTGACTCACCTGAGTTTGGCTGGGCTTGGTTAATGGTGATTATGATAGTTTGACCTTCACCTTATTTGGTTAACCTGAGTTAATTTTACCTCCATTTTAGTTGGTTTACTTAGTTTAGTTTGAGGCCCTTGAGTCTGTTAGTTTTCATGAAGTGTGGGTGACCAGTGGTAAATCCATCAGCCCATGTAATGCTTAAGGTTCAGATGCTCACTTGGTAACAGGTTTCTGAGGTTACATTGAGCTGGGTTTGGTTTACACCTTGTTACAATGTTGAGATGGGGCAACTGCTGTTCCTGGTGATCTCCCATGGGACCATCTGCACCAAGCAATGCTGGGATAACCTCATGATTAAGGTTTGGACAATGACTCAGTCTCTTTTGCCCCAAACTCATGCACCAAGAAGACAATGGACTCAGATTCAGACTGAAGGTTCTAGGATTCAGGATGCTGATCTGGACTCACTGTAGTGTGCAAAGGGCAGACTTTGGACTTAATTCTGATTACAGACATCATGACTTGAACTCCCATCCAATCTTTTGGACAGACCACCACTTGCTAGGCAACACATGCAGCTAATGGACTCAGGCTCAAGCCTTTGGGATTTGAGCACTATCTAAATCTCCTGGGACCAAGACTCAAGGATGGAGTCATAGGCCTCAACACCTTGCTGGGCTTGGACTCAGGAACATAATACTTGAAAACCTGATGTCACTTGTCATTCTACCCAAACAAACTCTATCTTAGCTCTTGCTTCACACCTGATTCAATACATGAAAAATTATGTTCTTACACTTGTTTGCTAGCAAGCAGGTATGTCACAACCAAGTGTGGTAAGGTTGGTCTAGTAAGTTGAACAAGATATCTGATTGCTTAATCTTGGAGCTTAACCTTGCTATGAATTTTCTTGTTTGTGTGCAATTAAAGGTAACTACAACAATAACATGCTTATCTTTCAATGCTTTTTACCCCAGACCTCAGGAAATTGTATGATCACTCTAAATATTTCCAGTGCTTATGAACCATTACAGACACCAAGATGCAATAATAATAACTAACAGCAAGTCCCAATGTTTTAATATATTGCACATATGGCTATGCCCTAGCAAAAACAGATGTGCTTTTATATTGTGAGATCCCTGAAATGTTCATAACATTTGCTGGACACATCCTGTTTTAGGACACCTGATGAAGAGCTCTGGGGATATTTGGTTTAAATGGAATGTAGACTGGGTGTAGAAACATTGATCCTATGTGCCAAGCAAATGCCTCCAGAAAAGAGCATGTTAACAAGCTATGCTTCAGGTGTGAGCCAGTTAAGAGCAGACATAAAATGGACCCTCAAGTACCAGAGAAATACATGTAATCAATATCCTTAAGAAAGCCCATTATGCTATTCCTAGCAAAGAACATGTCAAAAACATATCACATAGTAATACAACCATCAACTCAGTGCCTGTAACTTGTCACAGCTACTGCTTTATGCCGACAATGCCAGTTCTGGCTTAGAGATAATCATACTGGTGACATGGGTTCTCAACAAACTAAATCCCCATTTATTCTACTTGCATAAACAGCAAAATTGGCAGTGTTTGCATTTCACATTTCATTAGTTCAGAACAAATAAACCAGGAGTGACAACCATTCTCCTATCAAATTCATTTGGCTATAGCCATGTCAAAACTGGTTGGAGGCCTCCATATTTCACAAGACAGATGAGCACATGAAAAATTTTGTCTAACATATCTGTACAAGTTAGATCCCATCTATACAATACTTACACATCATTCATTGAATATCAATGTTACCATAGTTAGGCATGCATTAGATATGCTGAGCTATGCTGTTTGTCACAAAGCATGACAATAAGTCATTCATGGGTCACATCTGGAGGACAAAGAGCTGACAAACAGGCTCAGGAGATATGTCCTCTGAGCTTGAAGACAAAGACACAAAACAGGAATGGTGCCCCAACAGCCTTTTTATCATGAGTGTGTGACTTTCAGAACATCTGGTGGGGAGCCACACTGCATCATTCATTTTCCTCAGGTTACTGTGCAGATCAGCTGATTGAAAACACATTGACAGCGGGCGGCTGGCGATCATAACAAAGGCTATCGATTGTCGCCACCGCTGCTCCGCAAAGAAGTCCTCACCTCAGACCTGTGCCTGCCGTTACAGTGCATTATAGCTTGCCAGAATGAAGATACAGGCACATCGCTCGAAACTTCGCCGCCCCTGCACCCTCCCAGACCCTCGTTGGTGCCCCACCGCAAACTCTGCCCGCAGCTGCGGCTATGGGACCCGCGTCAAGGACGCGAGAGGAGCTGCGGCGCGCGCTACAATGGCGCACGTAAACAGATCGCATCACAGCTGATAGTGTGACGTCACAGACTGAACCACTCAGCGACAGCCCGCGTCGCGAGACCGGTGTCGACGACCGGTGGACACGCGGCATCGAAGGTCAAGGTCGAGTGCTTCGCTGTGCCTCAGGAAGCCACGCGACTTTTGAAGATGTGAATCAGCAGCGTGCCACCCACGTGTGATCGCGTGATAATACGGCGTCAGCGCAGGCGAGGACCGTGAGGGGGCCAAATCGCTAGGGGCGCGATCATGTCGATCGCCGACGGAGCGGTCGCTTAAGCGTCTCTTGACGTTCACGTGCATGGGTGAACCTGACGATTCCGCTGCGTGGCGGAAGGCATTATCAATGGTAAAGGGCCCTTCGATTTAATCGATTTCATAGCCTGGTGTCTGGACGCATGCTCGGCCGTGGGCAAAGGCAGCGGTTATCACGTTTGGAAACAGTCCTTCGGTGCTGCGCTCTCTCGTCGCTCTGACGATTTTCGTCCTCATCTCAGCGAGGGGCGGCGCCACCGAGTGACGCTAGCTCCTATACAATTTTGATATTTAATGTTGCGGCAAATTGTATGATTTACGTCCAATGTACGGAAGCATTGGATCTAAATATTCTCTATGCCCACAGCTCGCCGTCCCATCCCCAATCGTCAGCCGATGGCGTACCAAGACAAGTGGCCAATTGATGTACACCTGATGCTTTTTCACCGAATGTGAATAACTAGAATGCATTTCACCCTGTCTTTTTGCCGCCATGTTAAAAAGGCGAACGGTCAAAACGTGAAAAGCATGTTGGTGGCACGTCTTTGACGACGTGCAAATTGTAGAAATACAAACGGACCAAAATGTTAATAAGCCAACGACTAAATTGTCAAATAGATAAAAACCAATATTCCGAAACGGGCTATAGGCGAATGACAATTAGGAGAATGAAAATAACCGAATGCCTTTTCGCCGAAATACGAATCTGATGATCGGCAACTCGACAAATTGAAAATCACCAGATAATTAATCAGCTGAATGTCTTTCGCCAAAATGTGAATTAGACAAAATGCAGCTAGGCGAACGTGAATTCTTCGGGTGGTGCAATTGCCGACTTCCTTCTGTTGAAATGTGAATTGAGCTGAACGGTTGAAAGTTATTTTAAAAATGCCCTGTGGACAAGTTGTCTTAGGAATTTCAGTATTCCGCCTGATTGAAATGGCGGCAAAAACACACGTTCACCAAGTATCATTGTGTTAAATGCACTCGACAAAAAGACATTCGGTTGTGCCTTTCAGTTACTTGTCAGGATATCACCCGTAGCACGGCCCCTGTGCGTATGGAGAACATGCTACCACTGTGCTATTGTCATGTGACTGTAAATGTAGGCCGCTAATCACGTGTGAACCTGATTCGCTTCTGTAGGATGCATGTTGCACTGGCGTAAGAGCTCGGAACGTGGGCAGGGTCGGCCGTGGTTGGCTTACCCATTTTTCCGGAAAGTTCAGCAGGAGCCGTATATGGCGTTCCAGGGCAAAACACAAATCATGAAAGGTGTTTCGCCCACCCTCTTTTTAAGGAAGCCCTCGGTAAGACCTGCAAAACACCAGTAAGTGCGTGAAACCATGGATGGAGAAATTCTCCATCCATGGTTGCCATCGATGCTTGTATGCTCCAGGAGAAAACGGAATGAAAAGCATGGCAGCAGGCACTCTAACTTTGCTTGAAATGTAGTTAATGTTCTACGTTTCTCATTTGAAACTGGCTCCGCTCATGCTCTTGGCTAAACCGACGTTTTCCGATATTTTCCACCCATGCGTGAAAGTCGAGGTGCATGCTCATGACTCATAATCGAGAGCATTTTCCTGTGGCCGTGTCTTTTGAACTAAATGTGATCTGATGAAAATGAGGACTTAAGAACAAGAACAAAAACGTGATGGTTGGGTCGAAGTCAGTCGGGTTCGCTCATGCTAAGTGTCTCGGATGCTAAGCGTGATGAGAACAAGGCTGGTCAGTCACACGCCAAGGATTAAGTTGTAGACATCTAGAGCGGGCCAGATCAGACAACGAACATTCGGCCTAAACCCATCTACGGCCTTTAAGGTTTTCCTTTTTAAAACACACGCAAACACATCCAAAAGATAACGTAGGCTCGCTGCTCATTTCGGCTTTTAAATGTCTAAGCTATATTAACCCGCGCGCGGGCGGAGGGAGTTGACTTCCCTCTATGGTTTTTCAAGCACAGGTAGAAAAACAAACACTTGCAGCAATGCGAATTTTGGCATCTTTTGTAAAAATTTAAGCTTTGATCCACGAGCATCAGTGACCTAGGTCAGGTCAAAGAGGTCAACTTCAAAAAAACTTTGGACCATGCATAACTTTTGTGGTGCATTTTTCACTGTTCAAACTTTGTGTAGCAATAGAACGTGACAGTACCTACAGTTTGCATATTCTATATTTTTGGAAAATGTGAGTTCATTGGCCTGAAATCAGGCAAATTTCTATTAGTTTTCCGAAACTAGTGCAAGTTTGTATGTGTTCTATATGCTTTTGGTGTTGCGTAGGAGGAAAGAAGGCTGACTTGCATGCACAACCATCAAATGACCGCAGCGTACACGACCTTCGCCCAGGTCATACCCTAACTGTATGAGTACCTTCTGCAAAACGCATTCTGGCTAAAAATAGGCAATTTAATAAGGTAGGTTCAGACCCAGAATTCGACTACTCCGCTGAAAAGAAGTTGAGATATACTTGTAATGCATAATGAGGTCACAATAGGTTATGCAAGGTCATATGAGGTCATCTAGGGCCAATGACCTATGTTACCAGTAGCGGAGAGGCCAAATGTACGGGTGTGATGCGTGTAACAACCTTCTTATACGTTTGTGAAGGCGATGGCACATAATTTCATGCGTCGACGTGCCTGTTCTCAGTTTATTGCAAATACATGGTCAAGCGCCGAAGGGATTATGCATAATGTGGACAAAAGCTGCGCGATCTTGAGTACCTGTAGATGCACAGCACACTATTTCTGAACACAAACAAGTATTGCATTGGTAACGTGGACAGGGTTAGCACTCCAATTTTCACTTGGATGGCTTATGAATTCGGCTTAAGTTGACCTCAGATGACCTCAAGGTCACCCTAAACTGGCATTATTGCGTCTAGAATACTTTTGCTCCACAGCTTCACCTGATAAAATAAACTTGGAAGCACACTGTGAAGAAATGCATCGTTCTCATAAGTTACTGGCAGACCAATTTTGAATGGTGACCTGATATGACTCGACATTTGGCCTATAGTCAACAATTTGGGGAGCATTTTTTATGATTCAACGAGGCCTTTAAAACCGTGTATTTGATTTTCTCATACGACGTATGGAAGCTGGAGATCCCAGGGAAGAGTGAGTCAACTTCCCTCGGCTGGGCGCGGTTGTCTCAGACCCCGGCCGATCACGGGCTAAATGGCGCACAGTTGATCATAATTGTTCTTATCGCACAATTTCCTCTATTTGACTAATTTCGCGGTCTGTGATGATAAGGCGTTCTGAATATTATGCATTATATATATATATATATATATATATATATATATGATACAAATGTAATTTGCTCAGTCGGTCCATCGCTGTCTGAGTTATTCTGCCTGCTCACTAGGAGTGTGGCACATGGACTTTGGATATGCCGAGCAGCCGTCGCACGATATGCTCCCCGTCACGGACACGGGCGAGGTCAGCGTATCATGTCTAAGTGATCAACCGCCAGACGGTGCTGAGATGACACCGCCTACTGATCCATCATTCGCGCATTGGCACGTAGGGTAGGGACAGGGGCGCACGCACGTAGGGTAGGGACAGGGGCGCACGCACGTAGGGTAGGGACAGGGGCGCACGCACGTAGGGTAGGGACAGGGGCGCACGCACGTAGGGTAGGGACAGGGGCGCACGCACGTAGGGTAGGGACAGGGGCGCACGCACGTAGGGTAGGGACAGGGGCGCACGCACGTAGGGTAGGGACAGGGGCGCACGCACGTAGGGTAGGGACAGGGGCGCACGCACGTAGGGTAGGGACAGGGGCGCACGCACGTAGGGTAGGGACAGGGGCGCACGCACGTAGGGTAGGGACAGGGGCGCACGCACGTAGGGTAGGGACAGGGGCGCACGCACGTAGGGTAGGGACAGGGGCGCACGCACGTAGGGTAGGGACAGGGGCGCACGCACATAGTAGCGCTCTGGGCCCTTACAAAATTGACGACATGTTTTAATGGGTTTGTATGTGACTAAATGTTGACCTTTAAAAATGACAAGTAAGCAGGTAAAATCAGCAGATCAAAAACACGCGATGTTCTTTTCCGGCGCTCAAAAAATCGTGCACGGCTGACCCTAAACTCAATTTTCAGTGAATTTTCTTAGCCCAATTAAGGCGGATAGACCAGCATTTTGGGAAACTTATGTATGGCCAGCTATTATATATATGTATATATATATATATATATATATATATATATATATATATATATATATATATATAATATCTGGGGATTTTTTTGGGGGGGTCGCCATAAGAGGGGCTTTCGTCAGCCCTGTGTTCCCACTTGGCAAGACTGGGCACGCCCCTGCCTACACACAAAAGGAGATCAAGGTCGTCTATGTTGAATAATGGGACAATGAAATATCCGTTGGACCAATTCATTCCTAAGGCAGGCAGCTTCCCGGAAGTTTTTGCTCGGGTAGTGTGGTGTAGGGGAGGATAATTCGGAAAGAGATACAGTTGCAGGTGACAACACATGTTTTACGCACCAATTAGTAGTAATGCCTGATGCAGAAGCTCCCAGCCGGGCCAGGACATTAGCCGCCGATGGCGGACCGGAGCAGAGCCCATATAAGGAATATATGACAGAAGGTCCCTCATTCAGTGACTTTGTTTTTTCAAGGAAAATCTCCAGTTTT